ATGGCGTTGCAGAACGAATGAACCGCACGATCAAGGACCATGCAAGTGCAATGCTTCATGAGGCTGGCTTGAAGGACAAATTCTGGTCCTACGCAGTGCACACTGCTGTTCATTTGTGTAATCGCTTACCCACTCGAGCTCACGAGAGCATGACGCCATACGAAGCCTGGAAAGGTATCAAACCCGACGTCTCCTACTTGCGTGTATTCGGCTGCCGCGCTTGGGTGCACACACAGCAGTCAAAGTTGAAAACGTTTGTGTCCAAGGCAAGTGAAATGATTTTTGTTGGCTATCCGGACCAGGTCAAGGGATACCGCTTCTGGGACCCAGAATCCAAGAAGGAGCGTGTATCGAGGGATGCCACGTTTGTTGAGGACCAATTTGGTCGCAAGGGGATACAAGAGCAGGTGGAGCAAATGGAGACAGACGACGATGAAGTGCGTGTCGCTCCGTTCCTTGGCTCTGTGACTCATGAAAGCGAGGTGGAGGCAGAGATTGACGGCAACGCAGAAGGCGGTGAAGATGGCGACGGACGTGGTGATGACCAGAACGAGGATGCCAGCAACACAGGAGACGGTGAAGACGGCGACGGACGTGGTGATCACCAGAGCGACGGCAGTTTTGGCATCTCGACAAATTTGGACGACAATCTCTCTGGCCTCAGTTTGGCAGAAGGGGATCTCAGACTTAGTGACGGCGAGGAGGTGGAAGACTTGCAGCAGCTTCAGTTTGGCGGAGACGCAAATGGCAGTTCAGTCGACGACGTAAATTTATTGGAATCGCTTGACATCGACGACGACAATTTGGCACTCTCTCCAGTGCTCGGTGCAGTGGAGGACGGCCCACATGATCATTTCTCGGATGACGATATCAACTTGCTTTTGGCCAGGGCTCGTGACCTGGCTCAAGATGATGCACAAACTGATGTCAGTGCCTCTGCTTTGATGATTGCGGCATTGACTGACGCACACCCTCATCCAGTCGGCAAGGATCCAAAGGACATTGTGACGCCAAAGAATAGACGCCAAATGCTCAAAAGTGACGAGCGTGACCTCTGGATCGAGGCAGAGCAGCGAGAGATTGCAAACTTGCTGGAACGCGGCACTTGGGAACTCGTCGATACCGAGCCAGGCCAACCAGTAATCGGAAACATGTGGCGATACAAGCTCAAATTGAACCCAGATGGCTCGATCGACAAATTCAAGGCGCGCCTTGTCGCGCACGGGGACCAGCAAGAGGAGCATGTTGACTTCTCGGAGACCTTTGCTCCCGTTGCAAAGTTCACCACGATTCGCACCCTGCTAGTCATTGCTGTCAACAAGGGTTTGAAGGTCTGGCACATGGACGTTGTTGGCGCTTACTTAAATGGATACTTGTCAGAGAAGGTCTTCATGCACGAGCCAATTGGCTATGAGAGTGGAAATGGCGCTGTTTGCCGTCTCAAGCGCACGCTATATGGTCTCCGACAGTCTGGTCGCGAGTGGTATATTGTCATGTCGGAGTTCCTGTTGTCCTATGGATTCCTGCGATGCGAGCATGAGCAAGGCTTGTTTGTTCTCAGAGGTGGAGATATTCGGCTTGTCCTCTATGTCGACGATCTATTGATGATTGCTGAGAACGACAGCGCCCTGGCTGATTTCAAACAGGCATTGTCAACAAAGTGGGACATGACAGACCTTGGTATTGCCACACAATTTTGTGGCATGGAGCTATCCTACGCTTCTGATGGCAGTATCACCCTGAGTCAAGCACGTTACTGTCGGGAGATTTTGAAGCGCTTTGGACTCGAGTCTTGCAATGGTACACACACACCAATGATGAGCGGCCTATCGCTCTCTCAAGCAACATGTGATCCCACACCAGCCGAACGAGAAGAGATGGCAACCATGCCGTACATGGCCGTCATCGGGAGCTTGATGTACCTTATGACCGCAACACGACCAGACTTGGCACACTCCATGGGCGTCCTAAGTCGTTTCATGGCAAAGCCGAGTTATGAACATTGGCGGGCAGCGAAGCAACTCCTACGCTATGTGCAGCACACGAAGGATGTAGGTCTTGTCTTCAAGAAGGGCGACTTGGATGTGCACGTGTACTCAGACTCCGACTATGCCGGCGACCTTGACAACAGCAAGTCAACCAGTGGGTACATTGTCATGCTCGGCCCAAACTGCGTTTCTTGGAGCAGTCGGAAGCAGGAAGTCATTGCGCAGTCTACAAAGGAGGCAGAGTACATTGGGCTGGCCAACGCGACAAAGGAGCTCGAATGGGTCAAGATCATCGTGCAACACCTACTGCACGACTTCAAAGCCACCGATGCGCGCTTGACATTTCACATCCATGGCGACAATCAGGGTGCTATCGCCTTGGCAAATGATGCTCGCTTCCACACCCGCACCAAGCACATACGGACGAAATATCACTTTGTGCGAGACTGTGTACGGCGTGCTCGCATGTCACTCGGATACGTTGCTACTGGAGACATGATTGCAGATCTGACAACCAAAGCACTAGGTCGGCAGAAATTGCAAAAGTTCATGGCAATGCTCGGCCTTCGTCGCAAGACTAGCTAGCCTCATGGACGACAATGAGCTAGGTGGAGTGTTGTGTTGAGACGTTGATTGTTTCAGGAGCTCATTGATGATGCGACGATCAGGGGCCCAAGCTGACACGCTGGCAGGTTGAGGACATAAGTAGAGCGGCTGCGCTGCCTTTAGTCTAGCAGAGGACTAGTAAACTCAAGAAGTATTAGCTGAACAGCGAAACACCTAAACACCCGAAGACAAGGCTCATACTACCTCTTAAGTTTACTAGTCCTCTACTAGACTAAGGGCAGCGCAGCCGCTCTACTTATGTCCTCAACCTGCCAGCGTGTCAGCTTGGGCCCCTGACCGTCGCATCATCAATGAGCTCCTGAAACAATCAACGTCTCGACACAACAGCTTCGAATTCCCGCAACAGCTATCCTGTAACCTCCTTGTGCGGTGATACTGTGCTTCGAAGCCTTTCCCATAAGTTCGTGTTCTGCCATCACTACGCAACGCCAGCGCAAGGCTCATAACCTGTCAGACCTATTCGGGGTTCGCATCGCATTCCCGTTGAGCCAGAAGTGATGAGTCCCTAGAGGACACCGCTGCAGCTCTTTGAACCCCGAATCCAAGGCCTCATCCAGGAGTCAGTGCTCATCAGGAGACACTTCCTGGACCCAACTTCGAATCCCGCAGAATCTCGAAGCTCATTTTATATCTAACACAAAGCAGGATGAGTGTTGATCAAGACTCACACCTTGAAATAATGAGCTGCCCATGCCGGTTTCATGCCAATCGAAGTTTGAAGTTACAGACAGTCAAAATGAAAATTATGAATTCGCATGCCCTGTGCTAGTCCCTAGGAACGTGGCGTGGTTTTATCTTAGCTGATATACAGAGCGAGGCAGTCAAGGGCATAATAATTTGACCTTTTGTCACGTTCTGGGTATTTGCACTGTGACTCTCGAATCTGTCTTGTGCTTGCTCAAGTTCATCCGCCTTGGACGACGACCTGCACGCGCACCAATGTCACATTCGTTCTCTTCTCTCTCTTGTATTCCATTCTCTTATCCTGTCTCTCTTTAGCGCTCCTTCTCTTTTCTTATCCCTCATGTCGGGAAAATAGGTACGCCTCGAGAGACTGTGGCGGGGTGCTCTGACGTCTTCATTTTCAGCAAGCTGAGCAGGACTTCAGCCTGCGCCTGAGCCTTAGTGCTGCTCGTCTATTTGTGATTAAAGCCTCCTGCCGGCTGGATTCCCACCAGAAAGTGGTTCAATTGACGCAGAGCCTGACACCGAGGAAGCCTCTGTCTTCTGGACTTGCAACAACGCGAAGGTGGCGCTCAAGCTTGCAACCCTGCTCACTGCGCCAGTCAGCATGGCAAGCGCAGATTAGGCAGTTGATCCGGGACTTCATAAGCTAGAAGTCATTATATGGCTGATGGGGTCGGCTCCTTCGCTGTGAGAGCAGTTCGTGCTGCCCTGCTCAATTCTCTAGCTCCACGCCTAGCTCGCTGGGCCATATTGGGGCTTTCACTGTGAACGAGCCCATCCTGTCAGCCATGCTGACTTCCAACTTGCGATATCCCAGGTAAACTGCCTAACTCGCGCTTGCTATGCAGGCTGATGAAGTGAGCAGGGTTGCATTTTTGAGTAGAAACTGCGCGTTGTTGCAGATGAGGATGACAAAGGCTTCCTCGTTCACGAGCTCTGCATCGATTGGACCATTCGACTATTGGATTTCGAGGTCCTGTACTGAAAGTAGGGTTGGAGATTGTGTAGGTAACAGCGCCACCGAAGATCTGCACTGCGAAGTTGACAAATGCTGCTAGTCATTGTAAAGCTGTCTTGGTACCAACGTGGGAGTTTGTCAATTCCTCAGCTGCTGTACTACCCAGTATCATCCAGCGAGCTTGCCGTGGAGCCAGAGCAGTGATGAGATCATGCTACGGTCCATACTCCATGCACATATCAAGCGCTCTAGATTGTGCCTTATTTCGTACACCTAGCTAGCGAGCAAAATATGCTGCAGACAGCAGCTCAGCTGGCCGTGTGGCTCTACTCTCTGCAGCACATTTTGCTCGCTTCGTGTGAGCTGCTGTCTGCAGCATATTTTGCTCGCTAGCTAGGTGTACGAAACAGATGGACCCAAACAGATCTCAGAAGCTCAAGAGCGCCCATCTTGCTGTAAATTTCAAACGTGCTGCAGAAGGTAGAGATAGATATGGCATCAGAAAGCCTGGGTGGTGCAATGACGATTGAACCTTGTGGATATTTGTGAAATGGCTGTCAATCGCCAGCATAAGCGTCGTTCGATAAATGGGACGCAACATGTGCTTCTGCGACATGCCAACGGCTGTCCGAGCCATAGCAACGCCGAAAATCTATGCAAAATTTAAGGCGAATAAACGATCGTAATCGGCCTTGGACGTGGAACTTAGACGAGACTGTTGCTTGACACTCAAGATCGTCTGATTCACTAGTCGAGTAGAGAAGGCTGTATTACTTTGAATTCAACAAGGACGGATCAGGCCATATTCTTTGCGACGCCCGCGCCACGCCGAGTACTACTGCATCACGCGCTCGGTAGAACCTTCTGGTTTTGCGATGAGCATAGGTGGCTGGCCACTCGGTCGGCATTGTCGTTATAGATTGCGTCAAGTACGGGCAGTAGATTTATTCCCAGCTGATTTGAGCATTGACCCGGCGATTGATCATTGTGCATAGATAATTTGTGTCTGTCGCTGAAAACCATACTCAGTAGTGCCATCAGCAAATTGAGAAGGCCGAAGACAAGTGTAGGTGAAAAGCAATGAGCCATCACACAACCGTCGTGTGGTAGAGGGTCCAAATTATCATGTCACATATACGCCAAAAGGAAAGAAGCATCGTCGTGAACACAGCGACACTAGAGGCCTTCGGAGCTCGAGAATGCCGTTATAAATGCTGCCAACACCTTCCACCATCTTGATGACAGGTCACAATACAAGGAGATCGGAGCGAGCAAAGACCTCGCTGCTTGACAAGCCGATCCACATCTCATTCATAGCAAGTGCGAGAAAAGCGCACCAGCTTCTTCCCAGCATCTCCGGCTCGAGACAGATTGAGCATCAGCGTTTCGATGGAGCTCCTGCCCCTAATGTCCATGTCAGAGTCAGGCAACATGTACAAGTCGCGACATGCTGGTAACTCCATGGTCTCGAGCTCGTCGTCAAAGGGTATCTTGCGCTCCTGCGATCACTGTGGATCTGCTCTTCGGCATTGACCACATCAAGTTCGTGTTGTTTCCGCTGTATCAGGCTTGATAAATCCAGTGCTTCCGAGCACGGGGCAATTCACGACGGCAGTACTTGTACTTTACGCCGGCAGCTGCAGACATTGCTAGGCGGTGAAGTCGTGTCTACGCAGAAACACTTTGTCCAGAGGTTGCAAAATGATGATCAACCAGTGCGAGAAGGCCCAGAGGTTCGTAGAGCATACCACATTGGCAATCCTAAACCACAACACCACAAATGACTAATGGACTGACCACCCAATCATCATCGCTTCATCTCTGGCAACTTGCCGCGTTGTTTTCTGCTCTCTCACCCTTTGCCTATCGACAACGCTGACCGCGTTATCTCTGCTCGCTATCTGGCTCGTCATCTTCTCTGCGATGCCCTAGCACGTTGTCTCTTGACCGGTCTCTTCTTATCCGACCTTGACCACAATATGAGCCGCTAATGCCACGAACAAGGTCTTTTTTGCAATGAGCTCGAGCTGTGGCCTACTTGTGCTTTGAGCGATGGGTCGGCTGTACACAGCAGGAAGACGTCGTCGAACACTACAACCCTGGTTTTCCGCAAGCCTGTCTGCAAGCAGCGCCTTCAAGCATTGAGCGATGCAAGCGCAAGCAGCGTGATCAAGCAGGAGGCCTTCATGTCGTTCAGGAGTTGTTTCGTTGCCAAATTCGCCTGGACGTGCTCATGGTGTAAGTGAGACTGGAGAATACAGTGCAGGACATACTTTGATACAGATGCGTGATGCGCTCCAGACTGGACAAGTTGTCATGCAGATTGGAGCTCTGACGGTAGTAAGCTTTGAGTTACTTGTTATACGGATGAAGCTTTGGCAATGGTGTTGCAATCGCAGACACGGATAGAAACCAGTGCAGTGTCTGAGTACATTTCTATCGTACTATTCCTTGTGCTTCCCCATGAACCGCTCTGCATAGTCCAACAAAGTGTCCACGCCAGATGGGATTGAGCTCGCTCGATCACGGAAGAACCCGTTGGCTGACCTCAAAGTTGAGATAACGGAAATCAATTGAGGTAAGAAGGTCTTTTTTGCGTACCTGAAGTGTTAGCCTCTTGAAATCTACCTGTGCTGCACATGCCAGAATCCGCTCAGCAGGGCGACGGTAACAGATACGAAGATCAGGGTGTAGAGATGAACTAGCTTTTGAAGGCGGCTGTGGGATGTTTCCAGCTGCCGCAAGCGCGCCTCAAGCTTGTTGACATCAGAGGGAGACATGAGTTTTGTGGGGTCTTGGAGCAGGTAGCAGAGCAGTAGATGGAGCAGCAGATGAAGCAGCAGACAGAGCAGCAGACAGAGCAGCAGATGAAGCAGCAGATGAAGCAGCAGATGGAGAAAGGTCTGGTGTCCGGCTCAGGAGCCTTGGACTGAAGACACGTGCAAAAACAGCACACAACAATGTCAGAAGCAAAATAGCGCAACCAGACCACAGACAACCAGACCATGGCTTCCCTGGACTCCTACCCGCAGACATGCCCATCCGCTGGACTAGGTTACCCCGGCAACCTCACTGCAGAGCAACAGACGAAACTGGAACAGTTGCGCAGCGAACTCGTGGCAGAAAGCTACAAGGAACGGACAGATGATGCATCTCTTGTAAGGCCATTTGTTTAGCATGCAGCCATTGCTGACTACCTAGCTACGGTTCTTGCGGGCACGCAAGTTCGACGTTGCACTGGCGAAAGCCATGTTCATCGACTGCGAAAACTGGCGAAAGAGTTTCGGCGTGGACGAGCTCAAGCGCTCATTTGACTTCAAAGAGAAGGAACAAATCAGCAAATTCTATCCTCAGTACTATCACAAGACGGACAAAGATGGTCGTCCAATCTACATTGAGCAGCTTGGTGGTATTGACCTCAAAAAGATGTACGAAATCTCCACGCATGAGCGCATGATTCAGAATCTGGTCGTTGAGTATGAAAAGTTCACCGACAACAGACTGCCTGCCTGCTCACGCATGAAGGGCGAGTTGGTCGAGACGAGTTGCACCATTATGGACCTCAAGGGCGTCGGCATCACCTCCATTTCAAGTGTCTACTCCTATGTCAAGTCGGCCAGTGCCATCGGTCAAAATTACTATCCGGAGCGCATGTAAGTGTCTCGACTAGTGATCGCATTTGACTAATCTGACAGGGGCAAGTTCTACATGATTAACGCACCTTGGGGCTTTTCTACTGCATTCGGTATGATCAAGAGTTTGTTGGATGAAGTCACCGCAAAGAAGATTCACATCCTTGGCTCGCACTACAAGGATGAACTGCTCAAGCAAATTCCTCCTCAGAACCTGCCCAAGAAGTTTGGTGGAACGAGTGAGACAGCAGGTCCAGTCGAGCTCTCTGATGAAGGGCCATGGACTGATCCAGCATTCGCATCTCCAGCAGCTACGGCGACTGAGCCGAAGGCGGCACTCATCAGTGGGACTGCCACTACCTCTGCGGCGAGTCCTGCAGCAGGCACGGCAGCGGCGATCTAGAGCGTAGGGTCATAGCATTCATTCTAGAATTCTAGAGAGTCGGATTCAGTCTCATCCACCACACTGCTGGCAATACTTGGTCCAGTCAACGCCTGCAATGTTCGGGCATGCTCCAGCTGATGCGCATTGAACTTGCGTTTCCTCTTGATCCCTGTTGCAGAGAGGACAGTGTTGCGCGTGAGTCGACCTCCGTGCTGTTGCGTATAGAGCTGTTCCATGTGTTCTTGTTGCATCTCACATTGTGTCAATATATTCACGAAGGGGCCCAATTCTGCACAGACTATCAATGTGGATCGTTGCCATGTCATGGGAGCGCACAGATGATCTGGAGATCTAGGTTCAGGATCCAAGATGTTTTGACATGCAGCCCTGATTTTGACCGCTGGCTGACCCGATTGAGCTGCGTTCTTGTCGTGATGCAAAGGACAGTCGTGTTCGATATTGTACCACCGGTCTGGCAAAGAAGCGCCTTGAAAATGAGACTGCAATCCACACATAGGATCATTGTCACCGTGCCAAAGACCTTGGTATCTGCCAGCAGGCTCGCTAACAATCGGATGGCCACTCAAATCGTCGATCAGAGAGGCTCGAGCTCTCGTGATCTCTTCATTCTCAGATTCAAACACTATATCTTCTTCAACGAACCTCGAGCGAGTTTGTTGAAGCAAGATGTCGGCCAGTGAGGCCATTTCGGAGACTTGAGCAATAGCAAGTCGAATCTGTGTGGCGCCGAGAGACGAGCTGCTTGATTTCAAACTGACTACCTCTGTTTGGGCATGACGTATGTAGTTCCTGTCCAGCTGAAGTTGCGCCAACGATGCACGTAAGTCGTGTCTGACGAGCGTGGCGCTAGTCATCGCTGGTGTGACCTCAGGAGCGACGAAACCTTGCCATTTGGAGATGGTAGACACGTGCGCAGCTACCTGCTCAACAGGAGGCACATCGAAGTGAAGCAGAACCTTTTTGTCTGCAAGTGGCCGTGGAAGCAGGCTGACATCGTTGCAAGTGAGAAGCAGTGGGCGACGAGCCGTAGCAATGAGCGCAAAAATTCCCGTCCAAAACTCCTTGTCCTCTGCGAAAATGACATCGACATCTTCAAAGAGCAAGACACACAGCGCGCCAGCTTTGCCGTCATTACTCTGGTTGAGCAGGTGACTTTGTGCAATCTCCCCAACAGCATCTTTGATGTCTTTGTGGCTGCGCTTCATGCCAGCGTGAACTTCAAATATCTCATAGTGTAGTTCGTCACACAAAGCTCGGATTGTGGCGCTCTTACCACTGCCGGGTGGTCCACCTAAAACCACAACATTGGACTGCCAAATATCTTCAGCTCCAGGCGGCAATGGCGGGACAGACAAGGCATGAGCCTCTTGTTGCGAGAAGGGTTCAGCATCGTCAGTACAGGGGACAACTTCTTCATCGTCGCTTTCTACTATCCAGTCGTCTAGATCGTCCGCTCCCTGTTCGTCGTGCAACCGGGTTGCCAGCTTCAACCTCGAGCGATTGGACAGTCGACGAGATTGTAGCCATGATCGAAGGCAGTGCACTTGTCGCTCATTGCCAAGAATTTGGTCTGCGTGCTCTGGCGCGTAGCGGGCACTAAGCATGGAAGCTTCGTCTTCGGAACCATTTTTAGGGGCGACGGCCCTAGGCACCGTAGAAGCACCATTTTGTGACACTAATTCGAAATTGTACCCACAAGAATTGCATCGTGCACATTCGACACGAGCATCAGAGTCAGGGGAAAAGGCAAATGCAAAGACGGTCGCTTCCGGTTCCAGCTTAGAACGCTTCCTCTTTCGTGAGGTGCTCTGCGAGAATGCAGCTAGCTTTTCCTCTGATTGCGAGACGACGTGCATGTCCGCCCGTGAAGGTTGTGGAGCATCTTTGAGCTTTGGCAACGAGCTTAGCAGTTGCAAATCGTATGCAATACGTTTGCTGATAGGCCTGTCTGTGGCAATCGCCTTTTTGAAGAATGCATGGGGTTCCCGAATGACACTCTGTACAATAGGCTCATTCGCTCTGACCTCCTTGTCCGTCTCCACGCCTACGCTCTTCTGACCAAAGCTCTGCTGGAAGAATGGATGTGGTTTGCGGTGAGGCTCTGGCTTGAAAGTCTTCTTTGGCTTGACAGGCTCGACAAACTTTCCAGCGTAAGATTTGGCAATCATTGCTCTCCATCGCTGCGGATCGATGCGAAGGACAAGGCGGCTGTCGAAGACCGGCTTCTTGGTAGGCGACTTGATCCCGGCCCATGCGCGCAATGTGTTCGTTTGACGTGCCTTTTTCGGCGGCATTCCATGAGCGGTCAGCACAGCTACTTGCTCCTCCGTGTAGAGTCCCCACCAGTCTTTTACTGCCTCAAGCAAGCTAATGTGAAATGCCTCCTAGTGCTCGAGCGCGTCTTTGGTTGTCGCGCGACTTGCGCCATGAAATTCCCCGGCAGAAGTTGCGCGGGCAAGCAAACATCCACATACAACACCTCAGGCAACCTGCAGAGACATAGACTGGTCCTTGCTTCTGCTCGTATACATCTGCGCATCTCAAGCGATATCAACTGGTCCATCCGGCTGCTTCAACAAAGAAGCCTAACTCAAACACAAGTCAGCTACAGCGTACAGCTCCATATATAGCTCTTTCGGCAACAGTATCAGGTATTGAAGGCTCAGCGTTCACTGAGAATTGCTCTGCCACGAGATCTGATCGGCCTAGCAGACAGCTCGCCGTGCGCTTCACGTCGTCATGTCCAGCGACGGCGATAATGTATCGCACATTGAATCCTGGACGGCTGAGGAAGTCTCAGCGTTCCTTGCCGGACTCGAGCTTGCCCAATATGATGATGACTTTGCAGAAAATGGCATAACCGGTGATATACTGGTACATCTTGACCACGAAGCGCTCAAGGACATTGGCGTTGTTAGTGTCGGACATCGCCTTGCAATACTGCGCAAGGTCTATGACCTCAAGATCAGGGATGGCGTTCAGATTGAACCCGAACACTTTGTACCTGCCTGTAAGCTGTCTGAGCCTACTTGTTCACATGCTAAAGTATAGCTGCTTCCGGGGCAGACACGCTCGAGGCCCCTGCTTCGCTGACAGATGTCTCGAAAGATCTACTGACCATCACATCAGCAATTCAACAGCGCGGTATGCCAAACTCACATTATGAATCATCTTCTGACATGTTTAGATGAACGTTTGGCAGCCTCGGATGCAGAAGTCAAGCGGCTAAGCGAATCCTTGGCAAAACTCAAGGAGCAACTCGCACCAATATTCAAAATGGCCAAAGAAATGCAACCTTTGCCTACGCCAGATCTCTCTTCCCCTGCTCAAGCGATACCGCGCAAGTTTAGCACAAAGAAACTCTTCTTGGGCTCAGCACCAAAGCAAATATCACCGACACACCCTCCTGCGCAATACTTTTACGGTGAGCCAGAGAGTCCGCGATCGCCAAGCCGCACGTTAGATTCCCCTGCTTTGCGTAGTCAGACTCCAGCGGGTATAGCGAGCACGCAGCACCTCGAGGTGGTTCCTCCTAGGCTGCCCCCTCCTCCAAGACCTCCGCCACCTGGTTCGTCGTATAGCGCTTCGCCCAATTCGACTCCCTCGAGCAGCAGTAAGCGAGCTGAAGAACATGCAGCTGCTGCCAGTGCCGCAGCAATGGACGCCTTTAAGTCATTCCGGGTAGGTCTAGACGACCCTTGCTCGAAAGTGCTTCCTGCTGCCTTGAAGAAGTACAAAATCAACAGCGATTGGCGCGAATATTCGCTCTTTATATGCTATCAAGATCAGGAGCGCTGTTTAGGCCTAGATGAGAAGCCTCTCTTGGTTTTCCAAGAGCTGCAACGCGCTAACAAGTCCCCGGTATTTATGCTGAGGAAGCAGAATGGCCAAGAAGAGCAAGAGCGATTTTAGTGATTTGGGGAAGAACAGATCTTGTCGTAGGCATTTGTATGTACTCTCAATGTCCTTGGAAATGTCAAAGGTGTAGACTCTTTCCGCTAAAGCCTAAAGTGTACCTGGTAGGCTGGTACTCGTACATGTACAGAGTCAAATCTTGGAAATCTGAGCGCGCACAACAACCGCGACCGCGCTCAAAACCTTCAACTTGACAAAGAGAAGCCCATGGGCATCGCCTGATTCCTCTCATGGCAGCTTCTGAAGTTGGTGCATCTATTGAGTACCTTGTCAGCTTGAGGACGGCTCTTGTGAATTTGCTCGAAGAGTACACAGCAGATCAGGGAGACGTCCTCGAAGACCACGCCCACACCTTTCTTCCCCTCCTCGATACAAAGGGGCCCTCGGCTGCATCTCGCAAGCAGATTGAAAGCGGCAAATGTGATATTGACGGCGAACCATGTGAACTCAACAAGGAATTCATCGACAAGTGCCTGGCTCTCTCGAAACATTTAGAGTTGGACGAAGTCCGTGCGGCGGAGCTTTTGCAAGAGGGAGCTTTGTCCAGTACAAAGTACGACAGACCGCCCTTTGCCTGTGCAGTCTTTCTTTACCATACTAAACGCCAATTGCTACTCGACTGCATGCGCCTTGTGTTGGAATCAGCAGCCGACGAAAACATCGACAGCGCTGTGCAGCAAATCTGCGTCAATTTCATTGACCGCGTCACTTCCGGAGACGTGAAAGCATTCATTGACGCCTGCCTTCGACAGCTGCAGCTCCTGAAGCGTCAATATCAGGAGATTGGCGATGGATCTGAGGCGATGAGGGTGCTTCGCGTCAATGAGCCCCAGCAAGACGATGAAATGTTCCAGACACTCATCCTTGATCAATACGAGTGTCTCGTCCTATTGCTCTGCAATTTCTGCAAGCTCCATCCGGAAGAGCATCACTTCATGTTCAGTCAGCTAGAATCCTTGTCTCAAACCAGTAAGTGGTCGGAGTTTGTTTCTCTGGATTTGATTCTGATTGCGCGCTCGGTACAGAACCTCTCTGCAAGCAGTAGTAGTGTCGTGGCAAGCAGGACCATTCAGCACGACTTGCTTTCCGCTACATTTCGCAAATTGATTGCAAAGCTGTCGGCCGAGTCAAAATGGTCGAATCTCCCTCTCAGGTCTATTCTTCAAGCCATCGTTGCAAGCGAGCTTAATGGTCTTTGTCGCGACCTAGAAAGAGATTTTGCTTCATTCGACTATGACCGGGATGTGGCATCGCTTTTCAGCTCGGCCCTTGAAGGCAACGTATTTCAGCATATGCTGACTTCTTACCAGTTTGCGACTTGCGACGTGAGCTCTACGAGTCCATTTGCCATTTTTATTGAACAGGGAGCGTACTCATTCTACCAGGCATCTGCTCATCACAGCAAGCGCATTCTGCTCGTGGCAGCATTGACGGAATGCTACCGATCCTTTGAGCACGCTTTTGTGACGAACCTGCCGGATCAGCTCAAAACAATCAAGTTACGAGCTGAAGATGACGAGACAGCTGACGATGAGCTCACGCCGCCTACAGAGAGCGGCCCTCGGCATCTCGAGCTCTTCTTTGGGCTGGTCCATACATTGGCTGTCGATGGGCCTGAGCATAATCGCGAGTTTTGGGACGATCCTGATGGCGACTTGCATGGATTCCTGGTATGGGGCTCTTATTGCGAGGTACCAAGCATGATCTATGCGTATTGTATGATGCTGGGCGCGCTCATAGCGGATCCTTTCGGCTCGAATGCTGCATTGACCTTTCTCAGCGCCACGCAATCGCAGCCCGATGCTGGGCAGCTTTTGCCGTCATCCACAGTCTCTTGGCCTTTTCTTTTCGATTCCTTCAGGTATTACATACGGCACCTGAACGGCAAATCGAACGCTTTGTACCAGCAGGACATCCTTGAAGTGGATGCTCAAAACAGTCTCATCTTGAAGTCCTATCTTTACGTGGCTCGTCAGCTCTCGCTCCACATTTCGGAGCAGCAACACGTTGTTGACCTAGATTCCAAGTTTGACTGTCTTGCAAGCCTGTTTCAATTACTCAGTTGCCCTTTACCCAAACCCCTCTACGCAGAGATCATTGATACAATCTGCGCAATGGCAGCACGGCAACACAATCTACAGATCAAATCATGGAAGCTGTTCGAGACATGGGTTGGTTCTGGGTTGGCGAATCTCCAACAAGAGCTTGCCATCAAAGCTCGAGCACGAGAGCAACAACAACATGGCCTGGATGCCTTGCTGTTCTTTGCAAAGAGTTCACCAGATTTGACAAAAGCAATTGTCAACTTTCTGCGTGTCCAAAATCACTGCATCACCAATTTGGCCTTTCAGCAATTGTCTATGAATGGCAGTGCAAATCAGGGACTTCAGTATGGCGTGGCGCGTTATGTTGAGGTCGTCTTTGATCTTCTGGAGCACGTATGCGCCGTTGATAACGACTTGTCTGCCATTACGAGAATTGAGCTGATGCATGCGTGCATGGCCTACTTTGAAGAGTCCCTTGATGCCGTCGGTCCGTCCTTGCTTCTATTATCTAAAGGCAGTACAGCTCTTGGGGTTATGGGCATAAGTGGAGCCGCTCGGGAGCAATACATGACCCTGCATCCCGCCACGCGAGTGCTTTCGCTGTTCGCGAAGGGCACTGGAAGCAAGCACTTGTTCAATTTGGTGGAGAGTCATAATATACAAGATGCAACATTACGCGCGAAGTTGGAACCTTGTTTGGAACAAGGGCTTAAGGTCTTGGACCATGTGCTCTTCCTGACTCCTCTGTTTGCAAATCTCGAAGAATGGACTCACCTGCCCAAGGCAGAGATGATGACTGGTCTCTATGAACGCTTGTTGAGCGACCCGAGTCTCGTGGTTCACTTATGCAGCCTGTGCGTCTCTGCATCCCAAAGCCTGACCTTGCCAGCTTTGGCGGTTCTCAGACAAATACTAGCATCTTGCGGGGATGATCATCAGCAGCGTGTGCTCAGCATGCTGGTGTCTGTCGACCATGTCAAACCCATTCTTCTAGGATTCGCCCAGCTCATCGAGTTGCATATGCTCGAAGGTGCTGCGTCGGAGACTGGAACAAAATCACTGCTGAATCTCATACTTGACGATTTGATAAAGCATCAAGGCCGAATTTGTGTCGCTCACTTTATCCTTGGATTTCACGTCAGTAACAATGCGAGTGTACAAAAGGGTGATGACCCTGGCCAAGTTGGCTCTGGATCATCCGTACTTCATGCGGTGATCCAGGCTGCAGCGAGCCCTGACACACAGCCCGAGGCAGCCCTCCTAGCTATGCAGATTCTGATGCAGCTTGTTGAATTTCCAATGACTGTGTCTCTGGTCTTTGAAGAGGCTTTGCCATTGCAAATCACACAGGATGCTCTGCAGGCCATGTCCCGCGCCACTGATAGCGATCTGGCTGATAGTCATTTTGTCGCTTTACGCCATACTCTAGATTATCGAGCCGCATTTCAGCGCTACGCAACCAAGGAGCTCCTGTATCTTGAAGCTTGCGATGCCAAGACTGACAAAGTGGCCCTGCTCAACATGCTTGCCTCTCCCAACTCTGAGCATACCGACGAGAGTGGTCGTACACAAGCGCCCTTATGCTCCTTTATGGATGTTTTCCAGACACGCCTACCGACCCTGCTCGTGCCGCCTCCCAAGTACTTTGTCTTTGAGGCGTTGTCTGTACTGTTGACGGAAGACCCAGACGCGCTACGAACAGTTACAACTGCTGTCAATTGTCGCCTAGAACAACTTCGTGGGGGTCTCGGCAAGGAACATGTTGCGGACGCAGTCGCCGAAGCAAGAGAGCTGTGTACATATGCTGCAAATTACCTCGCAACATCGAAAGCTTATGCGACACTCGTGGCGACCCGTCAATCTTGGACCAATTTGGCTGTCTCGGTGTTGGACTCCGCCTCAGACTCGCAGCCAGATAGAAGTGCCTTCCTATCTGTTGAATTCTTGGAGCTCCTGCTGCCCAGTACAATCAAGGCATTGGCGGAAACTGATGTTGATATCGAGACAATGGTAGATGCCGCCTGCTTGATTGTCACGCGATCTCATCTGTTTGCCATATCTCCCGAGCAGCAACAGCATTTTCAGCGAACTCTGCTCGTTGCCGCACTACACCCAGCCGCCTCGAATTCTCTCAGAGAAAAGCTCTATGTCGCAATTGCTACGCTCGTTAATCAAGCTCTTGTCTCAAAGGAGCCTGATCATCTCAAGCTATCCCACTTGGCTTTGCGTCCTTCATGTGCCAAAACTGTCGACCAGCTGTGTCAAGGAGTAACTCAAGCTGAAGGACTATTGCAATTGAGCGCATGCATTTTGCTTGATGCGGTCATCACGCTCTGTGATCTGTTTGAGCCTGGTTACATGCCTCAAATGCTAATTCGTTCGAACTTATTGATGCAGTTGATTAATCACTTTGCTCGGTACCTTTTGTCTTCTGATGCAGATTTGGATATTACCGAGCGTCAGTTCGACCTTCTTCTTCGTCTGTGCATGCAGAAGGAATTGGCAACTGAAATTGTACAACGCTCACATCTCTTTGACGCGCTCATCGCAGGCAGTGCATCACGAACCGATGGTGAGTGCTTGTTCTCGAATGGACGCACACTAATGCTAGATATTCACGATTTGACCAGGGCACCAATAGCAGTAGCGACCATGAGGCTGGTCGCCACCTGCTGTATTACACTGAAGCCCGCGCAGGCGCTGCAACTTCTTGACAAGTATGAGAAGGTTCTTCGAGATAGTGCCATGCGCTACAAACAAGCTATGCAACAAAATGGACAGGAGGGGTGGACAAGCATGGCGTCATTATGCAGCTTACTGGACGAGATGATGCAGACGATGCGCTAAATCTTCGCTTGAACTTTGACCGGTGCCTTGGATTGCTCGAGGAGATTGTCGAGATTCTAAAAGTTAGCAATGTAGAAACGAAGCAAGCATACCCGGAGAATCTCTGATATCTTCCTGTCAAGTGGCTCGAAAGCTGCAGTGACAATTGCCGGCTGATGTCTCATGGACTGTTGAGCTACCTGATGCCGAGCCTGGTCTTGGATGATGAGCATGAACGTCTTGTAGAATTTGTCGTCCTTCACATGCGACGCGAGAGCTGCGTCAGTGATGGCTGGATCTAAGTGCTGCACGAGCTGCGAGGAACTGCGCCGTGTCTCGAGCATCTCCATCTCATCGACAACCCCCCTGTGGCGAGGCTCATCAATGAAGTCTGCTTTGACGGGATCGATCGACATTAGTTTCGAAGAACGCATCTCTTGGACGCCCGCAGGCAGTTCAATGTCTCTGGACACCCTGTGCTCAGCGAGAGCATCTTCCACCACAGCTTGTTCTTGGGCCGCTCGGGCTGCAGGTGGCTGAGACTGTAATTGAGTCGGTGGCAAATGCAGATTGGCAGTTGTATCTTTTGAGGAGCTCTTGTCAATTGGCGCTTCAGAGACCAAGTTTGGAGGCGCATCAACTGGCTCAAACTCTTTTGCACCGTACCGAGCTGCACCGAGCGTGGAAATTTCAGTCGACTCCGTTAGTGCCTCCTTTCTGCTTTTCTTTTTGAAAAGGCTGCCAAAGACGTTCTTCTTCTTCTTGTCCTTTGGAGATTCGACTTTTGAAGAGTTGTCCGACAATATTGACTTGACTGAACCGATGGATCCTTGGCTGCCGCTGCTGTTGTGGCTAGGCTGACGGGCAATCGGTGCATTAGGTTCTTCAGTCTCGCCACGCTCTGTCGCTTGGCTCTTGGCATACTCAGGAGTCAGGGTCAGCTTCTTTGTTGGCCTCGTGAAGGACAAGTCTGCTGATTGCAAGTCGACGTCTGCAGTGCCATTGGTGACATGACGAATTGTCGCTTGTGGAGATTGAGCGTTTTGTGCTTCTCTAGCTTGCTCTGCTTCTGCTTCTTCTAGCTCGCGCTCTTCGTCGGTATCATAGTAAACATCATAGACGACAACAGTCGGCGCTGCAAAAGCCACACCCCTTGAGGCCTTACGATTTCTGCGCAGACTGAATTTGCTGGGCTTTGGGGCGGCTTGCACAATATCATCCAAATGACTGGCACCTTCGCCAACATTTCTGTGCTTGTTGTAACGCGCTAGCCGTTCTGGAGGTGTCTCGATATGTTCTGCAGGAAGGTAGCCGATACTTTGATCCTTGATGTTGCGCACGAGCCACCAGTACGAATTGGTGTCGTCGAGCAAGACAAGTGTATCGCCCTTTTGGCATGTTGCTTGTCCCTCGACCGTGGCTAGGAAAGTGTGCAGCGCATAGACAAAATTGAAGTCTATGTTTTCGTCTGGGATGGTTGGCGAAGAGGAGATAGAGCTCGCCAGCTCTTCGTCGTCAAACTCATTGTCGCTCATGTCTGCAGAGCTCTGTCCCGCGGCACAAAGATACAGAGGTCTTTTATAGGTTTATACGCAGAGCTACAGCTGTGAAGAGTACAAAATCAATGCGATGCGTCCTGCTGTCAGCGCATTAGAATCTGTGGTGGCTGGTCTGTCGCGGTCGTTGAGTTGAAGTCGCCAAATAGACGCGACAGGGGAAGCAGCAGCACATTAACAGATTGACAGATCTATAGGGAACGAGCAAGGCCCGGTCGACAAGGTAGCAAGCAATGATCCTGACGACAGACTACATGATAAATAGCCTAGTCTCAATACAAAAAGAATCTCAGGCCACAAGCAATATCTACTTACCCTCTGCTGCACGCCTCAATCGCATCTGTCGCTTCGTCTGCGTGTTGATGTACGTGCCAAAGACAAAGGCAATGGCATTGAAGAACGGCACCCAGGCTTCAGGCGCAAGGAACTTTTGTGCAAAGATGAGTGCAAGAGGAGAAGTCATCCATGAGATCTTCATAATCTAGGCCTGTTAGCAAGTGAATGAGGAGAGGTCAACGGCATACCGGCAGCAAATTAGTCCTGAGGGCACCCTTGATCTGGGCGGTGTTTCGTGCACCAGCAATGATGGCCATGCACGAGATAAAGGCCGTGTTCTGGATGGGCGAGACGATCAAATTGCTTGCAATGATTTGCAAGATCTTGTCCTTGGTGGTCGTCTTGCCTTCAAAGACCTTCTGCAGCGTCGTGACCAGGAAGTGGCTCAAAGGAGCAGAGACAAAGGCACCTGGCAAGTTAGTTTCGCATCTGATGGCTGATGTAGAGCGTACCATAAGCCATCATCTTGGGAACACGGTCAGAAACGTAAGAACCATCCTTTGTCTTCTCTCCGGCCAAGTATGAGGCAGTGACTTCCTGGATACCGTTCAATGTGGCATTTGTGATGGCTTTGGTTCGCAATGGGTGGAGAGCGAGTTGGCCGAGATATCTTGCATGTTAGCGCGCGTCAAAATGACTGCCATGGATGCACTGACTTGTGGAGGAGGGTCTGCTCTGTGGCCTTGATTGTGCTCATTGTAAGACTGCTGTAGATGGCTCTGGAGTATCGAGCGAGTGTGTATGCGGGGGGTGGCCGAGTCCAAGGCAGCAGCAAACTGAAATTCAGCGCGCGCGGAGACTTCCCCTCGGGCCGCGCCGAACAAGCTGCTACCTACACAGTCATCGGACTTGCCTACTGTCAGACGCTTAGAATATGGCAGTGTACGTGATATAGAAGCAAAGTCACTGGTGCCACATTAGTTGCCATAGCCCGAACCGTAGTTGCCTTGCGGAGGGCGCGGCTTGGCCCAATCACTCGAGTCGCCGTACGTCTGATGTCCGCTGCTCGAGGGTCCACCCTGGCCTCCGTATGACTGCTGAGGAGGAGCACTATAGCCTTGCCCATAATTCTGTGGAGAAGGTGCTGCATTACCATAGCTTTGGCCATATGAGCCTTGTGGTGCTCCGTATGCTGGCTGATTGCCGTACTGCGACGAAGGCGGTTGGCCATAACCAGCGCCATATGTACCTTGACCTTGACCTGGACCGTGACCTCCGAAGCCACCCTGGCCGGGCGAGCCATAGTCTGCGCCATACGACTGTTGCGCTGGAGCTCCGTAAGCGCCCTGCTGAGCTGAAGCACCATAGCTGCCAGACTGCTGATGCGACTGCTGGTGGGCGCTACCACCATACGTGGATTGCGAGTGTCCAGCATTCCCAGAGTAGCTGTCTGATCCATAGGCAGGAGCATCATCGTTGTTGGACGAATATTGCTGGCTGTGACTGGCAGGCGAGAAGTGTTGTGTGTTGGACGGCTTGTGGCCTCCAGACTGCTGATGAGAGTTGCCTTGTTGCCCGTGACCGCCTCCATACTGTTGCGATTGGCTGTGGCTCTGCTGGCCAGAAGGCTTATTGTAGCCAGTAGACGAGTGTGAAGAGTGACTGGCATTGCCTTGGTAGCCCTGTTGACCACTTGGAGACTGTCCATAGCTGCTCGATTGAGACTGACCATAAGCACCGCCTTGGCCGTGGCTGCTCGAGTGAGACTGGCCATAACTACCAGATTGTCCATGACCGGCAGCAGCAGCACCGGCGCCAAATCCTGCAGCACCCGCAGCCGCTTGTCCGTAGTGTGAGCCGCCACCTCCACCTGAGCCATGTGCAGCATGCGAATGTGTTGATTCCACACCAGTCGTTGCTGCCGATCCACCTTCATGGTGCAAGCCATTTCGAACACCTTGCATGGTCAATCCACTCAAAATTGTCTGCTTCTTTGAGCCGAGAGACTCTACCCATTCTTGAACTACTCTTGACATTTCCTGCTGAATACCGGAACGTCCCTGAGGCTGGGCAGGGTGGTGGAACGTCTCGAGGATCTCATCGATGAGCTGACGAGGATCAACCTGAGTATCGACCCAGGCACGAGTGACGCGCTCGACGCAGTGCTTCACAACGGCTTGAGCGACCTTGCCGGCTGGGCCATTCAAGTAGCACGAAAAGTGATCCTTGGCAAGCATGCTGTGAGTAGGGTCCGAGCAGTGAGGATCATTAAAGACTGCAAGCTGATCATCCTTTGCGGTGACGAGTGCAGAGCCCTCAGCAAGACCACCAGTGACTTTGGTGACCAGTGGCGAGATGAATGGCTGAATTGTTGACAGCACCCACACGGTCAAGGACTCTGAGATTTTGTCAATCAAGGCATTGAGACCTGGGATTTTCTCGAAAAAGGCAGAAAGACCCTTCATCAAGCGATCGCGGAAGGCCATCACAGGCTGATGTTAGCACAAGCTTGGTGATTGAGGAATTCTCACATAGATTTTGCGGAAGATCTCATCTGCGTCTGTGTTGGCTTCAGCATACATCTGTCCAGCAGTTCCTCGGTCACGCGTACCACTAGACTTGCGCAAATTGTCACTTTCCTGCGAGATACCTTGCATCTGACTGATGTCTCCAACAAGCGAGCCCGCGCCTGGAATGGAATTGACCAACCCAGAAATATCGCTGAGCAGTCCAGAGGAGCCTTGTGTCGAGGCATTGCCGAGACCTGTCTGCAGTTCTGTGATTTGGGTTTGCGAAATCTTGTCGCTTGCTTCGCCCAGAAGACTATTGTTAGATCGGTGCGAGGTGTGTTATTGACTTGCCTGTGGACGAAATCGAGACCGCCAAAAGTACCCGTCACGATGGGCCACGTAGACTTGCCATTGAGCTGAATGCCGGTAGATGTGCCAACGTGAGGGAAGACATCGCGATAGCCGAGCTCAATCAAGCACAATTCGACAAAGTTGCTGTGGGCAGAGTAATCCTCGAGCGTGTGCATAGCTTGACCAAGAAGACGAAGACTCTCGAATTCAGCAGCATCGCCTCCGTTGCCGTGCTTCGCTTCGCGGCCTAGCTCAATGCAACGTAGCAGGGAGTTTCGAACATATGCAGAGGATGTCACCCAGTGACCAGATTCATTGGCGATGTAGTTCTTCAGGCCTGTGCGTGGGTCGACTTCCAATTCGATTTGTTCAACGGGACCTCTCAAACGAGGATCAAACTTGCGAGCATCAGGCTCTTCCGGCGAAGGATACCCTTTTGGGTTATCAATGTGTTCTTCGCAGCGGTAGCATCCTAGTCGTTCGTCTGTTACCTCAAACTCTTCAGTAGCATAGCCAAACGCCATGAAGCTCATGACCCAGACGAGCAAACGGATGGTTTTGGCATCAAGCCCTTTGGATAGTGTTCCGACGTCAATAGCCTGCGAGTAGTCCCTCAAGAAGTTGCCAAAGTAGACACGCTTCACAGCCATAGCATTGAATTTGTGATTTTTGAGGGGATTGAGCTTTGATAGAAAGCCTGCAGCTCCAGATGTTGGGTACATGATGAGAGTCAAGAGGATGTCTTCGATATCTCCATGGCGGTATTTGAGACCTTCCAAGGCACCGTACGATGGTACATTGCCTGCACCAAAGGCGGTAACGCAGCCGATCAAGACTGCAGACAAGATGATAACGCGCTCCATAACTTTTTTTGGTCAGCTAGGCTCAATGGTAACGACGAAGCGTACAGAGATGATGAGAGAAGCCTTCTTATGTTCAACAAGGCCGATGGACGTGAGTGAGGTGAAACGTGTTGGGTGTGGTCACTGTGGTGTTCTGGTGACTGTGCGATCGATTCTGGGGCAGTCACAATCCGACCATGCAGCATGCACTCGACCACCGCTCCTGGACCATGGACCACCACAAGACAAGCACTGCATTGGTGCCTTCAGCTACAAATGTCCTCGACGCGATTGTCCTGCATCTATGTTCCTGGTGCGCTTGATCTGGTCACTGAGTCCAAGCATAAAAGACTACGCTGAGGGCGGACTTCGCCAGCTGCAGTCGACCCTTGAGCACTGTGTAGTAGTAGCCTCAACATGATCAGTCTCAAGGTTTGCTGTGACTGGGGCAATCTGCACACACAATCTCTCTCTCGATGCGTTCATCACTACAGCGACACGTCGGGTAGAGCTTCACCAACAAGCTGCATCTAGAAGCTTCCTTACTCTCTACAGTCTTCTAAAAGATAGACAGCGAGAAAGCATACCGACCTGTCCACTAATGCGCTACAACTTCCACTGTCATAGTTGACAGCGACAAGACGAGCCGCCAAACAGGCAAGCGTTGCTTGGATAAGTTTGCTGAGTTTGGCACAGCATTGGTCATGGGAAGCAACGTCTTTCGAAGAAAGGTAAAGCGTGTCCGAGGTGCCCCCGCCACATATACGCTGGAGAATCGCGTTGTAGCGACGTTGGATATTGGCGTAAGGAAGTGGTCAAACAGGATCTGAAGGATCGTTTCGCAACGATGAAGTTGGATCGTACATCTTCGCCTACGTTCACAACGGGGATGCGGAGAACGATCAGGATGCGGACGCTCCAACCACTGCGAAGGACTTCTGTACCTACATCGCACCGTCACCGTCGTTATGGTCTATGGCAGATGTCGCTACTGCCAGGCGTTTCGCATCAATCAGCAGCACTTGCGTCGATCAATGTAGCAGATGCTGGAAATCAAGGATGTGCACCGGGGTACGATGTGTACCAGGGTACTTTGCGTACACGCAATCGAGCTGGCATTGTTATGCTTCGGCAAGTAGTATCACGCTTTCCTCATTCGCAACTCGTCAGCGGATCGCGCTGCTGGTCAGCAGACGTTCCGCAGAGGTGGTTTTGCGAGTGAACCTACTGCTCTTTGTCCTTGCTCGCATTTTCACACGAAGCTGTCATAGCAGATCAGATGACCCTGATACAGGTCCACCGATTGTTGACTGTCGAAGAATGAGGAGGATATGCGTAGTGAGTGAGAGTCAATGAAGACCTTAGCTGAGTGAAGCAGCTCTACCGCACTCTTCAGATGGTTTCTTACCCCTGACGCGTCCTGGCTTTGATGAGAAGCTCGTCTGTAACGTGATGTGGTGACTCGTAACATGTAAAAGATGATGACTTGTAACAGGACAACAAACTTGTCGCAATTGCACGAATCGATAGTGGCTATAGCAAGAGTTGACGTGATAAGCCGACCTACACAAAGGCGCTCTTAAAAACATTAAAGCCCGTCGCGGACGTAGAAATGATGGTACCCGGCATCTGCTTGTGCCAGTGCACCTCTTTGACATCCTTCTGGCCCATATGAGTAAACATTAGCTGGCTCGGCACATCAGCGAGGCCCTCTGCGGCCTTGGCGGCTTGCTCTTCAGCATCTAGCTCAACAGACAGATCCCAGATTGTGACCTGGTCATCCGCGCCGGCAGCTGTCAGCACAGATTCATCTGAGGGATGCCACTCAATCGAAGTGATTGCGCCCTTGTGCCAGTCAAACGAGGCAACTGGCTTGGTTGGCGCATCTCCCTGCTTGGAGAATTCTCTCAAATCCCATACGCAGATCTGGCCGTCGTCAGATCCGGTTGCAATGAGATATGGCACGAGCTTGTTCCACGACAAGACATTGACATCGGTCTTGTGCGCTTGTACGGATAGCGCAGGTGTATGCTTCTTTGACCGTGTATCCCAAATCTTGATGGTCTTGTCAGAGGAGCATGACGCAAATACAGTCTTCTCTGTTGGTGACCATTGGAGATCCTCGACCGAACCCGCATGGCCTAGAAACGGTTTCGTATCAGTAGTCCATGACCCATCTTCCTGTCTCGTCGTCACAAAGATGCGGCCGTCATTATCACCAGAGACTAATTTCCCTGGCACTAATGATGACCAATCTAGTGCATAACCTTCAACGCGATGCGCCTTGATGGTGTGGATGGGCTGATTGTGAGCCTGATTCTTGAGTAGAGAAGGCCCTGAAGGATCGTTTTCGAGAGATTGTACATGTGGCTCGAGGTTGTAGATGTAAATGCTGCTCGACTCATTCAATGCGGCTGCCAGGTGAGGTAGGCCCCTTTGCTGAGTTGCTCGTATTCTGTTTGTGCCGGAAAGGACAGGCAGCGCTCTGTAAGACAATGCAGGGTCTTCATCCATTGACTCGCTAGACGACACAGAAGAATCATCATCCACCTGTGTCTTGATGAGGTTGGTGCATTTGATGACCTGGATCTCATTGTGCTTGGGCTGGTCTGCTTGTGTGCCAGTTACAAGGTAAAGCGAAGCAGGGTACGTCCGGCGTTCTTCTCCTAGATTATCCCAGAGCACATCAAAAGTGAGGCACGGCCACTTGGCATTGACATTGTGGAGCATTTCATAGGCGGTCATGTCTGCCTCGAGCACTTCGTCCTTGCCCAATTGCATCCCTGGCAGCCAGGCTTGCGCTTTTTGTGGGTCATTGACGTTCATGTTCTCCTCATCGCCTTCCTCCTCACTCTGCTGGAAGATCTCGTCTTCATCTTCCGTCTCGAATGTATCACTGTCTTCGTCAGAGAATTGCACTTCATCAAGCCCAGGCCGGTCGCCGTCTTTGGCGGGCAGGATGGCGCCATCAACTTCTAGCTCTCTCTTGCTCATCTGTAGCTGTATCCGTCTTCTTGATCCTGTGCCCAAGGCCGCGGCTCCTTGCTGTTCTTGCTGTTAAGTCTTTCTATTTCGCGTCGCCTTTTTTGTGGATTTCCCACGGTCGGCGGCGGGAGAGGAAGTCGGCGCCAAAAAAGTTGGAAGAGACCAAATGGTGACTATAGAGAGGTAGTAGTGCTGCTAAGGAAAGAAGCCTTCTATAGCAAGAGGCTCACCTAGAAAGGGCGAGGTCAGCTCGAGGAGAAGGAAGGGCATCATTTGCATTGGACTTGCACGACAATATACTCAAAATACAAGCATGGGCACTGCAAGTACCCCGTCGGCTCATATCCTCGCCAAGCTGCATCGCTCCTCAACCTCTCAAGCAAAGGCGTATGCATCTCCGGTCAGGATTGGGGATAGGTCGTCTGCCAGGGAGCTTGTCACTGCAATCGATGCACACGGCATCAATATTTACAATGTGCGCACTAATCAACTCATTGCTTCAAATTCCTTGTCGCCTGCAACACGCTTCATGTGTGCGCCAGTGTGCATTCTAGATCGCAAGGCAGAGACACGCGTCATCTATGCCGCGACTAAAGTAGGCACTGATACTTTCAAAATCCAGAGATGGTCACAAACCGGTCTGAATGCCGAACCAGACTTGATTAGCGTTGATTTGACGTCTGCTGTAGTTGGACTGCATGTCTTGGGGAGCAGTGTTCTGTTGATCTGTTCCAATGGTACACTTATCTGGCTCTCGTTGGAGCTCGAGGAGCTGACGAGGAAGCCGTTCAGCGCAATTCGCAGTGGCGATGCCAAAGTGCTCTCACATCGGCTCGTGCTTGGCGCATCGACCGCTCTCTTCCTGCTCTCCCAAATAGCAGAGACTGTCTGGCTCGATACAATCATCTTGCCCCAAAATGCAGAAGCTCAGCTCAAAATCACGTCGGTTGCATGTCATGTGCGCTCCACAGTCAAACCGTACCATGTCGCCATCAGTTCGCTCGGTACATTGGCATCTTGGGCAGGATCAAGCATTCGCCTGCAATTAGCTGGCGAATCCACATTCACAGAGCTGCCTATCGCCGATCAATCCGATGCGATCAAAGCCAATGACATCAAGTCTATATCGTGGCTCAATGAAACGCACCTCTTGGTAGTGCGCGAAAAACAAGCATACATTTGGGCAGTCAAGTACGGTACGCTGCAAGAAACGATAACATTGCCAAGCGAAGCGCGAGCTATTGCCCTCATGCGGCAAGCACCACGCTCTGCAAAGCGCACTGAAGAAGCACACGCCGTGTTTGCAAGCTTGTCGAACATCTACGTTGCCTCTCTGACTTTTGGCAAGACCTCGCGCCTTGTCGATACACTCCGTGCGCATCGTTTGGTACGCCAGTCGACCACGCCATGGCTGGTCGATGTGGAACTACAGGCGACTTGGAAGGAGTCCATTGGAGGTATCAGTGCTCAAGCGCGGGCTTGTCTTGCGCAGCTAGAGACGGCACAGAGCGGCGCAGAGTTTGATGGTGTCATGGAAGACTACCTCTTTCCTGCCAAGCTGGAAGCCCCACTTAGTAGAAAGGCTGCACAAAAGGCGAGCAAAGAGAAATCTACAGACGCAAGTGACAAATCAGTGCAGGCAAAAAAGAGGTATACGGCCAAGGCCAAGTTTGCTTCTTACGACACTCTTGTGTCGCCATCAGAACCATTCATCGCGCAAATCTTGCAGCTTGCCCTCGTCACTCTGCCCGAGAAGCTCGGCTCAGCCTTTGAGCCGACTGCTTCTTTGGACTTTCTCTTTCACACCGGACGATTCTCACAGTCGTCGTTGCCTCGATCGATTGAGATGGCAAAACTTATTAGCAGTGCGAGTATGCGGCCATTGGTTGCTGAATTTGCTGCTGGCCTTTTACCTCATCAACTGGCTTCCATTGTGCAGCAAGAGCTTGTGAGTCAGTCTCAGACCGTCTCGCACAAGACATTGAGTGTTGTTCTAGCACGCCTCTACACATTCGACGAAGCGAGTGTGTCGCAGGCTCTCAAGACCTCCTTGTCGAGCGAGGAGATTGAGCAGCTAGCAGACTTACTGGATGCAGAACTTGGTCAACGGTTGTCTGAGAATGGCATCAGTCAATTGTCTGTTCACAATGATGTGCTCTATGCATCAGTCATTGCCGTTGTGGATGCTCTTGGTGTTGGCAACCTCGTTCTGACTGCATCTACGCGCGCCCTGATGATGCGGCTTCGTGGGTCTGTTGAGCAGCTAATCCAGGAGACTGAGGACGTGTGCTCCATGACTGCTTGTCTGTCGGAGCTCATTCTCAAGGCTAGGTTTGTTGAGCCTGTCAAGACACGCGCGATACAAAAGCAGAGCAGTAGCAATCCGCAGCCTCAAGCTCGTGAGGGCTACATTGCGCTCGACAAGATCAAGAAGGAGGATGCCTCTGCTTCGGCGCGTAGCAAGGGTCTTGCCAAGTCATTGGGCGTGGGCCGGTACACAATCGAGCGCCTGGAGCTGTAGGTTTACAAGCCTATGAGCTGTTGATCTTACCGTAGCTCGATCCCTTTCAACAGTCTACAGAGTAATGTTTTTCTCTACAACAGCCGTTGATCGTAAGCCTGTTCCCGCTTGCCCACAAACGACTTCAGGTGGGCTGATCAGAAGTCAACGAGTCGCAGCCGGATGTGATGTATAGCACCTAGGAAGCTATATAGACGCCCGACCGCTGCCATTTCGGTCTGCATCGGCCATCACATCGTAGCAGCGAGTAGAACACTTTTGCAGAGTACATCTAGGAAGATGCAAACACCGTCTCGAGCGTACTAGACCCCATGTCTCTCCGTACTGGCCTTATTTATATGCGAAGACAAGATTGGCAGGCTGCTTGAAATTGAAGTCGAGAGAAAGGTCGGGGGTCTTGTAGCGTAGCAGCAGTAGAATTCGCGACTCGACGGTCAACTTCCTGTACTCCCACAACAAAACACGCGACGTGCGCGCTAGTGACCTTCGCCGATGAGTTCAGAGGATCAGGAAGAGGAGCGCAACAAGTATGCATGTCGGTGCTAATGCGCAATGCTAATCCCAGTGTCGTGGTCAAGGTCGGCATGGTCGGCGACTCGCAAATCGGCAAGACCAGTCTAATGGTCAAATACGTGGACGGCATCTTTGACGAGGACTATCTGCAGACGCTCGGCGTCAACTTCATGGAGAAGACCATCTCCATTCGCAATACTGAGATAACCTTCTCCATCTGGGACCTTGGAGGGCAGCGCGAGTTTGTCAATATGCTGCCCCTTGTCTGTAACGACGCTGTGGCCATTCTCTTCATGTTTGACCTGTCTCGCAAGTCAACGCTCAATAGTATTCGGGAATGGTATAGGCAAGCGCGCGGCTTCAACAAGACGGCGATCCCATTTCTTGTCGGGACAAAGTATGATCACTTTGTCAACTTCCCAGCGGAAGACCAGGAGGAAATCACGAAGCAGGCACGCAAATTTGCAAAAGCCATGAAGGCGAGTCTCATCTTTTGCTCAACAAGTCACACCATCAATATCCAAAAGATCTTCAAGATTGTGCTCAGTAAAGCGTTTGAACTCAAGTGCACGATTCCCGAGGTGACGGAAATTGGGGAGCCGATTCTGGAGTATATCCATGCTGGCTGATGAGACGCGAGACTGGAGCAGGGCATGTGCTCCTTAACGACCTTCCTATTGAGCTTTACTAGTAGTGTGCATAGCGTTTTTCCTTTCCAACCACCCATTGAACCAACACCACGACCAACTGGTCATCTAATCTGCTATTCGCTAGACCTGCTGTGTTAAGTCTTGCCGGATGGGCAAGAATACAGATAAACTCTATGTCACGCAGTCAGAGAGCTCCGGCGTACTTGGCAAGCACTCAAGTAGCTCTGGCATTGCCACCAAGAAGACTGCTTCCAAGTATCGGAAGCTTCCATTCTACTACTGCGCTCTGACGCTGCAGCCCTGGGAGCATCCTGTGTGCCATGTAGATGAACAAGGTCAGGCCACGCTGTTTGATCTTCTTGCCATTGTACCTTGGCTGGCGAAGAAGGGCTCAAATCCAGCAACTGGGAAGCCACTCGATGCAAAGTCCCTCGTCAAGCTCAATTTCTCAAAAAACGACGAGGATGATTTTTGTGATCCAGTGACGATGAAGGTCTTTAACGATCATACTCATATCGCTGCTGTCAAAACGACCGGCAATGTCTATGCGTACGAGACTATTGAGACACTCAATTACAAGACCAAGTCGTACAAGGACCTGCTCACTGACGAACCATTCACAAAGGCTGATGTGATCATCATTCAAGATCCACACAGCTTAGGTGCACAGATGGACCTGACGGCCGTCCAACAATCGCAAGTTGAAGGGAGCAGCAAGCTCAAGCAGAGTGCTGTAGGGGAATCTGCATCACAAAGGGAGAAGAAGGTGGAAGAAGCCAAGCTTGCCCTTCAGCGTTTTCGCACGCAAGCCGAACAGCCTACGAAAGCAGCGAAAGTGACAGCTACAGCGCCTATCGTGTCAAAGCCCGAGACGAGACTCGCCAATTATTCCACTGGCATGACTGCGGCGGCTTTTACCAACTCTGGCATGTCGGTCAGTACGGCAGTGGATCGGGCTGAGCTTGCAGAAGCAGACTGGCTTCTCAAACCACGCAAGGTCAAGATAAAAGGGCTCGGGGTCATTAGAACCAACTTTGGCTCTCTTGATATTGAGCTTGACCCAGAGTTCGCACCGAAGGCAGTATACAACTTTGTAAAGCTTGCAAAGCAGGGCTACTACGATGGTGTATCATTTCACCGAAACAGTAAGACATCCTACCCATCGAGCATACTAACTGTAGTTCCTGGCTTCATGGTGCAAGGTGGCGATCCTACAGGTCGCGGCACAGGTGGCACATCCATCTTTGGCAAGGTATGCTACAAGGGACCTACAGACCCAAACTAACGGCAGGAATTCGAGACGGAGACGCTGGGAACGGCATCTCATAGCGAACGAGGTCGACTTTCCATGGCCAACAAGGGACCCAACACCAACTCCTCACAATTCTTTATAACATACGAACCCTGCACACACCTCGATAAGAAACATACATTGTTTGGTCGTGTGATTGGGCATTTTGAGACGCTTGATCTTCTCGAGCGTGTTCCTTCTCCAAATGGTAAACCACAAGACAGCATCATCATGGAGACGGTCGAGATTCTTGTTGATCCATTCGAGGAGTACCTTGCCAAGGAGAAGAGGAAGGCTGAGTGGGCAGCTCAGAAGAAGCAGGTGACAGAGGATGATCTACAAACCTGGACAAATAAACCAGCACAATCGTCACATGTCAGTGCCGCGGCGCTGAAACAACGAACAGACAAAGCAGATAGCCAAGTTGGCAAGTACATGAAAATTGATGCAGTTGAAGTGGCCGATGATGCTGCACCTCCAGCAAAAAAAGTCAAGCGTTCTGGGTTCGGCAATTTCAGTGGATGGTGAAGGCCAGAGCACATTGCAAAGTCATGAGCATTAGAGTATGGTCGTCTGCTGAGTTGATGCACGCGCTACAGCCAGTACTGCTGCCACTCCCACTGCGAAGCCTGCTTCCGTGCTTGACGAGGAAGGTAGGTAGCAAAGCCTGGTCTGTTGCTGTCTTGCTGGGAGCTGCAGCCTGCACGCATTAATGCTTTTTGCATGCGCTGGTAATATGGCAGGGAAGCCAATTCCTCTGCGTCTGAGTCTACAGGAGCTGGAACGGTTTGGGCGCGCTCAATAATAGGAACAGAGCCTGTGCCTGGTTCCGGCAGTGTGTGGCTGCGTTTGATGTGTGTGTCTAGCATGACAAATGAGCGGCGGTGTATCTAGTCGTAATGACAGTGTATGCGAGCAAGACAAGTAGTCAGGATGGTAAATGGCCTTTTTGTGCGCACGCCTGCCCTTTTATGATGACGACTTGACATGGGCCCTTGTACGCTTTTGTTGTGATCAGATGACCAAAGAGGGTCCAAGTGCGCTATTTGGCATTTGCTGCGCTTTCTGGTCGAGTATTTGGGAGCCCGTCCAGTGTCTTTGTCTTTGTGGCAGTCCATAGATCTGCCAGTACCAGGACATGCACATCTACCGCATGTTTCTGGCTGGTTCTCCGGAGACTTGGCCTGCTGTTCCCTGAGAACGCTGGTCGATATGCATAGCCTCGCGCAGCCTGTCGCCCATGTCAAGTAGCTCATTGTGCTCTCTTGTAGACTGCGACATGAGACGCTGCAGGCCCAAGTCGCGCCAGACTGGCTGTGCAGGGCGTTTCGAGCGAGCAATACCATTGACGGCTTCTTGGTTGGGGACATCGTCTTCATGCTCTGTGCTGACTGGCTGGTGCTCAAGAGGGATGTCTATGTCTGGATGATGGTCAGCAGCCATTCAGCCGGCCTAGAGAGGGAAGCCTGAGCTACATACCATCGTGCAACAGGGCAGCATTGTAGAGAAAAGCATCAAATTGGTCGACCAGCTCTGGTCTGCTTGGCTGGTAGTGAGAGTCCAGCGTAGCACTATTCATGGCTCTTCCCGGGGCGTGTAGTGCGTCTTTCCCGGAGTCTTCTTCTAGCTTGGCCGTGTCTCTAGCCCAATAATCAGCCAGCCAAGTTCTGTCACAGTAGTCTAACTGGCTTTTCTTGTCTTGTAGCTGGATTCCGCAGTCACGCAGAGAAACAGAAATTTCGAATTTGGGAAGAGAAGCAGCAGCCACGACACAAGCACCCAAGGCCCCATCAAGTAACAGCAACAGCAGACAGGTAGGGACACCGTGCAGATGCGGCAGAGGGTGAGAGAGGATGCAGGAAGAAGGAAGATGCTGCTTGGCTGGGATTACTGGATCCAAAGTGGCTGTTTCATGGACAAGTGCAGCGAATGATCCATGAACAGCCCTTTATACAGTGCCCGTGATGCTGCCAGTACATTCTTTGTGCTCGAGCAAGTCTCCAGGCACTTGCAGCAGATGTATGCTCAAGTCTGATCGATGCCGACTGCCAAATCAGATCTGCAGGAGCACTTGAAGCATCTCTTTCACTTCCCATCCTCCCTCCTCTGCCTATCGATGCCCATCAGTACACAGCTAACCAGCAGCAATCATGGCTCACGCAAACGTTTGGAACAGCAGACCTAAGGATGGCAAGGGCGGCCGTGGATGGTATGTCCTGCAAAGTATCCACGCGACAACAGTTCGCTAACCAATGCAGCCGTGTGTGCGCTCACCAAGCCGGTCTCATCCGCAAGTACGAACTCAACATCTGCCGTCAGTGCTTCCGCGAATACTGCAAGGACATCGGTTTCTCCAAGTTCCGTTAAAGCACTTGCAGTGGTCGACAGTCGCTGCATCTTCTCAAGACTGTCGGCCTCACCAGAGATTAGAGGAGCTTGATGATGGCAAGAGAAGCGACGCTCTCATCTGAAGGCATGGTCGTCATGACCGACTCCAGTCTCTTTTACCACCACACTTCACCTGCCGCCTCATGGGACGGATACATATCAGCAATCATGACATTCCTGCATCCACTGCTGCTTCTTTATGTTCTATGTCACTTGATCAAACCTTTGATGGCCTCAGGCCTTTCTCTGATCAGGTCTTTTGAGTCTTTCGTGTTTCGCCTTGAGCGTTTGCCTTGACCATATCCGACTACTCTTTGGAACCTATACAATCTGCTGCCGCCCCTCCTCTCCTCGGTATCTCTGCTCTATCCTGTGATTATCCTGTAGAACAATACATCCAGATTGAGCTTCCTGTCTCCTTTGCCAAATCTCGAAAACTTCCGCGACAAAGATACCGCACACACCACTCTACTCGAAGCGCTTGCATTCCTACAGCAGCTGCTTCTAGGAAACCTGAGCCTGGCGCTCCTCGTCGTTTCTCATCGCAAGAAGCGGCGTCCTTCTGTACCTTAATTGACCCGCTTGACGCGCTTGGCCCGCCATGTGGGAACAAACTAGCGTCACGAAGCCGCATCTCGCGTACATGCTGCTCGGCGGCTTCATCACAGTCTTCTCCCTCGTGTCGCTGTTCATCAAGGAGAAGCTTTATATCGGCGAAGCGACTGTCGCCACAGCATTCGGCGTCATCATGGGGTATGTCACACCTGCAGCACTAGCCGCCACCCAGTACTAGTATACTAACACGCGTGTAGACCCGTCGCAGCTGGCATCTTTGATCCAATCTCATGGACCAACTCAGATTATTTGACGCTTGAACTCTCGCGCATCATTATCGTGATCCAGGTCTTTGCCGTCGGAGTGGAACTGCCCAAAAAGTACATGAAGCGCCATTGGAAGGGCATCTTCATCATGCTTGTGCCAGTCATGACACTCTCTTGGCTGATTTGTACTGGCTTCATCTACGCGCTTATCCCAGGCCTGTCTTTTGTCGACAGTCTCGTGGTTGCAGCAACACTCGCGCCAACGGATCCGGTCCTTGCATCGTCCGTGGTAGGTAAAGGTAAGTTTGCTGAGCGTGTCCCTGGCCATATCCGAAATCTCTTGTCTTGCGAGTCTGGCTGTAACGACGGCATGGCTTTTCCGTTTCTCTACTTGGGTCTTTACATCCTCATCGACCACTACAAAGCAGGTCCAGCAATCAAGGAATGGGTGCTCATCACCATCCTCTACGAGTGTCTCTTTGGTGTTCTTCTAGGCGTCATCATTGGATATGGCGGCAGACGATTGATTCGCTTTGCCGAAAGCCATAACCTCATTGATCGCGAGAGTAAGAAGCAGCTTTCGAACCAAAACGTCGCTAACTTCAGGTTTTCTCGCATTCTACTTTGTTTTAGCCATCTTTTGCGCTGGTGTTGGCACCTTGGTCGGCACAGATGACTTTCTCGTCGCCTTTTCTGCTGGAACGGCTTTCGCTTGGGACGGTTGGTTCTCGAAAAAGACGGAAGAGTCGCACGTCTCGAACGTTATCGACCTACTCCTCAACATGGCCTACTTTGTCTACTTTGGCGCCGTGATTCCTTGGAACGAATTCACGATGGAAGACGTTGGTGTTACCCCTTGGCGTCTCATTGTAGTCTCTATCCTCATTGTCCTCTTTCGCAGGGCTCCTGGTGTCATGGCAACCTACAAGTGGAATCCCGATATTCGCAATTGGCGCGAGGCATCTTTTGTCTCTTGGTTCGGCCCTATGGGCGTCGGCGCCATCTTTTTCGCACTCCTTGCTCGTGCAGAACTGCAAACAGAGTCGCAAGTCCCAGCAGGCAGATTGTCGGGCAACACTGAAGAGCATTATGAGCTTATCGACAGTATCTTCCCCATTGTCAGTTGTGTTGTTTTGGCCAGTATCATTGTGCATGGCTCGTCCGTGGCTGTCTTTACGCTGGGAAAGCACATCAATACTTATGCTATGACCATGACATTCACGAGAGACACCGATGATCCAAATTGGCTGCAACGCCTACCCAGACTCGAAATGGGTCAGTCCATGACATTTTCACGCGCTCGCAGTCGCGATCGATCTCGTTCGCGTGCTCGAGTCGAGGATTCTGCGATTGGTAATGCAAAGAAGCCAGAGAAGATTCGACACCGTGGTCGGCATCTGCACCGCAAGAGCTCTGACCTTCAAGAGAAAACTTCGTCACCAGATTCACCGGAAGAGTCTCGAGGTCCTGATGAGGAGGAGGCAGATGGACAGACTGGCATTTTGGGGCCTGGCCATGAAGTGTACCAAGAAGGCGATGAGTTTGTCGTTGAAGACGAGATGGGTGAGGTGATCAAGGTTGTCTCTGCACGGGATCTTGACCGTGAAGCTGCTCACAATGTCTTGAGCAAGCATCCCAAAGCGCAACAACTATCACGAGAGGAACGCGAGCAAGCCGCATCAGACGAGTGGCATCCGCATCACAAGCACATCAAACCCGTTGCACATGTCCTCAAATCCAAATCTGACTCGTCGCACAGTGATGAGAGCAAGACTTTGGGCAGCAACGAAGCAGAAGAAGATCAGGGCAACGATGTGCCAGAGACCAATGTCGAGCGTCGTCGGCGTCAATCTGCGCTCAACACACGCAATGATAGTATTGATGAAGAAGCTGATGACGAAGAAGAGACACCCGCAGAACGTAAACGGCGGTTGCAAGCACTCGGACACAGTGTTGAAGAAGGTGCATCACGGCCAGAATCACCAGATAAGCGGCCGGTGCCAGAGACGGAAGATGCAGCGAGCAGACTACCCAGTATCCGCTTTCATGCTTCTGTCAATGAGCCAGCTGTTCCTCCGCCTGCAGCGCTTCGTGGTGCCGTGTCAATGCCACAACCAGCAGTGCATGACACGAGCAGACTTGGTGCGGCAAATGCAGGGCCACCACTTGCACAGTCTCATTCTCGGGGTCGTTCGATTGTGTGGGCGGACAAGTCGGCTTCAGACACAGATCTGCAACATGTCGGTTAGCCGTAGATGTTGATTTGTACTTGAGCGTAGCATAGCAAATGTTGAGTTGTTGGGGTTGGGATAGCTATCTACTTGGTAAGCTTGCCTTGGACCGGTTCGCCTCTGCGTCGAAGACACTCGATACCATCCCAAAAGCCCATCCCAGCGACCTGCTCACCGCGGCCTGTCTCTCGACACTGCTTGACGTGCCAAAAGAAGGAACCATCGTACAACCGACGAATGCTGTCCTTGGGGCACACACCAGACTTTGCATCATACGTGCTCAACACAAGCGTGTAAAACTCGAAACCGGCAGCGAACCATCCGAAAGGATCCATGGCCACGCGTTGACCCTTGATGAGGTTGAAGACTTCTCGGACTGTCAGTGCGTCGCCAGAAGCAGAGTAACGGTTGAAGATGCCTTCAAAGACTTGTGGTTGGAAGTAACCTTGGCTATTGTAAGTGCCTGTGTCACTGCCATGCTTGGCCTTGTGAATGCCATCGAGATACACGCGAAACAATGGATCAGGCACCAGAGAATGCTGCAGCCTTGTAGGATAGGAGAAGCCGGTGTGAATGACAAAGACAGCAATGATGCTCAGAAGCAGATTATAGCCAAGTTCACGAAAGCCTCTGAATGTGTCTAGAGGCCAAATGATGCCGTCTCCATCTCGGTCCCAGAAAGCACAGTGTTGCACAAGCACAGTAGACCCCTCAGTTGTGTGCTCTTGAGGGTCGAGGGTAGACTTGCACACAATCAATGCATCTTGAGCATGAGACTTTTGAGAGACGGAAGGCATATGAGCAAGTTGAAAGCTTGAATGAGTAGAGGTTGGATCCTGTCGTGAAGAGCAAGCATACGCCTTTATAGATTGATTGCTCGCTCATGACGTCGAGGAGCACTTGCATGTGATATGCCGATGCCAGTCACATTCACAGCATATACACCAAAAGAACAATAGACAGCAAAGGGAGCAGTGATGATGAGCGGCGGAGTGTTGAATACAGCATAAAATGTGTACAAGGAAGCAACAAAGGTAGGGCCACGAGCATTCACTGACGCTTCTTTTGCACAGGCGCCTCCTGTTCGGCCTCGTCTTCGTCGTCACTACGCTCGTCCTTGGCTTCGTTTGAGAGAATGAAGCGATAAGCGATCCTGGCAATTAAGAAGCTCCAGTAAATATTAAGCAGCAGAATCATGAAAAGCAGCCCGAAGGTAACATACTGCGAGATCCAGCACTTGTAGTGTTCCTTCTCCCAGTCAATCTCCCAGGGTCCCACCGTCTCAAATTCTGTTAAGACACTCCAAAGAATAATCGCAGACAAGTAGAGGCGCGTGTAGAACCAGACCCCGATAAATGTGGCAAACACTGGTGCCGTGAGTGGCGAGTCGATATAATTAAAGTTCTTGGAGAGGGCAAGCCAAATGTCTGAAGAATCCATGGTGATGAAGACGGCAAGCCCAATCCAGGTGAAGTGAAACTTCCAGGATAGCCCGATAAGCAGCAGAGTGACAACGTGATGTGCCACCAGCTCGTGAAAGTCTTTTCTTGGCTTCTCAAGCTGCAGAGCAAGCACAATGAACTGTTGCAGCCAGTACGCAAACTGACAAAGATAGTAAATCTTGAAGTTGGCCTTGTGCAGAATGTGTGGGTAACCGGCGTAAAACTCGTGTGTATTAAAGTACCACATGCTTGTATGCGACATGACATAGATGCCATAGGACGCTGATGCGGTGAAGTACATGATGGTGTAGCCTTGCTCCATGAATCGCTGCACCTTGCCGCGCTTGAGGCCGAGTGAGCGCGCCAATGGAGCGAGGATCCATTGCATGCAAAACTCCCTTGTAAAGGTAAAAACGACGACGTAGAAGGAGATGAAGAGAGCATCGGCTTTGCCTTTGCCATATAACCGTGGACTTGTGCCTTCCACAGGATAGCTCACAAACAAGAATGGCTTTGCCGGATTCCGTTCAGTCGGATCCATCAGATACAAGCCAATTGCGGCGAGAATGATGAGCATTGGAACGAACCAGGTGTTATCTCTGGCATACGCCTGCCATACCCCTAGCGTCGTCGTCGGCGGGGCTCTTGGTGAGCGCGGGAAGCGCCCTGGCTGACTTGTCGGGATCTTGTTGACAGACGCACTGCGCGATCTAACGCGGTTGATGCCAGGTCTTTCGGATCGCAGGGAGCCATTCGTGCTCGACATGCTTGCTTCTCCTTCTCCCCAGCAAGCACAAGGAAGAGAGAAGGCCTGTGTCTAGAGAGTGTTGGTGCAACTTGGTGGTCAACGCGGCTCGAGCTTTTCCGGCGACAGAAATGCAACAAGCAGCAGCAGCGAGGGGGATCAAGTTGATATTGAGTTTATGGACAGTAATCACCGGTAGAACATGTACTATCTGCGGCCAGACATCTCCTTCTCGTCCGGCCAGTAATCCTCTCTCTGGAAGCCAGGATGTACAAGGGCCGCACCCTGTATAGAAGCAGGTCTCTCCTCCTGCTGTATTGAATGCCGCGGCCGATCCGTTGCAGGCTCTTCACTGCTGCTGCCATCATGCAATGTAGAAGAAGGCGCAACAGACAGGGTGGATGCAAGAGGATGCCGGATCGTGGGCAGCTCGCTCATAGGGATTCCCTCAGTGCGCGGCCGTTGAAAGCGATCCATCCAAGTCCGCCGCATCCCCTTGTCAGGGGCGAGGGCCCGGCTTGTGGTAGTCTGCGAACGGTCCTCAAAGACAATCGCATCAGGCTGCATCGATGCACGCTTGCCAAACTTGCGTAGCTGCTTTCTCTTTTGCTGAAACATCTCCTCTTCAAAGACCTCTCTTCCGAGGACACCTTCCCGTGAGTCTCGAACAAGCTTGGACTCGATGAGGTCCACCCAGGCCCATACAATCACTGAGCAAGCCACAGAGCCAATCCAGCGAATGTAGTCTCCCCAGCCTTCCACCTCGGACTTCCAAATGTCTAGACAAAAGAAGACTGTGGGCGAGGTGATGGAGACGATGCTGAGAAGTGCGTGCATCAAGTGAGGCAGCGCAAAGGCGTACCGGAACCGACTCGGCGACAGGGCGTAAATCAAGACACTGCCGGAAAAGATGACACTGATGGCAATGTTCATGAAGTACGCGATAACGGCAATGGCAGGAGCTGCCAGCGTCTTTGCATCTGGATTGAACGGTGAAGGGTGATAAAAGTCATTGAGGACAGAAAAGACAGTCTCCAAGACGATGAGCGTGAAGCCTCCGTACTTTGCAATAATCTTGTCCCTGTGACGAGGGAAGAGACGCATGACAAGCTGTATTTGAGCGAGCCATAGCAGCGTATTGGAGATGAGCCGAATGACTTTAGTGGATGTGCGAGCGCGGACATTGCGCAAGTCGGTTGGGTTGTAGGGGCGACCACTCATATACTGTAGCTCAAGCTCATTGAACATAAAATCCGAGGTGATGGTCATAGCAATCGCTGCACTTAGCGCAGCACCGCGTTGCAGCCAAGGTCGCTTGTGGCCCGACATGAGCGAGACAAGAAAGAGGGCCCAGGCTGTGCATGTCGCAAAGGCTACTGCGTACACCAGTGGATTTATGCTCATATTGAAGGGCGTCACCATGAGGCCTGGCCCGAGGATCTGCTGTTGCGCCAGGCCGGCTTGTGCTGATGCAGAGGCAATCTTGAGTGCACACGCGTCAATGACGCTTTTACCAGTTGCATTGATGAAGCGCGCGTTGCCGCCGAAGGTATCGTAGACGGTGAAGGAGCCGTTGATGGTGAGTAGCGCCGCCTGACAAGCCTGAGTGTGGTTAGTGGTGCTTGTCTGGTGCTTGCGATGTGCCTACCCAAGTGCGGGGCCATTCTTCTTTGCCGAGAAGACTCTCAGTATTGTTTGATGGGGCCATCGGAGGCAGTAGCCTCTCCGTTTGTCTACCTGCGTGCCTTTGACGAGAAGGTAATGCGTTGTGTAGACTTCCCAGCACCTTTGCAGTGCGAGTATTTTAGTTGTCGTCGTCGTCTCTTTCATCCCAACAAACCACCCACACTCCCACACTCCCGCACGCTACAGCGTCTTCAAGTGATGGATCATATAATCCGTCTTCATATTTTCATTGGCGAATACTGGTGGCTCCCAGTTCATCAGAGCTTGCTGTAGGAGCGCAAGCTCTTGCTCAGTCAGGACATGGCAGAAGATTTTGCTTTGCACGTCCAGAGCATGTAGTACTACTTCGTACTGCCCCGACGAGCACCGCGAGGCTGCAATGCTCTCGTGATCCGAGTTTGCAGCTACTCGGGCTCGTAGGATAGATTGAAATACACTATCCAGTTCGCTTCGCCTCGCGGCAAGCTCGGCTTGATGTGCAGTACTGGTGTTAATGAGCTCTTGCTCGCGCTGACTGAGCTCTTGCTCGCGCTGACTGAGTCGCAGCTCGCGCTGCTGAGTGAGTACGAGCTGCGACTTAGTGAGCGACTGAATGAGCGCGAGCAGCGACTTAGTGAGCGCGAGCAAGACCTAATTGAAAACATTACCGCACAACAAGCCGAGCTTGTCGCGAGGCGAAGCGAGCTGGATAGTGTATTTCAATCTATCCTACGAGCCCGAGTAGCTGCAAGCTCGGATCACGAGAGCATTGCAGCCTCGCGGTGCTCGTCGGGGCAGTACGAAGCAGTACTGCATGCTCTGGACGTGGCAAGCAGGATCTTCTGCCATGTCCTGACTGAGCAAGAGCTTGCGCTCCTACAGCAAGCTCTGATGAACTGGGAGCCACCAGTATTCGCTACTGAAAATATGAAGACGGATTATATGATTAACTACTTGAATGCCAATGGGTGGGCAGCGCCCGGCCTGGCATTCATATCTATGAGGTCGCACAGGCTACGAGTCGCAGTCCAGAACGCAGAGCCCCCGCTTGTCCTGACGTGTGCGTCCGACATTGGCCTTGTGCCTTTTTTATCTGCAGCGCACCTCTCAGCCTGAGTTGGTGGCGAATGCCCTCATTGAGGTCAAGGTGAACAGGCCTACAAGAATGGAGCACCGCCAGGCTATCTTGGAGCTGCTGGCATTCAATCTACTGATGCACACGCCTCCACCGCCGTTCGTCCTGCTTACGGATATGGAAACGACGTTTGCCTTCTATTACATTATGGCGCCTGGCAAGGTTGGCCTGATGGAGATGCCCGATCATGGCTCCGCGCTTGCCATGTTCGCCGTAGCCCTTGACCCGCCAACTGGTCTGACTCATTTGCCTCTGATGCAGCGGGTAGGCTTGGAGGCTCCTGACAGGCGCATGCAAGGGGGAGGCGGAGGGACTGTCGATGAAGAGGACGTCGCCAACATGTATGAGTTCTATGATGAATTGCCCAAATCGCGTCAGCAGGAATTGGACATTCAGCATGGTCTCGCATCATGTTTCAATGTGAGACCATCGCTTCACAAGGTGGAATGTGGTTGAGGTGGTTTAGGTGACCCTTTGCGCTTAGTCTTTACGTTTAGTCTTTACATTTGCTTTAGGACCTTAGTAAGTTAGTATGGTAAGCTCGGCGAGCGTGTGCGTGCTCTTCCTCTGGCTTGTCCCTGCACTTCCTTCCCCGCAACAGGCGCTCGAGGATCCGGCGAGCCTGATTGTGATCGTGATCGAGGTACCCTCTTTCTGTATGCACTCTTTGAAGGACTCCTGCTGCGTGACCGACTCGAGCTGGGCCTGCGTCGTCTGTTCCTGCGCGGAGATCGAGAACGACTGCTAGAGGAGTAAGGCGAACGCCGTCTGTGGCTTCGACGAGCCCTTTGATCGGAACTGGTAGACCGCTTTGTATAGCTTGTATCGGAATGCCTGCGTCGTGTTGGTCCCGGCGATCGTGGTCGCGATCTCGAGCGACTGCTGGAAGGTGAACGCCGTCTCGAGCGTCTGTGCCTTGGTCTGCTGCTTGACCTTGAAGGTGAACGCGAATGAGACCTTCTCCGTGATCTTGTTTCTGCCGGTGGTGGTCGAGCAGGCCTCGTCCTATCCAACGGATGTCGAGTCTCACCTTGCTCTGTCGCCTGGCCACGCTCCATCCTCTGCTTGCGCCGTTCGTCTTGATTCGCCATAGCTGTTCCTTCTACATAGTCTGCCCGTAAGCGCAGCACTGAGCGCATCTTCTCTAGCTCTGCCTCCTTCCTGACGGCATCGCCGTGTGTCTGCCATCCGCGCGACCCTGCTTCTTGAGCGCTTGGCTTCCTGGCTGCTGACTGGCTGAGAAGTTCCTTTCGTTTGAGGTCCACAAGTCTGTCTAGGTCCTCCTCCGTCTTGCGCTGCGCTGCAGGGACCTCCTCTTGGCTCTCAAGCTGTATGCGATACTGCATCACTTGACTTTCAACGAGTCTCTTGGCTTCATGCTGGACAATTCCCAAATCAGCGCGTCGCGAAGCCTGATGCTGTCCTTGTGCTGCCTCCTCTCTGCGCTGTGAGACGCTGTATGGTTCACGTTGACGCATGGAAGACATGTTGCGCTGGATGTGGCCATTGGTGCCTGACCCACGGGGTGTCTGTAGACCTATGCCGTTGTAAGACATGATGAGAGGCGATCCAGGCTGTTTCTAGTGTCTCTCGAGCCTTGCTGCGTCTGTACACCCAGATGCGACGGAGAGTGAGCTGGTGGAAGTTGTCGAGAAAAGTGAAAATTGAGATTTCAAGGGGAAGAGAAGCAGCCACGAGAGCAAGTTGGGTACTTACAGGGTCTACGTACAGACGAGAGAGGGCTACAGATACAGAGAGGCAGGGGAGCATGCTATTTCAACGCTCGACCAAGTACGGCCCACTCTCATTGATGGGCGTCGATGCAGTGGCTCCTTCCAAGGTCATTGATCGCATACGGGCAGTGAGAGGCACAGGCGCAGACGAGGCAGAGGGAGAGGCAGATAATGCTTCCTGCTGTTCATCTGCTTCTGGTGCATCTGCTTGAGCTTCCGACGGAGTTTGAGGAGCGACAGCAGTAGGATCGGATCCATGACCACCCTCAATGACAGGCGACGCGTCACTGGCGACACCACTTACGACCGTCGCGAGTAACGGAAACTGCGGATGAAGCTCCTCACTCGGCGTCCGTGGATCGCCCGCCGCTGAACGGATCCAGGCCTCTGACTCGACCTCAACATTGGCTTCGAGATCAGCGTACTTGCGACAGACGCAGCACAGGAAGTTTGGGTAGTTTTGTAGGATTAAGGGCCGTATGCACTTGAAGTGGTAGGCATGGCTGCAGGGTGCAACAAACAAGGCCTGGCTGGGTGCGATGTTGAAGAGGCAGATGCAGCATTCAGAGGAGTATGTGCTTGCACCATCATCCATCGACAGCCGTGGCTTTGCCATACCAGCAGACTGGCTCGAGGAGGGCGGTCCAGACGATGACAAAGCACCCCTCGTCAGTGACTTGAGCGTCTTTTCTGCAGCACGATTAAACTTGGCATTGACTTGCTCAAAGATGCGGTTGATCTCAACACGCGTACGGACACAGCGATAGACTTCCTCTGTACCGCCGCGGAAGTCGATACCGAACTGGACACAGTCGCCATCGACCAGAACAGCAGGCTTGCTCTCTTGTCCCGGTGGTGAGAGGCGGATATGGTTCAAAAATGTACCGCTCGATGACTTGGTGTCGCGGATGTACCACGTTCCTGCTTCACACCAGACTTCTGCATGCTGCCGCGACACCACTTTGGACTTGAAGGAGATGGGCGCCTTGTGGAGGGCCTTGTCGTTGTAGCGGCCAATCTTGATGCAAGTCTTGTCGGAGACTCTGCGCTCGATGGGTTCAAAGTTGAGGGAGAGTCTCGAGGAGAACTCGACATGCGGAACAAAGCGCACAGAGCCGATGGGAGATGCCTGTGGGTCTGCGCCGACCGTAGCGACCATGATGGGTCTGCTGTTTGTGGGTGAGATGTGGATCTCTTCGCCTTGATAATGGCTGGCGCTGTTGGGTGATGGGATGGGCCTGCTGCTGGTACTGCTGCTGCTGGTCATCCGCTCATGGGCCCTGCTCTTCCAGGCCTTGTAGCTGGTTCTGTCGCGGTGTAGCTTGCTGGTGTCGTCGGAAAACTCAACCAAACTGCTACTCAAGCTACTACTGCTGTTACTACTTCTACTACTCAAGCTACTTAACACAGCTCATCATGGCAGGACGACGATTCTTCGTAGGCGGAAACTTCAAGATGAACGGCACACAGGCATCCATCAAGCAGATCATTGAGTCCCTCAACGCAGCCACCATCAGCAAGGACACAGAAGTCGTGGTGGCCCCCCCTGCCCTCTACCTCTTGAACGCTCGCCAGACACTCCGCAAGGACATCGGCGTCTCTGCCCAGAATGTCTTTGACAAGCCACAGGGTAAAGTTACTTCTTTTTCGGAGTGCAGATGGCTAATGTCCAGGCGCCTTCACTGGCGAAATTGCCGTTGAGCAGCTGCGTGATGCAGGTGCAGACTGGGTCATCCTCGGACACTCTGAGCGTCGTACGCTCTTGTCTGAAGACGACAAGTTCGTCAGCAGCAAGGTATAGTCTATCGCTCCAAGCCATGTACTTGGCTAATATGTACAGGCAGCCACAGCACTCAAGGGCGGCCTCAAGGTCATCTACTGCTGCGGTGAGAACCTCGACCAGTACGAGGCAGGCAAGACAGACAGCATCGTCACTGCTCAGATTGGCGCCCTCTGCGACCAAGTCCAGGACTTTGCCGACATCGTGATTGCCTACGAACCAATCTGGGCCATTGGTACAGGCAAAGCAGCCACCCCAGAGACGGCGCAGAAGACGCACAAGGCCCTGCGTGACTTCCTCAGGTCTCGCATCGGCGAGAAGGCAGACGAGGTCCGCATCATCTACGGCGGCAGTGTCAATGCAAAGAATTGCTCGACCTATGCCTCGTGCCCGGATGTCGACGGCTTCCTCGTGGGCGGTGCTTCTCTCAAGCCGGAGTTCCAGCAGATTGTCAATGCCAAGATCTAGTCTTCTTTCTCTCTTTCTCTCTGTAGTCTCGTAGATTGGTTCATGGACTATATCCTACGCTTGTCCCCAACGACACCCATCCATATATAAACTGGATGAATCATGGCGCCCTCTGTGCAGCATGCAGAGCAGCAGCAAGACCTACAGCGAGACTCACAAGGCGACTAGCAACATTGACGAGCCAGCCCTCGCAAAGCGACCTCAAGGCGCAAGCAGAAGCGGCGCTCGCCAAGTTTGATGAGCCACGACGTCAGGGTAAGCGCTTCAATAGCGTCGGTATCCAGCAGATCAGTAGTCAGCTCCATGCGCAACTCTTCAAGCAACCGAAACAACCCGCGCAAGCACTTGTAGACTTGTCGCGGCAACACCTGCTACAGCATGACTTGCTCGGGAAGAATAGCAATGTCGCTGAGGATATCGCCTTTGATTTACCGCCGCTACAAGGTGCTTCGCTTGATGAACACTTTCATAAGCTTGGCTTGGAAGCGTCTGATCCATACCGCGACATGGCAAAGATATTTGCAACACTAGAGCTACCAAGCAAGCCAGAAAAGTGGATCAAGCAGGCTGGATGGACACGGTATGCAAGAGAAGGTGTAACGCAAGTGGAGCATCCGCTAGAGGACACTTTTTGCTTTGACGTGGAAGTCATGTACAACGTATCGCATTTTGCAGTCATGGCCTGCGTGGCTAGCAAAGACGCCTGGTATGCGTGGCTCTCACCCTGGATCCTTGGCGAATCAGACAGTCCACGGCATCTTGTACCACTAGGAAAAGAGCAGAGAAAGCTTGTTGTTGGCCACAATGTAGGCTACGACAGGTCTAAAGTGCTGGAAGAGTACAGCCTCAAGCGTTCACCCTTGGCCTTCATCGACACCATGTCCCTACATGTCGCCGTCAATGGTATGTGCTCTCGTCAAAGGCCAACATGGATGAAGCACAAGAAGAAGGAAAAAGAGCGTGAAAAGCTTCTCCTCCAAGCACAAGAATCTGACTTGGGTGCTTTGCTTGAAGACCTTGGGCAAGAAGAGCATCAAGACTTGTGGATCACACGCAGCTCCACCAATAGCCTACATGAAGTGGCTCAATTCCACTGCGACATCAAACCGGACAAATCGAAGCGTGCCTTTTTCGACAGCACAGACAAGCAAGTGATTTTGGACGACTTGCACGACCTGCTGGACTATTGCGCGCTCGACGTGGAAATCACACATCAAGTCTACAGAAAAGTTTTACCGACATATCTCGAAATTGCGCCCCATCCAGTCAGTTTCAGTGGCTTGCTACATATGAACTCTATGGTTCTTCCAGTCAATCGCAATTGGCCAAAGTACATTGAGAGTGCGGAAAAGTGCTACCAAGATCTGTCAGAAGCAGTCAAGAAACGCTTGCTGTCTATGGCAGAGGGCACCCTCGCACTCAAGGATCAACCAGATAAGTATGAGGAGGATCCCTGGCTTCGGCAGCTCGACTGGACAGCGAAACCCTTGCGTGTTGTCAAGAACAAAAAGACAGGTGAAGAGCGTGTTGCAAAGAATCAAAAGATGCCGGGAATGCCTCAATGGTATCGTGATCTCTTTCCCAAAAACGACGGGATCATCAATCTCACTGTCCGCACGCGCGTAGCACCCATCTTGCTACGCATGAACTGGGAAGGCCACCCACTCGTCTGGTCAGACAAGTACGGCTGGGTGATTCGCGTTGAAGACGAAGAATCAGCGGCTGTCTTTATCGAAAAGCGTTTCCTCAAGTGCGATATGATTAATGAAAGCATTGAGAGGGTTCGATTCGATGATGCTACGTACTTCAAAGTGCCACACAAAGATGGGCCGCTCGCTCGCGTTGCCAGTCCCCTCGCAAAATCATTCGTCAAGTTCTTTGAGGAAGGCATGCTCAACAGTGAGTTCTCCGTCGCCAAGGAAGCGCTCGAGATGAATGCAGCCTGTTCCTACTGGATCAGTGCGAGAGATCGCATCACATCACAAATGGTCGTCTGGCAAAATGAAGTCGATCCAGAGGGTGACCCAGATATTGGCCTCATCCTTCCACAAACAGCTCCGATGGGTACCGTCACCAGGCGTGCAACGGAAGCAACGTGGATGACGGCGAGTAACGCCAAGAAGAACCGTGTTGGATCCGAACTCAAATCCATGGTGCAAGCACCCAAAGACTACTGCTTTGTTGGAGCGGATGTCGACTCTGAAGAGCTCTGGATCGCTAGTCTTATGGGTGACGCACAGTTTCAAACCCACGGATCAACAGCACTCGGATGGATGACACTCGAAGGCACAAAGTCAGCCGGCACAGACTTGCATTCAAAGACGGCCGAGATTCTCGGCATCTCCCGAGGCAATGCCAAGATCTTCAACTATGGTCGCATCTACGGCGCCGGACTTAAGTTTGCCATTCAACTTCTCCAGCAATTCAATCCATCGCTTTCTGAGCAAGAGGCAAAGAAGACGGCTGAAGCCTTGTATGCTGCAACAAAGGGCGTCAAGGGTAAGATTGCAAAGCTGCAACGCAAAGCCTTTTGGCGTGGCGGCACAGAATCCTATGTCTTCAATCGTCTCGAGGCAATGGCAGAGTTGGAGGTGCCGAAAACACCTGTGCTTGGGTGCGGCATCACTGAAGCGCTTCTCGCGCGATATCTGTCTCCTGGAGGGTTCTTGACTAGCAGAGTCAATTGGGCCATTCAATCAAGTGGCGTGGACTATCTGCATCTCCTCATCACCTCAATGGAGTACCTCATTCGTTTGTACGGTATTGATGCTCGAATGTCAATCACCGTGCACGACGAAATTCGCTACCTTGTTGCAAAACAAGATGCAAATACTGCCGCATTCTTGCTGCAAATCAGCAATCTGTGGACTCGCGCCATGTTCTCACAGCAACTTGGCATTGATGATTTGCCACAGTCTTGTGCCTTCTTCTCCGAGGTTGATGTGGATCATGTTCTCAGGAAGGAAACATCCATGGATTGCATTACGCCTAGCAATCCTACTGCGATTCCGCCAGGCAAATCTCTGAGCATTGACGACACACTCAATTTTATCGCAGAACGCAAAGACTCACTTCGACCAAGCAATCCTGTGGACTTGAGTCGATGGACTTATCAGTCGAGAGAACCCGTCATGAATAGTATGGAGCAGAATGCGCTCTGGTTTCTGCAAGCTCAAACTTTCAAGGAAACAGGCGCCGTCATCAAGGCTTACGATGCTGCCCATGCCGACTAATCCATGTAAACACTTGTACCAATACATCTAACGCATATACAAATGTAGATTGAAGAGCACATCTAGAGCTTTGCCTTACTCTTCGCTCTTGTCTCCATGAACCGCTGCACTTGTGTCTTGACGTTATCCAGCACACTAGCGTCTTCGATGGTCGCAGGGACGTCCACCACTTTGTTGGGCTGGCCTTCAGCGGCATTCTCGACATATGCACGCACAACTCGCCGCAGCGTCTTCCCAGATCTTGTCTTTGGCAGCGGGGTATCAAGGACAACCATACCGCCAAGACTCGCAATATTGCCAATTTCCTCGCGAACAAGCTTATTGACCTGTTCAAATGAAGGTGCTTTACCCTTGGCTGCCACGACAAAGGCGAGAGGAACATGACCTTTGAGTGAATCTGGCATGCCGACGACGCAACACTCATTCACTCCTGGAATAGAGGTGATGACAGCTTCAAATGCACCGGTACTGAGACGATGAGCAGCGACATTGATGATGTCGTCTGAACGTGCCATGATGTGCACAAAGCCATCTTCATCAATCAAGCCAGCATCGCCCGTGTCAAACCATTTGCCACCAAAGCGCTTCATGTAACTCTTTTGGAAGCGGCCTTCACTGTCTCGCCACAGCTCCGAAAGCATACTTGGTGGCAATGGAGTTTTGAGCACAATATTGCCTGATGTACCTTGTGGGACTTCCTTGCCATCGTCATCCACAATATGCAAGTCAAAGCCGGGAGTGGGGGGACCAGCAGAGCCAGGCTTTGGTACAGGCTTATCCTTTAGACTCTGCAGAACACCTGTGATGGGCGACCCACTCTCTGAGGACCAGTAATTGTCGATACACTCAAAATGACTGCCGACATGCGCTTTTAGGACATCAGAGTAGTGAATCACAATGGACGGTTCAGACCGCTCGCCAGCAAGCATGAGACTTTTGAGCGAATTCAAATTGCGAGACTTGAGTTGCTTCGACTCAGGGTCGCCGGCACGCAACGCACGTAGAGCGGTTGGTGCGCAGAATAGGACATCGACGTTGTACTCTTCGCAAACACGCCATACCTCTGCCCCGCCACGCATAGGCAGCTTTCCCTCGAACAAAACTGTCGATGCGCCAATCAGGAGTGGAGCGTAGAAGATGAATGAGTGACCAACAACCCACCCAATATCGCTCAAGCAAGCCATAGTGGAGCCTGCTTTCATATTCATGAGGTGTTGAATCTGGTATCTGAGTTGGGCGGCATAGCCGGCTGAGAATCTAGAAACGCCTTTTGGCGCACCTGTCGTACCACTGGTGTATAGAGCTGCTGTTAGTCTAAGTTGGAAGGGTCAAGACTTACTGTATAGAATGTCTTGAGACTTGGTTGGTGTCGGTGAAGTGACTGGCTTTGCATTTTGCGCAAACTCGTCCCACTCGAGCACATCTGCAGGCAACGGCGTCTTTGCTTCATGGCCTTTTCGTTGCAGTATGACAATGGCCTTCGGCTTGTGCTTTGCTGATTGGATGCCCTTCTGAACAAGTGGCAAGTAGGGCGTCACTCGCTTCTCTTCGATACCAGCAGAAGCCGTTAGCAAGAGCTTTGGTGTAGCAGAGTCTATGCGCTTTGCAAGCTCTGACGAGGCGAATCCGCCAAACACAACAGAGTGGACAGCACCGATGTAAGCACATGCACACATGGCAACAAGTGCTTCTGGCACCATGGGCATATAGATCATAACGACGTCGCCTTTTCGAACGCCTTGGGCTGACATTGCGCCTGCAAACTGCTGGACATCCCTCAACAGCTCGCTATAGGTAATACGCCGCTTTTGAGATGTGACGGGACTGTCCCAGTAGATGGCAACTGACTCTCCAAGTCCTTTCGCAATATTCGCCTCGAGTAATTCATAGGCCATGTTGAATTCTCCATCCTTGAACCACGTCCATGAGCCATCAGCAGCAACATCTAGTACTGACTTTGGCTTCTTGTGCCAGTGAATCGTTTCTGCGATGCTACCCCAAAATTTTTCGGGGTCGGCGATAGACTGCCCGTGGATCCTTTGCTGAGAGTACATGCTAGACATTATACAAGTCCGTAATCCAAGTCTAGATGAGGAGGACAGCAATGAACAATGAAGCTGTAGATGGTCGTCGTGCGATTGATCGGAGCCATCGCCGAAGTCTGGGGGCGGAAGACGCGGGGGCGGGCGAGTCGAGATGGGAAGCCACGAAAAAGTCTTGTCGCACAGTAACTCGCACTCAACGACCGAAGTTTTGTAGAGCGGCAGTCAGCGAGCAGCTGTAGCCCATCAGATCAAGTAGCGTGATCACATGCACTGACAGGCTCAAGAAGACACAGAGCGCAGAGATGATAAGCGTGGTTGAAGACACGTTCCAGTGCGTCTTCTTAGCGGCGTCCATGACCACCGATCATGACCAGTACTAGTACTGAAGATGGACATTTTACATGTCTTCGACTGTTTGCTGGCACAGTAGCACTCATCTCATCCAGCTGCAAGATTACCGACTGTGGTCGACTGGTCATATTCTATAAGCGTTGTCGAGCGTTGTAGTCTTGTAGACAGGCTGCATCGACAAGGACTATAATTCATCTCAGTACTTTGCAGTGAAGATAGTCGCATCATTGTAGTGGCCATGCAACAGCAAGTACACCAAAAGCCTGCAGAGATAGACTGCCACCCTGGTCCTTGCAAATTGCAATCACAATGTTGTAGATGCAATCTGGCGATGTAGAGTAAGGATCATCCTGGCAGCTGCAAGCTTCTGAGCTCAATGCAGAGGTGTGCCCAAGGACGTTTCCTTTTGGGCATAATCTTTCGACATTTGGGCCCTGCGCGCTAGCTCCGCGGGCCTTTGAGCGCTTGGATTCTGATGATCCTTCATCTCTGCGAAGACGACGAATCTGCAGTCCAGATGGGCTTCGTCATGATGCAGATGCCATTTCACCTGCTCAAGACTTGGACGCGCAAACCCAAATCAGGCCAGGGCCGGCTTGGCATCTTTGGCAGAGCGCACCAATCACAGCACGACAATCCATCAGTCTCAGTCACGAAAAAATCTCAAGTCAAACCAGCTCTTTTTTTTTCTGGACTTAGGCGATTTCAAGTTGGCCAACTTCTGATAGATCACTTCGAGTGACGAGAGGTGGTAGCGGTCGGCGGTCGCGCGACGGCCGCGTGGGAGGAGTATGTGTGTTCGAGTTGATGCCGTTGTAATACCTGCGGATCCGAGACACTATCTGCGACACGGAAGGCCTGCCAGACGTGCTGATCATTCGACCTTGTCATCGCTGGATCAATGCGCACAGACTGGAGCTCCGAGCTGTTGACGCAGTATTGAGCGAATGTCATCTGAAACTGCGGTCGTGTCATTGTCGTCGCTCACTACGGCATACGAGAAACACGATACATTAAGAGATCCAATAGTGAGTCTCATCTTGGTCAGAGACAGTTTCCTTTACCTGAATGGTCGAGTGTTGCAGAGCTGCGTTGTCGATGGCCGAAGTCTGAAACACGATGGTGGCCATCTGAACGCAACTATTATCTCTGACAGGCTTGACAGCCGCGCGGTCTGCCTTGGCCCCTGATGAACGCATGGATAGAAGTCGCTTAACGCTCGGAAGATGCTTCTATGTTGAAGCTAGATTTTGAGAGACCACGTCTGATCATTGGTTCATGGGGCGTCTTGCTCGCGTGGTGAGACAACTTTGCCGTTGTGCCATTCAGAAATGCGTAGAGTCGTACAAGCATCAGACTCATGTCGAAAGCCCAGTGCGATAAGCCTATGACTCGTCTGCCGGGTCGCGTCGGTTGCCACGAGAATGGGGCGGGGCCTGTGCGGTGCGGTGTCGGTGTGTATGATGCTACCCGAGTCAAGCGAATGCCAAGCCCAAGTTTGGCATTGAAGAAGGAAGCCTTCACATGTGTAGTGCTCAAGCGGCTTTTCTCGCGGGTATAGCAAGTGCCGCCTGACGTGCGACTGGAAAGCCATGGCTGTTGCGCACAGTGGCATCGGGTCATCGCATCGGCATCGTTATCAAACGGTCAGGCCGTTGCGATGGCCAGATACCCCACATTTCGCGGACTTTGACATTTTTTCTTTTTGCTGGGCCGCTGCACGAGTGTTTCAACGGTCGCCTGCCACGCTACTTTGACGCACGAAGCTTTTTTGGATTGAATAGTGACCGGGGACCGCCGCAAATGAAGCACTACGACCAGCCAGCCTGGCCTGTCATCATTGACGACCTCGAGCCAGACGCCCATGCGACCTGGAGGGCATCTATTCGACCTCCGCATGAGTCTCGGACAATTGATCTCAAAAGAGACAAATGTCCGAGCAGATCTCAAGGCAGGTCGTTGAACAAGTCTGCATGGTAGCTGTCGCTTAATACATACAGCCGATATTGATGGTCTAGCTACGATCAATCGTCAGCTTGCACGCAGAGTGGTGCATACACTGGTGAAGCTGGACCTGAATAATCAAAGTCTCGATCTAGCGGCTACATTGTCAATGATCGGGGAACAATAGTAATCAGTGGAGTGTTGTGCTGGTCGTTGCAGTGTCTTTCGATCTATTTGTCACTGGGTCATCGGCACGACACCCCATTACCGTAGCTGTCAGAATTAAGGTGTCTCTGACTTTCTGTATCATCAGCCAAGTTGATGAAGCTGGTTCCGCAGTCTCAATGTAGACAGCTGTGGTTGTACGTGAGACATGATCCGTCTACGTTGAAGGATGGCTGTCACTTCTGACAATTTTCCGTGCGTGTCGTTGAGATGGCCGACCTGGTCCTGTCAGCGTCAGTCAGTGTACCGCGTGGTCCGCGGCTAGAAGTGTTGGCGTGTGAGACGTGGCTGGAGAAAATAGTTGGCAGCTGACCGGAATTCCATAGAGGCTTCTGTCGTGAGCGTCTTTGTGAGACTGCTGCCAGCGGGTTGTAGACTATATGCAGACCAAGATAGCAATCGGAAAAAGGCGCATTGCAATCTATGTACGCATGTGCGTCTGACGCGGTCGCAATCTCGAGATGCATGTAGCAGCGGTAGGTAGAGAGGCCAGCTCAGTGAAGCTCAAGATCATTTATGGCGGGTGCAGATCGTATGAAGTCAGCGTGAAATTGGCTCGCATGGCTCTCGAGAGTGCAGTGCAGTTGTACAGAGGCAGCGGTAGTCTGGTAGAGCAGCAAGATTGATTCCTGCGTGGGAGTCTCTTCCACGCGGACTTGACGGGCGGCCGCGACCCTTAAACTTGGTTTGCGAAATTTCTGGATGCAAACCAAGGCAAACCAAACGCAAACCAGATTTTGTCTCGCCCAACTCGGGTTTTTGTTTGTATAAAGAAGCTCGCTGCCCCCCGGCCCCTTTCCCAGGCCATCGCTCCTCCACACTCAAGCACCCTCACCACACTCACACACACACTTATACTGCTACTAGCCATGTCTAATGCGAGTGCATCCATCGCTGCAGGTCCGAGCAAGGCAAAGCCATATGTCTGCCTCACCTGCACGCGTCCCTTTGCCCGCCTCGAGCATCTCAAGCGCCATGAACGCTCGCACACAAAGGAGAAGCCTTTTACGTGCGAGCAGGCAGGAGACATGCAAGGCTGTGGACGCTCTTTTGCACGCAGGGACTTGCTCCTGCGTCACCAGCAAAAGATTCACCTCTTCCCCAACACCACAAAGCGCAGACGGCTCAGTACAGCCAGCGCTCTTTCTTCTGGGCGTCGCAAGTCATCCTCCATCTCGGTACCTTCACAACTTGTGGAGTCGCACCGTATCACCATGTCAATGCCCAATTTGGAGGACTTAAACAACTTTTCAAGTGGCACGGTCAATCCGTCTTCGCTTTGTTCGCTTTCACCAAGCGACTCGAGCGCACACTCGCAGATGGAATTCGCTTTCCCAAACATGGGATATGCTTCATCACATCCACCCGCGCCATCATCAACGGCTTCTTCTGAAAACGTGCAGTGGGCAACGGAAAAACTCTTCCCGCTCGATGTATTCCAGGCGGAAGATTCCTCATTGGCTTGGTCTATGCCAGATCTCATGATTGACGTGCAATCGCCCACTTCATCAGTGTCTTCCTCAGCATACTCACCTGTTCAAGCGACACACGACTTGCAGATTTCTGCCTCTGCCGCAATGCAACACGGTGCCCCCACCAAGTCCTACATGTCCAATGCCTATGCCACAGAAATGTACTTGCGAAGCTTGACAATGGAGAGCCAACGCGCTCAACTTGCATTGATGCAGCAACAGCACGAGCACCACTTGTCCCAGCAAAAACAGCAACACCAGGCACTCTCCTCGCAGCACTCTTCGCCAGTCAGGATTCCTTACAGCGCAGAGCAGCTCAAGATGCAGATTGGTATGCAGCAACAGCAACACCGTGCTTTGGACTTGTCCTACCCACAAACCAACTCTGGCAGCTACATTACTGATTTGGGTACTTCTTTGCAGTACAGCAACGACGCTTCTTGCTTTGCCACTGGCTACAACTACGCCAGTCTTGGTGGACGTAATTTTGTCGAATCTTTCTGAGCTGGTTCGAATATTCTTATGATCCTCAATACATGGCATTCACTCTCAATCACACATATGCATGAATTGCTCTTGCACGGCGCGGCGTTTTCAACATGATACCATATTTATACGTAGGCTAACGCAGCACATCAATACAACAGGATACTGTCGAATCATTCGCCTCTACTGCTTCTCTCGTAACTGTCTCTATTGTCAGACTGTCAAACTGCAAACTCGTCGCTGACCGACATTCCCCGGTGGCCTCGGCTTCGAAAACAAAGCGCAGCCCGGTGATTGGCTGTTTCCAGTTGTCTGTTCATTTCCTTGTCGTAGAGATTTATTTCTCTGGGGAAAAAAGATTGAGCCGTCGTACCCGGCCTTCTTCCCCGGATATCGCGGTGGCCGATGCATCAGCGACGATTCAGCAACAGTGGTGTCAGAAACCCGGGCTAGCGGTGACCCGGGTAAGACCTGGATGCCTCATGTCTTCTAGCTCGAAGCTTGGCTCGCAAGCGCCAAACTTATACGATTGCGAAGGAATATCATGTACATGTCATCATTGTCATGCACGGTCGCTCGCATAGAAGCGATTACGCAAGATCAAACCGCGGCTCGGCTCGCTATCATAGACCTAAGGGCTTGAGCACTCGCGATTTCGCACTTAATGGAAGCCTTGGAAGGAGATCAGGGCATAGACACTTTAAGATGATACATGGATCGAGCTGCAGTACCAGATCAAGAAACGCCGCGAAACAGAGACAGCATTGAGCAGGGAGAGTCAGGCATCTGAAGTCGACAAATGAGCCTCTGCCTGTTGCGTGTTTTTGTCTTCCCATCTGGAGTTTCGCGTCTTTTCTGTCGTGGGACTGACTCAACGGCCACAATCGCGTACACTGCGTAGACCGCGAAGGAGCTCATTGAAGGAAGGGCCCGTACAGAGAATCATGGCGCCATCCACAATATCAAGCGGGCGGGTGTTGGACCTCACAGGCAAGATGTCCAATAACGACAAGGATTTCCGCTACATGGGCCTCAATGACCTTCTTGCTGACTTGACGCAAATGACGGGCCAGTTGGACGATCACTCAGCATCTAGACTGGTGGATGCGGTGCTCAAAACTCTAGAAGACCCGAATGGCGAGGTTCAAAATATGTCCGTGAAATGTCTTGGTCCACTCATCAAGCACAGCAATGAGATTTACATTCAAACCATTGTCAACCGCTTGTGCAAGACCGATGGCGCTGAAGCGCTCAAAGATATCAGTGCAACTGCTCTACGGACAGTCATCTCAGAGCTGTCTCCAAACAGTTCTCTCGCCAATAGCATCACCACCAAGTTGACACCAAAGTTGGTGACGCAACTCGAGCATCCAGAAGACAAGTCGGATTTGCTACTAGAATCCATTGATGTACTACAAGAGCTGCTAAGTCGATTCGGCAAGCAGGTGGAGCAGCTGCCTGAATCCCTCTTGACGCGCATAGTCCACGCATTGGTCAAGCTGCTCGACAATTCAAGACCGGCAGTCAGGAAGCGCTCAATCATGGCGCTGGGTTTGCTCTCCATCCATCTTCCTACATCAGCTCACGATCGCTTTATGAGTGAGCTTGTTGAGCTCTTGCCTCTGGCAAAGTCAAACGAAAAAGTCAAGACTTTACTGGGTCTGCTCGGTCAGATATCAAGATCAGAAGCGCACCTGCCTCAGCCTGCGCGTCGATTCAGCAGCTTTTTGCAAACACTTGCAACGCCAGTCTTGTCAACGCTCTCTATTGATGACGACGAACTCAGAGAAACGGCATTGCTCAGTTGTGAGGCCTTTGTGCTCGGTGGCGGACCACAGATTCGCAAATTCGACGCCCAAATTTTGGAGGCATGCTTCACCTACATCAAGTATGACCCAAACTATTCTTATGATGAAGACGATGCAGGTGATGATGATATGGATATGGATGATGCCGATGAAGGGAGTGATTTCGGCTCGAACTACGATAAAACCTACTCGGATGATGATGATGTTTCTTGGAAGATCCGCAAAGGCTCAGCCAAGTTGTTGCGCGCTCTAATCTCGACCCGACCAGACATTGTCAAGAGCTCTGGCTCGCAAATTGCATCTGTGCTCATTTCACGCCTCAATGAGCGAGAAGAAACTGTTTGTTTGGAAATCATTTCTACATTCGCAGCACTCATTGACTTGGAGGCCGGTACCCCTGCAACGCGTGCTGGCTCGCCTTCTCGCAAACGAGCGAGAGAGAGCGACACAGAGATGGAGTCGGACCCGAAAACGTTGCGTGCAGCTGTTGCACAGTCCATTGGCAAGATCAAGAAGCACCTCTTGCAGCAAATCAATGGCAAGTCAGTCTCAACAAAAGTGGCTGCCTTTAATGCTCTTGCTGCATTGGCACGCTCGAATGAGATCAGTCTCGAGCCAAGTCTACACTCGATGCTAGGCCCAACAAAGCAAGCCTTGGCAAGTGCTACAAGCGGTCACAACGCGGCTGCTGGGCTCGCACTCAAGCTTGCGGCTCTTGATTTCACCCAAGCTCTGATAGATCACGCCTCCATCAGCAGCATCACGGCTAATATGGAGATGCTCAGCAGTCTCCTGACCGACACACTCGAGGCAGAGACGCTCTACAAGGTGGCCTCTACAGCGCTGCAGTCAATATTGTCACTGCTTGTGATTGTTGCAAGACATGGTGATATCAATGCCCACACCACGCTATTCTCCTGCATCCTGCAAAAGACAAAGTCAGAAGCGCTCGATCATGAATTGCGCGATCAACTGATCAAGGCGCTTGGTACGGCCATGGCGCATCTTCCAGCGGGTGCGTCGAGTTCGTTAATGGCAGACGCAGCTGGACTTCTCTTGCAGCGATTACAATCTGAGCCGACGCAACTTGCAGCGACTCAAGCGATTGCTGAAGCTGCCAATGCACAAGTTGCAGTGCTGCAAACAGATTGGGCCTCCCAAGTCGTACGGGTCATCACACCCTTTGCGCGCAATATGAGTGATAAAAGTCTTCGAGCTGCAGCCCTGACTGCTCTGCCGTTACTACTTCCTCGTGCTGCTAGTCTACTTGAAGAAGCCGTCGTGCGGGACTTGACATCCTCGATGAATCATCTGCTCAAGTCTGGCGATGCTCAAGTCTTGCCATCCGCTGTCCAGGTCCTTGGGTCGTTGGCACTCAATACACAGGGCCCGTTGCAGCAGCTCGTGCAAAAGGAGACATTACCCGTTGTCCTGGGATTGATTGATTTGCCAGCTGTGCAAGCTAGGGGTCCAGCATTGGAAGCAGTCCTGTTATACTTGTCGTCCGTGTCGCTTCAGGGTGAGGCGGTCGCCGTGATCGCCAGTCTGTCATCCAACCTCAAGGACAAGAATTTGCCGATCCTTGGTCGCTGTATTGCGGCTTGCTTGCCTCTGGAGAAGGATGCGCTCGCTACACACATCAAGGCGATTCAAGCACCCAAGACACCGGAGGAAGAGCGCGCTTTGGCACTATATATTGTTGGTGAGTATAGCTCAAAAGCAGCAGTCGACAAGAATGTGGCGGATCTCGTCTTGACACAATTCAGCTCTCCCTCTGAAAAAGTCAAAGCCGGCGCTGCTTTTGCCTTTGGAAGCTTGGCTGCACGCGACATGGACAGCTACTTGCCTGTTCTCTTTAAGGAACTTGGCAAGAGTTCTTCAGATCACTTTTTACTGGCTGTATCTCTCAATGAGGTGATTGCGCATAATGAGCATGGCGACAGGGTGGAAGTGTTGTTGTCTCACAGCGACGCCATTTGGGAGCGACTGTTTCGAGCAGCAGACGATGAGCGTGCCAAGGCAACTCTCGCAGAATGTGTGGGCAGACTGACCTTGCTCCGCCCATCACGATTCCTTCCTCAACTACAAACACAGATGCGCTCAGAAGAGACGAGTATTCGATCGGTTGTCATTCGCGCCGTTCGGCATACATTCACGGCTGCGAGTCACGATGTAGTGTTTGATGACTTGCTGAGACCTTTTGTGGTTGACTTTTTGTCCATGATGGAGGACTCTGACTTGGAGATTCGACGGCTGGCGCTCAGTACACTCTATTCTGCAGCTTTCCACAAACCGCAGCTGGTTCACGATCACATTGGACGACTGCTACCCCTACTGTACAAGGAGACGAGCATCAACAAGGATCTGGTGCATGTTGTTCAGATGGGGCCCTTCAAGCATACGGTGGATGATGGATTGGTGTTGCGCAAGAGTGCCTTTGAGACGTTGCATACGCTGTTGGATTCCTTCTTTTCAGTCAATGAGATGCAAGGCATCTACACAGTTATCTTGACTGGACTGGATGATGTGCATGAAATCAAAATGCTCAGCTACCTGATGCTTTCGACCTTGGCGAGCAAGGATCCCGAGGGCGTGCAGCAGCATCTCGAGCAAGTCACTGCCAAGATGGTCAAGGTGATGGCAGCAAAGACAAAGGAGAATGCCGTCAAGTCTGATCGCGAGAAGGATGCTGAGATTAAGCGAAGTGTCATGCGTTGTGCCGTTGCGCTGAAGGACGTGGCGGGCCCCAGTACGCCGGCCTTTGCGGCCTTTTGGCAGGATATGCAAGCGACGAGGCAGGGCGAGATTGAGAGTCTCTCGCAGGAGCTCCGGGGTGTCCTGTAGCTCAGGACTCCATCAAGTAGCTTTATACTCAATACCACACGTGATTGATTGCCTGGCTGACGAGACAAAGACACCACACACGACCAGGTCACTTGTGAGACTGGCAGGGAAAGGCCATGTCGCTCTTTGGGGATGAGAATGAAGGCAGCAACGGCGCATCGAGGATTGGATCTTCTTCCCGGCTCAACTCGGCGTCAAAGGCGCGGACAAACAATAGCAGCAGCGGTCTATTTGGCGATGACGCCGATCCATGGAGTATGTCCCCTGTCCTGTCACAAGCAAGTAAAGCACAGATGGCTAATGATCCCAGTGCCGACGCCCAAGAAGCAAGCAGACATTGGCACCCTGCTAGAAGATGCCGATATTCCTGATGCCTATGTCGATGTCTTTGAAGCGTATGCGACAAACGGCCTCGTCACCATGTCTTCCTTTAAGGAACTACTTAAGGCGGCGCATATCAGTGATTCGGATGCAGAGACAGTTCTTGCTCTTGTACTGCCTGGAGAGTCTAGTACCGCTGGCTTGCCCCGCGCAAAGCTCAATGTCGCACTGGCGCTCGTTGCGTTGTCGCAGCAAGGCGAAGAGCTGACGCTGGATGCCGTGGATGACTTACGACACAGACGCTTGCCAGTACCCAAGCTAGCGACGAAAGAGCAAAAGGCTCAAGAGGCGCCATCAGAGATCAAGCCTGCATCTCCAACCAAAGCACCCGTTCAAGCAGCACAAGCGCCAGTCCCGCAGCGACAGACTGCCGAAGAACCCTCCACGGCCTCTACAACAGACGATCCATGGTCTAATGGCAGTAGTTCACGCTCTCATCACTACGATGAGAGTCCTAGTGTGCCTGAGGCAACCACAGCAACGCCAAGTTACACGAGCCCCGCGGTACAAGGTTCTCTGGACTTTGATGCGATTACAGTCACGACGCTTGAAGGAAAAGAAGGAATGCCGCTCTGGAAACATCTCAACTATGCGTACGTCTCCCCCATGTATTGCACACGCTGACAAAAGTATCAAAAGCGCCAAGCGCAAGTCTAATGTGGTACGTCGATACAGCGATTTCGCATGGCTCCTTGAATGCCTACTCAAGAAGTATCCATTCCGTCAAGTCCCCTTGCTGCCGCCAAAGCGGCTTGCCGGTATGACTCTATCAGGTATGCAAGACATTCTAACACTTTCAAGTGAATGGCATTTACATACGAATAGATGCTGGCTTTTTGGAGAAACGCCGACGTGGGCTCTCGCGTTTTGCTAATGCACTTGAACGGCATCCTGTGTTCAAAATCGACCAGCTCGTGACGACCTTCCTCACAGTCCCAACGGAATTGGCCGTTTGGCGAAAGCAAGCTTCAATTTCAGTGCAAGAAGAGTTTGAAGACCGCTACCTCGCGCCTGACCTGGAAGCCAGTCTACCACAGGGCATTGACGACTGGATGTACAAGACCCGTGTAGCACTCGCGCCTGCCATTGAGTCATTCACAAGTTTGGTCGTAACGCAGGAACGTCTCATCAAGCGGCAGGAAGTGGCAGGGACAGATCACCTACGGTTGAGTTTGACGCTCAATACATTCTGCGAGCAACAAGGTGCGACGTATGATGTACTGGGCAAAGAACACGGTCCCGGCATTGTACGTGGTTTGCAAGCATTATCAAGACACCATACCACCGCACAGCAGACGATGGAGCAAGAGTGTCGCGCACTGGAAGATGCCGTACTTGAAGACTTGAAGCGACACAGGGATACGTTGACTGCGATGCATGAACTATTTGTACGACACGCCAAATATGCAGGCGACAATGTCTCTGCATTGGAGAAACGCATTGCCGCTGCGAAAACAAAGCTGCATGCATTGGACAACAAGGTGGATGCAAAGGAGAACGACAAGGCAAAGTTGCGGGAAAGCATACAGAGTGATCAAAACACGATTGTCAAGCTGATGAGTCGCCGTGTGTTTGTGCGGGAGTGTGTGTGGCATGAGTTGCAGGTGTTTGAAGCACAGCAGGTGCACATTTCGAGGCTGGTGAATGACTTGGCTGGGTTGCGAGCCGACTTTGCAAAGCGGTTGCTGGATCTGGCTGTGAAGCTACAGGGCGACGTTGAGGGGATGCCGTAGCTGGTAACAGGCACATACATGCACATACATGCACATACTGGAGTACTCGAGGCCGCACAGGGGGAATTCGGCGTCGCCGTCGCGCTTCCCCACAAATTCATCTCTCCAGACCACATTAGCTCATCTGCTGCTGGACCACAAGCCTCAGCTTAGACTAATAGTCAAGCTAACCTTTGCCTGTATCAACAGACATGGTCCGTGTTGCTGTGTGTCAGATGGCCTCGCAGCAGTTCAACCTTGAAAAGACACTCGGCGTGGTCGCAACGTACATGAACAAAGCTTCCGAGAAGAAGACTGATCTCATTGTATTCCCAGAAGCTACTATCGGCGGATACCCAAAGCACTCGACCTTTGGTATTCAGGTAGGCCTGCGAACAGATTCAGGACGGCAAGAATATCTGCTATATTACAACGCCTCTATTGAGGTGCCGTCGCCCACCACGGATACACTTGCACAATTGGCAAAAGAGACCAACATGTCTGTGGTCATTGGCGTGATTGAGCGTGAACGAGGGACACTATATTGCACGCTGCTCTATATCGATGCTGTCGCAGGTTTGATTGGCAAGCATCGAAAAATCATGCCGACCGGGGCAGAGAGGCTTGTGTGGGGGTTCGGAGACGAGTCTACCATTGCCGTGCATGACATGACTTTGCCGTCTTTGCAGAACGTCAATGGTCACGGGAACAAGGCCAAAGTCTCGGGCGTCATCTGTTGGGAGAATTATCAGCCCTTGTTACGGTATCACATGTATCGACAGGGCACTCAAATATACACAGCTCCTACTGTGGATGCTCGAACGACTTGGCTCCCCTCTATGCAATTTATTGCCCAGGAAGGACGGTGTTTTGTCTTGTCGGCGTGTGCCTTTGCCAAGAAGGAAGACTTCCCTGCTGACCATGCCGCTCAACAAGCACCGGACGATATCATCATTGCTGGTGGGAGCTGCATCATCTCTCCGCTGGGTGAAGTCTTGGCTGGTCCATTGCGTGAGGAAGCTGGCCTTCTCTTTGCAGAGATTGACCTGGACGACAATATCAGGGGTGCGCTGGATATGGATGTTACGGGCCACTACTCGCGGTCAGACATTTTCCAGCTGCACGTCAAGGGATATCCTGAAGATAAGTCCAAAGCAGTTTAAGCCTCCCATAGCCCTATACTCCTTCCTCCATGCCCGTGCCACACCGCCCGAGTAGACAGCGGCACCTCTTCTGCTCGTCTCTTCCCCAAATTTCAAATTTCGCAGCGGAACTTGAACCATCCGCGACCAAGCCAACCAGCATCCATCGTCTGCTCATCCTCAGAGCCACGGCTTGGTCCTGCTGACAGGGTCGGATTCACGGGCAGATAGGCCTCTTCAATTTTATCCAAGCATGACCACGCCGCAGTAAGTCCCCATGCGCGCACCGTGCCAACTTTGCCAAGACACTCCAGTCGCTGACCCATTCGCAGAACCGGCAAACGTCGTTCCCTCTCTGTGACCCTTGCACAGCTCGCACGCAGCTTCTCTAATTCTTCTCCACCTGAAAATCAGCCTCTTCAATCGCGTACGGGCTCGAGTGGCAGTACACGGCGGTACTCCACAGACGAGTCTGCCAACCGCGCAAAAGAGATGATCAATAGCGCAGGCGAACAACATCCCGAAGACCGTCATACATTTCGCGTTGGTGTGACGGAGGACAAGAACCGGCGCTGTCGGCGGACCATGGAGGATACGCATGCCTTTGTGTATGACTATATGAAACATCCTGATGACGGCTATTTCGCCATTTTTGATGGTCATGCTGGCAGGCTTGCTGCTGATTACTGTGGTTCGCGTTTTCATTTGATTCTAGCGGACATCATGCGTCGTAATGTCGACAAGCCGCTGCCGGATATCTTGGATGCAGCGTTCACCTATGTCGATTCAGCCATGGAGAAGATGCACTTCAAGAACCAAGGATGTACCGCTGCCGTGGCACTCTTGCGATGGGAGACACGGTTGCCTGTGCCATCAGAAGGTACAGAAGCAACTACCGTACAAAACCATCGACGCGTGCTCTACACTGCTAATGCAGGTGATGCCCGTATTGTGCTATGTCGCGCCGGTCGAGCCATTCGACTCTCCTATGACCACAAGGGATCTGATCATCAAGAAGGTGTTCGTGTACAAGCAGCTGGCGGTACAATCCTCAATAATCGCGTCAATGGCGTTTTGGCCGTGACGCGTGCACTTGGCGATGCCTATATGAAGAGTCTCGTGACGGGCCACCCGTATACAACAGAGACGGTGCTTGTTCCTGAAGAAGACGAGTTTATGATTCTGGCGTGTGATGGGCTATGGGATGTATGCACCGACCAGCACGCGATTGACCTTGTTCGCGCGGAAAGAGACTCCAAAAAGGCGAGTCAAGTACTGGTGGAGTATGCACTCAAGGAGTACTCGACCGACAACCTCACCGTCATGGTGGTCCGGCTCAAGGATCTCGCGCCGCTGTCTCCCGTGCTGGCGAGCAAGGAGCCAGCAGACATCCAAGAAGAAGATGGCGAATCGGCCGTTGTGGATTGATTTTTGTGTGACTGGTCGATGCAACCTTCGTTCTCATAGCTCTTCCTCATCATCGTCTGCACTTGCAGGCGTCGTAGTAACAACAGGCTCTTGTACACGACCATCCAGCGCTTCACGCTCACGCTGCAGCCGTACTTCCTCTTGCAATGCCAGAAACTTGGCTTGCGTCTCTTCCTTTTCCTCTTCTGCCCGTTCATTGACGACTTCCCATCCACTCGCCCGCTGCTTGATGCTCTCTTGCGATCGTTTATACGCATCGGCTTTGACATCTACCTTCGCCTCAAACGCAATTCCCTTCTCCCGCTGCTGATGTTTCCGCCGTTGCTGTTTTGACGTGAGTTTCCCTTGTCTCTTGGCAATACCGGCTTTTTGCTGACCCGTCGCTGCAGCTGTACGAAGTGCTAAATCACTCACTGCTTTGGTGACGCGTGATTTGGCAGATTCTTCGGTAGTAGCTGCTTCGCCAGCAACATTGCTTGTTGCACCATGTCTGAGGTTGCGCGTCCGTTCAGACGGTTCCTTTCTCGTTTTGGCCTTTGGGCGCATCTGTAGATACTTTAGCAGCTTTGTCCCAGTCGAGTAGGTGAAGTCGCCGAAAAAGTCAAAAAGGCGACGAGATGGACAACGACACAGCAACGAGCAGTAATGAAGAGCAAAAGGATAGACTACGGGGATGCATCATGCGCAGCAGCCTAAGAGTAGAGGTCATCTTCTCCGTCATTGCCAAACTGAGAAGGAGGCTGCACCTCACCGCCTTGACCGGCCGCAGCTGCCTCATTGGCAGAGGGGAATCTGAATCCAGAATTACCCGGTGCTTGGTTCTTGAGCTGCGTGGCAAACATCTCATACCGCCGGATATCAGAGTCAGAGACGGATCGCCTTGCAGACCGCATGGCCTCCTCAAAGTACTCGCGCGTCACTTCAGCTTTATCATCCTCATCCGCCATTTCAACATCACCACCTTCCTTAGCCCGTTGCACATCCGCTGCAATCGAATCTTTGATGGCGAGTTTCACGGCGCGTTGAACAATATACGACATGTCTGCACCAGAGAAACCATGCGTGTGCTTTGCAATGTATGTCAAGTCGACATCTGCAGCAACAGGCGTCTTGCGGAGTTGTGCCTTGAGGATCGACAAACGTGACTCTTCATCTGGCAACGGCACGTAAATCAATTGATCCAAACGTCCAGGTCGCATGAGTGCTGGATCAATGACATCTGGTCGGTTGGTGGCGCCAATGATGAAGACATTCTTCTTGGAGCCCATACCATCCATTTCAGTGAGGAGTTGGTTGACGACACGGTCTGATGCACCGCCTGCATCACCACCACCGCCACCACGCGCACGAGCAATCGAATCCAACTCATCGAGGAAGATGACACACGGCGCTGCAGCGCGTGCCTTGTCAAAGATATCACGCACACCCGCTTCAGACTCACCAAACCACATCGACAACAACTCGGGTCCCTTGACGGAAATAAAGTTGGCGGCGCATTCATTGGCAATGGCTTTTGCAAGGAGTGTCTTTCCCGTTCCTGGTGGACCATAGAACAAGACACCTTTGCTGGGTGACATGCCGAATTTGAGGAATTTGTCTGGGTGTTCGACAGGGTATTGCACGGTTTCCTGCAACTCCGTCTTGACCTTCTCCAAACCACCAATATCGTCCCACTTGATGTTGGGGATCTCCACAACAGTCTCGCGCAGGGCAGATGGGTTGGAGGTGCCGAGGGCGAAGCGGAAATTCTCCATCGTCACGCCAAGCGAGTCAAGCACTTCTGCGTCAATGGTATCTTCATCCAAGTCAATGAGATCCATCTTTTCACGAATCTGTTGCATAGCAGCTTCAGAGCACAATGAAGCGATATCCGAGCCAACGTAACCGTGCGTTTCAGCGGCGATTTGCTCAAGATCAACGTCATCGCCGAGTTTCATATTCTTGGTGTGGATGCGCAGAATCTCAAGACGACCAATGGCATCCGGGATACCGATATCGACTTCACGATCAAATCGACCGAATCGCCTGAGTGCAGGATCAATGGAGTTGGGTCGGTTCGTGGCTGCCATGACAACAATATTGCTGCGTGCCTTCATACCGTCCATAAGTGTCAAGAGCTGCGACACAACACGTCGCTCCACCTCACCATTTGTTTTGTCACGCTTTGGTGCAATGGAGTCAATCTCATCAATAAAGATGATGGCCGGGGAATTCTTCTCTGCCTCCTCGAATGCTTTACGCAAGTTGGACTCTGACTCACCGGCCATTTTGGACATGATTTCGGGACCGTTGATGAGGAAGAAGAAGGCGCCTGTTTCATTGGCGACGGCACGCGCCATGAGTGTCTTTCCCGTTCCCGGTGGACCAAACATGAGAATTCCACGAGGTGCCTTGACACCGAGTGTCTTGAAGAGTTGTGGGTGACGCAATGGCAGCTCAACTAGCTCTCTCACTTGAGCGAGTTGCTTGCGACAACCACCGAGATCATCATAGCCCACTTCAGCGAGACCTGCTTCTTCATCTTCGCGATCAATGGGGTCCCCTTCACAGTGGATGACGGTCTCAGAAGAGACAATACCATACTCTCCCGGGTCGACTTCAATGCACTTGAATTCAACTTGACGCATGCCACCACGGCAGGTAAACAAGTCGCCCTTGCGAATTGGTCGGTACGCTTCAAAGAAGTACGGCTTGAGGAAGACATCAAAGATGGAACCGGTGATGCCTTCGATTGTATCGCTCAGGGGTGCGACTTCGATACGTTTTGCATAGCCGACATCTTCTGCTGGGTGGATGAGGACGGTGTCTGAGAGTTTGACACGTAAGTTGTGGCGAACCACACGGTTCAATCGCGCCACGCCGTCTTCCATATCATCGTCGCCCTGCTGTTAGATGACCTAATATTTGAAAATGGGTTGAACGTACGAGTGCCACGAGCACAGTATCCTTTCGCTTCTTTCCCTTGACGATGACATTATCGCCACGGAAGATGTTGAGGGATTCCATTGTCTTATTGGACATGGTGATGACGGAGTTGTCGTCGTTTGTCGCGTCATCCACAACAAGGGAGTTGGGCTTGTTCTTCTTGCGCAGGATGGCGGTTGCAGTCTTGTCTTCTGCGGTCTCTGGGGCTATAGAGATGCTGTTAGACTTGATTGCGCAATTGATTTGAGCATGAATTGGGTCTTACCTGCGGCGGGCATTGCAGACGGTTTCTTCTCGTCTTGTGCGTCCATGTCTGGCAGATTTCTGTGTATGTCCTGCCTGCCTGTCTGTCTGTCTATCTGGCCTGTCCTTTGACTGGATGGCTTGAGGAGTAGGAGGAGAGTAGCTGGTGCTGGTGGTTTGTCACTCGTTCGGCTAAAGTTCAAGGGCGACGCGTCATGGAGCAGCAGCAGTAGTAGTCAGCAGCAGCAGTAACAGACTAACAGTACTAGGCCTGATGCGAGAATATTCTACGGCAGGTAGTAGCAGTACAGTGCATCTAGCAACAGGCCTGTCTTCTTGAGCAGTAGTGATGGACGGTGTATCGGGTTGACTGTGAATTCACCGGCCTGGTTGGTACTGTCTATAGTCTAGCATGCTACAGTACTACTCTACTGTCTAGCCTACTACTCTACTAGGCCACTACCAGCACTGTCCATCAGCCTCATGATCACGAGCCAGCGGGCAAGAAGCAAGAGATGGAGAGACTGCGCATGATTCGTGCGCTTAAGTGTGCGCGAATGAGAAGCGACCATCAGAGACAGAACTGACTCTCTCTACTCTTCTCCAGTCTACTCTCTACTGTACTGATAGTGAAAGTCTGTGATAGTCAGTCTACAGGCAGCCTGTCATGCGACTGCGCTAAGCGGACTGCCCGTCTCCTTCTCTATATAGACACCGCATCCCCATCCATCAGCTAGCTAGCTACCTATACGCCCGCACCATGAACACCGCACAACACCAAGCTCCCATGCTCGTCCCAGCCGCAGTCCATGACCCAGCAGCGCCCGTAGCTGCTGCACCCGCACCCGTCGCACCCATGTCCCAAGCAGCAAACCCAAGCTACACCGAAAAGTCATCCCACGCCGCGCCCATGACACAAGGCGGTGTAGGCACGGCTGCAGGATCTGACTGGACACAGGGATTCTGCGAGTGCTTGAATCCTATTGATTTGTGTGTCACCACCTTCTTCTGTCCTTGCATCACCTATGGCAGGTTGCAAGAACGCGCTGCCAACCCAACCTCTCGACAGCAACCAGAAATGGTCAATGCACAGTGCGGCTTGTATGGTGCACTCTTGTGCTGTGCTGGTTTCCAGTGGGTCTTGGGATGCATGGGACGTACTGCTCATCGCGAGAGAATGGGTATTGAAGGCTCGACAGGCATGGATTGTGCCTCGCACTTCTGCTGCTCCTGCTGCGCACTCATCCAAGAGGTAGGTTCTATTGCTTGGTTGAGCATGGCTAACAGCTCTAGACAAAGGAGATGGACCACCGATACGGCCAGCTCGAGGGCTGACTTGCTCTTTGCTTTTGGTCTTGCCCAGCTTCTACTTTTACTAATATCTTGATCCTTCCTAGTTTCCCTAGTGATTGTCTATAATACTCTCTTACTGCTGCTTGTACGTGATATTGCCCAGTGTGTGGAGTGCTGAAGATATCCAGAGTGACTACAGACTGGAGCACTGTACAAGCACACTCAGGGGCAGCGATATACTCAAGACTGCAACACCCAGCACGCCTCTTTCTCTTCTCTCTCCAGTCAGTCCATCATGCTTCCTGCTATCCAAACTACCGTAGATCACTCGCTTGAAGCAGTATTCAGCGCAGACTCCTCAGCACCTCTCCCAAGCTCACAAGAGACACTCCCTACCAAGACAGAGGCAGACTCCATTACGCATGCTCCAGAGCGCAGTCCCAGCATGTCTCAAGAGACTGTGACGACACAGACAGAGAAGCAGCAGTCGCACGAGACACCAGCTATCACTCAACAGCCAACACTTGTACCTGCTATGTCTCAAGCTGAACCTGCACCTTCCACAGAAAAGCAAGATGCTACTGGCCTCGACGTGGACCCACGCAAATGGCACACCTCCTTCTACGATTGCATGTCACCCTGTCACCTCTGCTTGACTGCCTTCTGCTGTCCCTGCGTCGTCTACGGACGCAATGTCACAAGAATGCAAAACCCAACAGACCCAGACGACTTCCCCATTAATCTCCCTTGTCTCTTCTACTACTTCCTCGGCTGCTTCGGTTTGCAATGCTGCTTGGGTGCATTCTCGCGTGTTCAGCACAGATCGCAAATGGGCGTGGAGGGTGACCCACTCGAAGACTTTTGTGCACACTTCTGTTGCACAACCTGTGCACTTACCCAAGAGGTATTGTTCTTCCTGCTGCTTCGTCATGCACAGCTCACAAGACAGAGTAAAGAGATTGATCACCGGTACCCACAGCTCAGGGAATGACCGCTAGCAGCACCAAATAACGCTTATCCGCCGTCATGGCCCGTTTGTACTCTTTCAATTCCATTCGTTATTCTTTGAATAAACGCAAGATGGCTCTTCCCACTGCCAATCCATCATGCTCATCACCCGCTCGATTCCACGCATCCTTGCCATACGCTTCCGGGACAATGCCTTGAGCCACCCGCTTCTCAACGAGCAACTTGACCGTCTTTTCATTGAACTCAGGGTGTCCCTGTACTGAAAACAGCCGTTTAGGCTCATACAACGCTTGTATGTCGCAAATGGCATTACTCCCAACGACGCGCGGTCCAGGTGGTGCAATCGTGACGATATCCTGATGCATCTGTTGTAATCGCAACGTCCCTTGATATTCCGGCATCAATGGACAATCAAACGTATCGAGCGCCGTAACGGCAATCTCCCATCCCTTGGGGTTCTTGGCAACCGAGCCACCCAGTGCCTGTGCAACCACCTGATGACCAAAACAAATCGCTGCAATGGGAATCTCACCGTATGCAAGTCGAACAAAGTCTTCGAGTGCCTTGATCCATTCAACTGGCTCATACGCACTCGTCTTGCTGCCCGTCAGTAAGCATCCATCAAACTCCTCGAGCTGGCGTGTTGAGGTGGGTAGAGGCTCGCCTTTGTAGGCTTTGAAGGTGGTAAAGACGAGCTTGTCGGCAACCGAAGGATTGGCTGCACGAAGGAGTCGTGCAAAGTAGTCTGTGTACTGTCCATACTCACTCTGCAGCTCCTCCAGCGGCTCGTCGCATTCGAGAATGGCAATCTTCATCTATAGAGTGAACGTCCAGCAGTTGTCGTTGGTGCTGGTGCTGCTGGATGACGCCAGAGATAAGCGAACAAGAAGCGACTCCACACCTCAATCCCACTCAAGCGCCTCGATACAGTCTGCTGGAGGATGGCCGGGATATCTGATGAACAGGTGGAAGACCTCAAACACGAACTGAGTGGGGCAAAGGGCATCAAAGTAGCCGGCATCGATTGCGACGGTATCCTCCGAGGAAAAGTGATGCAACCAAGCAAGTTCTTCTCAGCACTCAAGAATGACGGGTTTGGCTTTTGTTCAGTGACTTTCGGCTGGGATATGCACGATAAGACATACGATGGTGTCTCGAGTATTTCAAATACCGAGAATGGCTTTACTGATATCACTGCCAAAGTGGATGTTGACTCGAAGCGGCTGTTGCCTTGGGATGACCAACAGCCCTTCTTCCTACTCACGTTTCATGATATTTCGGGATCACCTATTCCACCGTGTCCTCGCTCTCTTCTTGCAGCACAAGCCGACAAAGCAAAAGACATGGGCTTCAAGTGTATGGCTGGCTTGGAACTCGAATTCTTCAACTTTCACGAGGATCCGGCGTCTCTTGGCAGCAAAGCCGGTCGTGGACTAACACACCTGACGCCTGGCAACTTTGGTTACAGTATGCTGAGACCTATGGCAAAGCACACGCGTGACTACTTCAAGGAAATTTACGAACAAGCCATCGAGTTAGAGTGTCCCATTGAAGGCTGGCATACCGAGACGGGTCCTGGTGTGTATGAAGCAGCGCTTGCATTTGATGAAGTGACACGTATGGCGGATAATGGTACCCTATTCAAGTTTCTATGCAAAAGCCTCGGTCTCAAGCATGGTATCACCCCGTGTTTTATGGCGAAACCGGTTGCTGGTATGTCTGGCAATAGCGGACATATTCACATGTCCCTCGCAGACCCAGATGGGACCAACCTCTTTGCACGAAACAGCACAGACGAAGCGTCACCTTACCCAGACGTCAAAGACTTTTCCGACATTGGCCGCTACTTCACAGCGGGTGTCCTTGAAGGTCTACCGGATATCATGCCCTTGCTTGCACCAAACATAAACAGCTACAAACGACTTGTGGAGAACTACTGGGCCCCTGTGGACGTCTCGTGGGGACTCGAACATCGTCTGGCGAGCGTCAGATTGATTGCGCCACCGACTTGCGCTCCCAAGGCGACACGCATCGAGATTCGTGTACCGGGTGCAGATATCGTTCCTCACTATGCTATGGCTGCTTTGTTGGGGCTCGGATTGCGTGGTATTGAGAAGAAGTTGGCGTTTTCCATGCCACCGCTAGGCCATACACCAGAACCAGGCACCCCAGCCAAGTCTTCAATCCGACTCGCCAAAGATTTGAAGGAAGCGACTGTCAAGTTCATGGCTCCTGGATCATTGGCGCGCGAGGTGCTGGGGGATGCTTTCGTTGAGCATTTTGGGTTTACGAGGCAGCAGGAAATCAAGCAGTGGGAGATGACCGTAACGGACTGGGAAGTCTCGCGATACATGGAAACGGTATAGGGCCTTGATTTTATAGACAAAACGGACGATGTTTACCTTCGTGTTGTACATCTTGCCGGGCCGACGATCGATCTCTCATATGACGACATGCTCCCGCGGTTCCTTCTTTTCAACGATTCGCGAGTGACTCTTGATAACGAGCTCCGAGTACTTTCTATCCTCTTGTTTACCTTCCCTCGCTCATCCATAGTAGAAAGACCAATAGCAAGCAAGGCAGCTCTCAATAAACAAATCCATCGAGCTCAAGTCCCAGCGTGTTGTCTCGCATTCACGCTCTATTTGCCGTTGAAACTTCAAGGGGGATACCTCGACGTCGTATCTCAGCGCTAGCTTGCATACTCACGCTCGCGCATTGCATCACGAGAAACGCTCCTGAGTAGTAGGCCACGCGATCGCGGCATCCGTCTAGATCTCAAGTCGTGAACAGCTTAAAAGGGACTTTGGGTGTCCCGTTCTTGAATTCCGGTCAACATACACAGGACACAAAGCATGAACAAGCTTGTTGGGGAGATCAACATCACGCCCGCTCTGCCAGAATCACCCTCAGAGTCCATGAGTAGCGAGATCTCAGGTCTGCTGCCTCGCTTGACGACTGGCACCTTTGCTTCAACGGATGGGAAGGTTATGCGATCGCGTTTCAGGGAGGAGTTCAAAAGGCAGAGTTCATTCAAGTTATGGATGAAGAAGCTCGTCAGCTGAGACCATGGAACATCCACAGACCTTTTATCTATCCTCTTTGGCCGCTGATGGTCATCACACTCGCTTACTCGAGACTCAGCACCAATCATTGTGTTCTGCATCTGCTTTCCACACACTGATTGCTCGGCTCCAAGTCAATCAACAGACGGTCATAGACTGCTACCGCCGCAAAGCAGTCTCCTCCTTCGTTTCAGCTACATCTTATGGAATAGAAGCAACACAGACAGAAGGCTGGTCGCCATTTAGAGCACGCCACTTTTCTTGAAGCGTTAGACATTCAATTCACTGCATCCTCACGATCCTCACATCCACGGCAACAGAGCAAAGCATATCCACAATGCAGTGATGCTTAGCTGCTGCTTGCTTGCACTCGATAAGCTCACTACTGTTGACGTTGGTGTTGAAGCGTCCTTACTGAGCCCTTGCATGGCTGCTTGAATGATGATGTGTGCCGCTACACTACTCTTGTCATCCTTTGGTGCTGCACCTTGCGCATACGTCTCGTCCACCATGCCATTCATCACTGCCTGCCAACGTGCATCACTAGTCAATTTATCCAAGACTTGTTTCAATTCTGATTTGCCAATCCCCTGGGCTGCAGCCACAGAAGCTAGATGACCAACTTGTGACTTGACTGGTGTTGGATTTTCCTTGATATCTTGATCGGATGGCAGTGTTGAGAGTGTGGCATTGATGGCTTCGAGCGATGCTAGTAAGTCGGGTTTTGGCGGCGTAGCGACGTCTCGTGTTTGCAAGCGGCCTGGGTCTTGCAAACTAGGAAGTAGATTGACGACGAGGTATGAAGAGATGGCTTCTTGGACTCTGCTGATAAGAATGGCCTTTTGCTGCTCAGGAGACAGTAGCTGAGCCGACGCGGCGACTAGAATGATAGACCATCTGAATAGAGTTCCCCTGAGCATTCTGAAGCCTTCACTGAGTCGTCAACTTGATAGACGCTGATTCGATGAAGGCTATAGCTCAAGGAACTCAATATCTTATGTACAATGGTAAGAATTTATTTGCTTGAAGCTACAAAGCTACTTTCTAATCCAATCAAACAGATAGTCGGCCAACCATTTGCTAGGGTTGTCTACAAGCCGAGTAAACACATCAGCGCACACAACCGACAACGGCAGCGTGATCAAAAAGACAACAAACTGAGCAAGTGGCGCAGCCCACTCCTTTTGTATTTGCAGGTTAAAGTTGATACGCAGGCCAAGGGTGTAAATGATGCATCCTTGCAGTAGGAACCAACTGAATGAGATACGGCCGAGATACCTGAAGAGAGGGTTGCTGAAGATCTTTTGGAGGAGTGTGTTCATCTCGAGGAACATCAGACAACCAACCACCACGAACCAGGAGGAGATGCGCTGGGTGGGCTCATTGACGGAGATATCTCTACTGAGACCTCCACCGTAGACGGGTGTTCGGAAGACCAGCTCGTCGTTGATCTTGTTGGGTTCAGCGACTTGGTAGACGTACTTGAGAATCACACCAATCGACAAGAACACCGCAGGAACGACGTATGCAGATACTTTTTGCTTCAAGCGAGGCACAGAGATACCATGTTTGGCAGAGTCGGCAATGTTCATGTTGTGCACGGCATGTGCAATCATCAGACCAGTACCGCCATACCATGCCCAGCTCGAGACCCAGTAGCCCAGCAGAGAGAAGACGCCCATAGACCAAAAGGCCCATCGCTTCGTCATGAACGGCAGACAGAGCATGACCATGTAGACAGTAAAGGACTCTTGGTAAACGACCGATACAATCCACAGTTGACCTGTGGGAAAAGCGCGCACACCAGCTTGTGTGCCTGTAATGTGCCAAAAGAGATCAAAGACCGAGTTGAACCAAGCAAGCGCATGGGGAATCTTGTAAGGTGTCTCTGGAATGCGATTTTCGAGTGCACCCGCAGTTGCTTCGACGAGGGCAAAGCCATTGCCGTAGCTGAGACCCATACAGATGGCAAGTGCCACGGCGCAGGGGAAGAAGAGACGCAGACCGCGCCTGAAGAGCGAACCAGCCATGGCTGTTGCATCTGGGTTGCGCAAAAATCTCACACAGACCAGCCGTGCAGAGAGAATGATAAAGAAAGAGGCCTGCAGGTTTCCATCCCAGAAGAGAGGACTGAAGATCTCGCGCAGGACAGATTGGTAGCGCGGTGGATACGGATTGGCTGCGATACTCTCAAACGATGCGCCAGGCACGATAGTACGCATGAAAACCCAAAGGAAGGCCTCAAAGGCAATGAGACCCTTGAACCCCTCGATGTAGGCGATGGTCTCGCGCGGCTGCAGTGGTTTGTAGACATTGTCGACTGTGCCGAGGATTGCTGCCATCTTTTCGCGCGGTGATGGGCCTGTGAGGTCTGCGCCGACATAGTCAGTCTCATCGAGCTGCTCGTCCAGGCCAGGAGTCATGAGTGTGCGTCCCTCTGCCATAGTTGTTGGAAGATGGCCGCAATGCTATGGCGCGTTGTTGGTACTAGTAGAAGGATTGAGGATGACTTCTATCAGGGACATGCACTTCGCCGTGCTGGCTCGACGCGCCCATTTCCCATGCAGCCGACCTGCCTCCCCAGCCTGTTCTCGCTCTCCCTCCTCTCTGCGTCTCTGCCTGACAAAGGCCGGGTCCTGCTTGGTAGCGTGGTTTTCTGTAGACGCAGATTGCGGTGTTCCTGGCTGGCTGGTCCGTGAGATGGATTTCTGGATTCTCCGGATATCCGGGAGATTTGTCCGAATGCGGCAACTCGCTTTCCCCTTTTTGTCTTGTCTGCACCATCTGAATCTTTTCAGCCAATCAGAACGCTCAATAGCATCAAGAGACAGTTGCACGTTGCCTGATTCAGATTCAGATGCAAGGGACAGCCACCCGCAACGACATGAACGAACAAGACAAAGATACGCGCTGTCCACAGTCGGTAGCGCGGAGCCTAGGCATGGCACAGCTAGTATACCAGCCTGCAGTCACTGCTTTGCACCCAGCACGACTTGCGCGTGGTTGTTCACCAAAAGAACGACAAACAACCACCTAATACCACCTTCTTTCCATCCAAACTACACTTCAAACCTCTCAGCAAAGCAGCTGTTGCTCTAGTACCTAGCTCACTGCAAGCATGGATCTCCGGTCAATGAGCCCAGACCAAGACGCTCAACAGCGCGCCATTGAATCAGACGGCGGCGTCCAGGAAACACTCTTTGCTGCACACGAACACGGTATCGAGATGCAGGAGAATATCGGCGGGCACCATGGAACAGTTGCTCTGGAGCACGACGAAGATCTTGAAGCAGACACAGAAGTCATTCCCAGGAAAAAGGGCCTGTCGCGCGTCAACGAAGGATTTGTGCGCAGGATGCTGCGTGCTTCCTTGTGGGTTGAGGAGTGGACACCTTGGGCGCTCCTCATCCTCTACCAGGCCGTCTCCATCTTCTTTTACATCTCACTACCACGTGAAGCGACAAAAATCTTCTGGTACTTTTACCTCTTCTTGGCATTTGCCGTCTCAACCATGGTTACGATCGAAGCGTCGCACTGTCTGACACCCTCGAAGGACGCACGCCGTGCTATTCGTCGTTTGCGCGAGACTGGACAGTTCCCAACACCGGACGAGAAGCTTCCCACCCTTGATCTCGTCATTGTCGCCTACTTGCCCAACGAACAAGACATCATCAAGCAGCAGATTCGATATGCTCTGCGTGAGATTGTATACCCAAAGGAAAAGATCACCATCAACGTCGTCTACAATACGCCCAAGCCTATTGAGCCGCTTGAGACTGAGCTTCAAGAGCTGCAACAACGCTACACCAACCTCAAGGTTATCAAGGTGACAGAGTCGACTTCCAAGGCACACAACTTGAACCACTTTTTGACGTACGAGGGCAAAGCCGATGTCATTGGTATCTACGACACGGACCACTACCCGCACCCTCATGGACCTCGATGGGCTATTGAGCGATTCTGCCGTGGTGATGGTACCGATATTGTCCAAGGTCGTTGCGTTGTGTACAACTATGACGAGTCTTGGGTCACCAAGCTTATTTCCGCCGAATTTGACATGATTTACGCAGTCTTTCACCCTGGTCGTGCGCATGAACAAGGTTTCGGTTTGTTTGGTGGTGCCAATGGTTACTGGCGTGCTTCCTTGCTCAAGGAGCTCAAGATGCAAGGTCACATGCTCACGGAGGATATCGACTCGACATTGCGTGCTTTCGCTGCCGGTGCCAAGATGGTCCACGAGCTCAATACAGTGTCCTATGAGCAGGCTCCAGCAACCGTTCAAGCCTTCACCAAGCAGCGTTTGCGATGGGCACAGGGCTGGACCCAGGTGACCATTCGCCATGCTTTGCTCGCACTTGAACAAGGTGCCCCTGGCGCCAACATCAAATCTCGCATTGGCATCTTTATGCTGCTCGTCTTCAGGGAGCTCTTCTTCTACATCCTCACTCAGTTCTCCTCTCTTCTTCTCGGCAACTTCTTGCTGCAGCCACCCAAGGATATTGCTGCCGTCTACCACTCGTTGTTTGGTTTCCCACTAACAACGTGGCTCTTGGCCTACAATATCCTGACGTTGATTGTGATTACGGGTTACACCATTCGCAACCGTTCCGAGTTCACCTCAGTGTGGATTATTTGCATCTATGGTTGCTTCATGCCATTCTACTTTACCATTTTGGCCATGATGGGTATCTTTGCACACTTCCGAGAGCTTATTGCGTACTCTAGCTGGAACCCAACGGCCAGGACAGCTGCGAAGAAGGCATAAATATAGTATATACATTCAAGCTCAACTTTCATTTCTACTGTTCAATATCGCTTTGAAGGCATCTTTTTGTTGTGTACACGTTCGATTCTCCTGTTCAAAGCATTCTTCCATAGACATGTGTGTACAAGCAAGTTGATATGAAGGCGCGCTATTCTACAATACAAGCAAGTGCAAGCAATGGAGTCTACTTCTTCCAAAAAGTCAATAGCTTCTTGGCACGAGACGATGCAGTGGAGCGTATACTTGCTCCATCATCCGAGTTGTTGTCCTCATCCTTCTTGCGTCTGCTGAAGCCGCTCAAGATACTGGCCGGCCTGCTGGAGTGCTGCGAACGGATACTGCCGCCTGCAATGGATTGGGCGATTGGTTTGAGTTGACCCTTGAAGGTGACACGCTCTGTGCCATCCACAACCTCAAACAAACCCCTCGCACCGGATGCAATGTCTGTTGCACAAACGATATGGCCACGCTGTCGAATAACAACACCACATGCAGCAACGGGTAACGTACCTTCACCGAAATTCTCGCCCTCAATCACATCCTTGGCAAGCGCTTTGGCTGTTGACAGCAAAGTCATCTTGTCACTACCATCCACCTCCATGGTTGGACTGACAAGTGTCTCGCGCGCACAGTGAATAAATGCCTGTCTTAAAATTGGGCGTGGTCCAGAACTACTGCCACAAGTAGCACAAGCGAGATGTCCTGTATTACTGCAAGTCTTGCAGAAATACCTGCCTTTGCCGGTACACATGACGCAGGGCTTCTTCTTGAAGATACCACTGCCTTCGCACGCAAAACAGTCGTCTTCTGAAGCGAGACCCTTGCAACGACGGCATTCGTCGTTGTGGTTGTCACAGGGGATGGTGGAGAAGGTTGGTTCACCCATAATCATGCAAGCATGCTCACTTTCAATACGTGGTTCATCGAGCGAGAGTGGAGGCAAATCCAAATCAGCTGCCCAGATGTAAGGAAGGCGTGTCACCTTGTCGAGAGGTCGGTCCGAGGTACCCAGCAGTTTCCAGAATGCTTTGCGGTGTTCGAGCACAAGCACCACATGCAGCATCTCGCATGTATCCTCAGAGCGTGTATACAGCGAGAACGTTGTGAGGGGTTTAGGTGAGCTGAGTTCTTGCGCAAACTGTTTGGGGAAGGCAGAGACAATCTGCAGACGCGCCATTTGCAAGTCGCACTCGGCGTCTTCTCCAGACAAGTCAACCTCGGAGACACTGAGATCTGCAAAGGAGATGAGGTTTCGCTGGAACGAAGGCGACGCGTACATGCTCACGCGACGGCCATTGTCGACGCTGCCTTGCATTTCATGACGCATTGCCAAATCATGCACGACATCATCTTGCTCGTCGTCCAACCAGTCTTCTCCATCGGAGCGATTATCTTCCTCGTAGTATACAGAACTGCGACGATGCTCTTCTCGATTGAAGTCTTGCGCTCGGACTGAGCGCATTGAGTTGCCAGAGGAGCTTGTGTCCAATGCAGAAGGTGGCGCCGAGGAGTATGCCGAATCTGTCGGCAATGGCCAAGCCTGATGTCCAGGCTGTTGTTTCTGCTGCAAGACTGGCGACGTTGATTGCAAGTGTTGCTGCTGCTGGTGCTGTTCACCGGCGTACGTCTGCGCAAAGATACTCTGCTTGCGCGGTTGCATTGCTGCTGCTGATCCAGGCGCAACATCATCTGCTGGGTCTATAGGCGTCCAGCGCTCTCCGTCGAACTCACACATGGCGCGCGGTCGCCGGGCATGAGTGTGGACATCTGCATACCCGACTGCAAGCTCGCGCACCTGGTCCGCAAGTCGGAGCATGTTGAGTGATGGTGTGGTAGGAAGGTGTATGTCTTTCCTTGTGTGTCACCAATAGGTTGTATGTTGCTCGCTGGAGATATTGGTTGCACAAGAGGACGGAGGCTGGGATGGGAGGGGGCCGGCAGATGGCAATGTCGCACACGTCGCCGACACGAGCCAGCTTACAAGATACATGTACACGCCAGCGAGACGATGCTGAATAGGCCCTGCATCTGGCCGCAACGAGAGACAGATCGGCACCCGCCTGCGTCAGTCATGGTCCAAAGGGGCTCCGGATGAGGGAAGCAGCAGCAAGCCCTCTCTGGTCAGTCTCGACTCTGGACTCTGGACATCAGCGGACGGCCAGCCAGCCTGATCGTCTCTTTGCTCTGGCACTAGACAATAGTCCCGAGTCAATTCACGGTCATCTCGTCCATGATCCTGGGCCGCCAGGTGGTCGTCTACCGAACCACGTTCGCGACGTAACCCGCACATGTACCATTGTATAGCACCAGCACGGACTTGTTCACCCTCCAAGCACTTGTTCCAAGCACAGATAGGCCTTATTCAGACCTCTTCCACTTCGTCCCAGCCAGTTCTCACCGTTCCTGCATCGACTTCTATTTTCCCAGTCGCGTGGCTGGAATCCTGATTTCCGGATGTCTCGAAAACCGCAACGACCAAGACACCATGAGTCGCCCAGTACAGCAATCAATCCACCAGGCTCCAGCTGGCTGGTATTGTCTGGCAGGCCGCTGGGCCATCACTACTGTGCCTGACTCCAGGCCTAGGCCGAAAACGGGTACTGCTCGCCGCTAGCTAGAAACCAATGCAAATGGGCTGGATGCCACGCATCAGTAGTCCTGCCTGTTGCCTAAGCTCGTGACGGGGCGCGCGTCTCTCTCTATCATCGTGCTATACTCTCCTTCTGAGACCAACACTACATCTTCTCTTCTTCTTGACAACAACATCTTCCACCAAGAAATCGTGCTGTTTCAGCTGTTCTTCTATCGCGTCGCTCTTTAGGTTGAGGCATCAGCATGCATCTGCAACTGCTTTCCCTCAGCGCGCTAGCGACACTGGTGTCATTCGCAAATGCCCGCGATACCATTTGTCCATGCGGCTACTTGGATCCCGTCACGGGCCATCTCTGGACAGATACAACAATCATCTACTTCAACGAAACCACAGCCGAAGCTTTCGAAAGCAACAACGACTGGGTGTCGCTCGACTTTGAAAACAAGTATGAGCAAGGCTTTGATGTCGTCTACAAGCAAGGCGCAGACCCAGTCAATGTCGGCTACAACGGCACAGGTGAAGCGCTGGCGCTCCGGGTCGAAGCACCAGGACGTCGGCGTGTTGTCGCTGGTGGTGGTATTCGTACCGCACGACAAGATATTCAGTTTGGTTCTTTCCGTTCTTACTTGCAGCCTGCTGGCATGCACGGTCAAGGCGGTGCTGCTCTCTCCATGTTTTACCGCTACAACGAATCGCACACGCTCGAGGTTGACTTGCTCACTGGCGACCCAACCGGTCTTGCTCAGTCGCAGTACCGCATTTCTGCACCTCAGCAGTACCTGACGCCCTCCGTCTACAACTTTACCGAGATCAGCACGGAAACACCCGATCAGCTCTATGAGATGAATGAATGGCGTATCGACTGGGTCAAGAATTACGCAAAGTTCAGCAACAACGTCAATGCCTCAGCACAGCACAATGTCACCTTTACGGATCGATTCCTGCCCGGTCCAAGTGTTCCTGGCGCCGTCTACTTCAAGCACTGGTCCAACGGAGCACCTTCGTACATGCGTGGTCCCCCAACAAGCGTGACGTATGGTTTCGTTGGCTACATCCGTCTCTTTTACAACTCCACCATCAGTTCTGGTGACGATGTGTTTGGCGCTCAGTGCCGGATTTTGGGTTTGCCAACTTGCTCTACCAACGACGACACCCTGCGAACTTCATCCGAATTCGATCCTTCCTCCACTCTGAGATGGGTTAACATTGAGCCAAAGTACCGCGCACCTCGATGGGCCGTGTATGGTGGCTGGTCGACTTTCACTCTGTTCGTGCTGCTCCTCATCCATGCTCTGGTGCGTCGTTCCGTCAAGTACTATTCGGTGCCAAAGGAAGATCGACCCATCATCCCACCAGCATACGCCTACAAGATGGATCGCTTCGAGCTTCACGGTGAATTGACACACTCCATGAAGAGCGAGAAGAAAAAGCAAGACAAAGCCGATAAGAAGGCCCTCAAGCGTGGTGAAACACCCATCATTCGTTCTCGCGAGATTGACCCAGAGACGGCAAGTTTGAATACGCAAGAGGATATTGAGCGACCTGATTCTCGAGCAAACTCTATTCGTGGATTCAAATCACTTGCTTCCAACAAAAACGCCAAAGCCATTGCTGCAGCGATGCCCAAGATGTATTACAACCGTCCAGGCGGCGAAGGCTCATCTCGCGCTCGGTCTAGACTGGCTCAGACGGATGCTGATGATGATGACGAAGAGCACGAAGAAGACTATGAAGACTACGAAGGCAACTCTGATGCTGAAGAGGAGGAGGAAGGCGAAGAATACGGCTCACTCAACCAGCGCGACTCAGTTGAGGTCAATCGTCGTGAAGAAGTGGCCTTCAAGCAGCCCGTCATGGACCGCAAAAAGTCCATGGCTGCTGCTGCCTTTGCTGCTCCTTCTCGTTGGTGGCAACGCATCTTCTCGAAGAAGCCAGCTGTTCCTATGGGCGAATCCAAAGAACAACCCATCATGCGCGTCAGCTCTCGTTTCGACTACCTTGATGGTCTGCGTGGTCTGTGTTGTTTGCTGGTGTCGCTCGTGCACTACTGTCTCACCTTTTACCACGGCATCATCTCAACAGACTATTCCCCAACCGGTGACCACTACTCTTGGCTTCCTTACCTGCGATACACCATCACGCCACTATTCTTCAACGCCAACTTTGGTATCGGTGTCTTCTTTGTTCTGTCATCTAGGCTCATTGGTGTGCGGTACTTCAAGACCGGTTCTTTCTCCGACTTGGCAGGTTCTACTTTCCGCCGTATTCCCCGTCTCGGTTTCCCTGTCCTCTGCGCTGTTGTGCTCGAGTACTTTTTGCTCGGCGTTGGTGCTACACACTGGCTACAGTACCTGGCTTCCGTCACATGGTCTACATGGGCATACGCTGTGCAATTCAAGAATGTTGGCTGGTTCATCAATGAGACCATTGCACTGTTCTACATTTCGCCACCAGAGTTGCCGAAAATCATCTACAACTACTGCACCGGTGTGCTCTGGACCATTCCTGTTCAGGTCCAAGGTTCTTGGCTCATCTTCCTTGGCGTCATTGTTATTCGCGAGATTCGTACGCCTTGGAAGCGATTTGGTTACTACTTTGTTTGTATGCTGCTTTCGTGGTACGCGCTCAACTGGGGAGCCTACTTCTGGCTTGGTCTGGCCATTTCCGATTTGGATACCAACTACAAGTACCGACAGTGGTTTGCTAGGCCTGCTCGCTCGTACCTGGCCATCACTGTGCTTCTTGGCATCTTTGTTTTGTTCATGTCGACGCAGTACATCATGCAAGTCTCATACTTCAACTTGCCAACCTTTGAGCACGCCATTCACCCAGACGTCTTGACAGGATTGCCAATTGGCCAGACAGAGCGTTACGGCTTCCCAGAATTCCAATATCCACAAGTCCACTCCCTCTTTGCCGCAACGGCTCTTCTTCTTCTCTGCGATCTGTCCAGCTGGTTCCAGGCAGTATTGCGTCTCAAGTTCTTGCGTGTCCTTGGCTTCTACTCTTACTCCATTTACCTCCTTCACGGTGTGGTCTTCTGGTCGTATGGTGCTTGGATGACGGTGCTCTTGTCAGGACATGGATTGCCATACTGGGCGAACCAGCTCATTACCTTCACAACAAGTTACGTGGTCCTCGCACTGGCTGTGGCGGCATGGACACCCTTTGCAGATGTCTTTGCCATGTACCTCGGTACTGCACTGTGGCGATGGGCTCAAGGACGGGCGCACTACGCTACCATTGGGTAGACCTTTTAGTATTATCCGTTAGAATTCACCAATTTCTGTACATTCTCAAGCATTATCAGACTTTCTCGCTGTGATGGCTTGGGTATCTCGAAATGAATGCTAGCGCTACGCAAGAGAGAGTGAAATTGAACCATTAGAAATCGACTGCTTTGTGACGCTGCTCGTGTGCATGATGTCGTTGCCTTCGAGCTTTGTTCTTGTGCTCAATAGCAAGTTGTGCAAACATCGACATGAGCTCATCGTTGCGATCTGCTGTTAGCTCTTTTTGTTCAAGACGACAAGTTGTCTTACCTCGTAGTGCTCGAGCGGCAAACTCAGTTGCATCCTCATTCAACTCCCTCTCCACTTCCCAAAACTCAACTGCCACGCCTTCCTCCTCGAATTGAGAGACCAAGTCATCCAGCTTTTGCATTAATCGTGAATTACGCACCAGTTTACCACCACGCTCTGTACGCCAATTAGCAGCGCGCCAGTGTAGTACATTATGCGTGATGGCTTCAAGGAGGTACTCCGAGTCGCACACCAACACAATTTGTTGGAGTCTATTTGAGCGCAAGACTTCCTTTTGCTGTATCTTGTTGCGTATATAGGTCAAGGCTTGCATTGCCGCAAATACTGAAGTTAGCAATACTCGGATTGTCTTTGTAGACCTACTCTCTGCCTTTTGCGTGGTATTGACACGCCTGGAGGGTATGCGATGCGATGCATTGTGCTTCGATCCAGGCCCAAACCAGAGCCCATACGAACACTGCGCGTCCGTTGTCCACGCATGCCTGCAAAGTCCCTTGATATGCACCATGATGCTCCCCTTATGCGTCGCAGGCGTCACTTCACGATGCTTTGGATTAGGACACGAGCATTTACTCGCAAACTCCTCAAAGGGACACGCTACAGTGCAAAATTGTCGCTCGGGATCATACTTGCCAAGGACGATAGGAATGAGTGGGTAATCATGTTCGAGCCATTCATACGGTTCGACGTCAAAGGCGCGTTCTAGGACGCGTGCGCGTGGATCTGTTGCTGGTTTTTTGACGCCATGGTCGTGTGGCATGGCCTGTGTGTGCGGCGAAGACACACAAAAGCCAGGTATGAATGGATGGATGGTTGATGAAGCTGCAGCGGCGACGGCGGCCTTGAGTAGCTTGAAGCCTGCTTTGAGGAAGTAGCAGCGAGGAAGACTGTATGTCCTTTGTGTCGTTGTCGTCGCTCAACTTTCTGCAGCGAGATTGAAACCACCAAGGTCACAGCTCAAGCCTATACAAGGAACAAGGTAGACTCTTGCAGAGGCCTTGGTCTGGTTATTGCTATGCTAGTATCTACTATCTCCTCTCCCAAGCATCCAGAAAGGCAAGCTTATCCGCCACAGCCAGTCTCGTTCGTGAAATACGTGCACACCTCGCCATCGTCTCCTCCCAATCCGCCTGCAACACGGGCCCTGCTGATACTTTGAGCCGCACTTCATGCCGTAAGACAGAAAAGCAAGCCCATAGAAATTTGACAGTGTTGGGAATGGGCGAAGTGAGACAGGCCGGTGTACCGTAGCGTATCCCAACAACGTAAGCCTCATCTGCAATCACTGGCTGGAATGCCAAAAGTCCCCGATTATTAGTAGGTGTTGCTTCTGGGAAAAGGACCAAGACACGATCCTTGTAAACACGCCTGAGCTCAGCGAGTGATTGACCTTTCGAACGATGCGTCAAGGTCGGCATGCTCAATGCATCAATTCCCATGTCAAGTGCTGAACGTGTCTTGTAGAGCATCTCTGAGGCATCCGTACACTGAACAAAGAGTGCATCAGGAATCAAGTAGACCAGTAGTAAGATATCCACCGGGCTACTCCAGTTGGAAACCACAAGATCATCTCGCTGGATAGGCTTCCGTTTGCGTCCATCATAAGTGATAGAGACTTGCGGGAAGCCCAGGACAAAGAGCAGACCACGAGCCCATGCAGATCTGAGGGTACGAAACGTGGGAGGATGCGCAAGTCCAAGCGTCAAGCGTAGGAAGCTGTCTGCAAGCAAGAAGAAGAGCAGGTAGAAGCAAAGGAGAGGTGCTTTGAGGAGGACGAGCATGATGCGTGGCAGAGCTGTTGCAGGTGTCAAATCTGGCGGTGCGACAGGTAGGAATGGGGCAATGCCTGTGCCTGCATCCCTCCACTTTGTATACTTTTCCATAGTAGACACGTCAGAGCTAGTGGTAGGCGTAGTAGAAGCAGTAGAAGTGCTTTGCTCTCGTCGTCGTTCAAATTATTTCTCACTTTCAATACTAAAGATTAAAGACCCTTGGCCATGACTTGACCCCTACTTGCCGAGCAACTCGAGACACTTCTTGCTGAGTGTCACCACTTCTGCATCCCCCTCTGCATCCTCCGTAGACGCCGTTTCATCCACAGGCAAGCTCGACAAGGTCTGCAATGCCTGCATCGTCTCCTCCGATTCCCCAATTAACCTCGCCAATTTCGCATCTTGCGCTTCCAACAACTGCAACAAGGTCCATACAGCAATATGTTGGAATGTTGGATCGTCACTCTGTAGGAAACGTTTGAGGTAGCCATTCATACCGCCTTCAGGCTGTTTCCAGCATTTGTGGAAGTGGCTGTAATCTTCCACTTTGGAGCTGAGGTTACCGAGTGCCGCTGCAGCATTGCCTTGTACTTCAATACTACTGCTGCGTGTCAATGGAATCAACACTTCTGCAATGCCTAGATTAAGAAGATGCGTTTTGAGCTCATCACTCAGTGCCAATACGGCGATACACGCAGTCATCTCAGATTGCACAGTAAGCGGTACATCCAGAATCTTTTCCTTGCATTTTTGAATCACGCCAAACTCCACAATGATGCGTTTATTGCGCTCACTCGTGGCTGCCAAGTTGCGTAGAGTCGAAGCAGCATGACATTGCACTTCCTCGTGTTCTGTTGAAACGAGCAACTCAATGAGTGGTGGGACAAAGTTGAAATCGACAATAGGAGATTCGTTGAGTGGGTGAATCGAGACATTGCGAATACATGCAACACTGGATAGGATGAGAGGCAAGTAGGTGGATTGCAGGAGCCGATACAGCGGTGCCAATCCATTCGCACGCACAATTTCAAGCTGGTACTTGTCATCGGAAGCCAAATTACGCAAGGCCAGCGCTGCTTGACATTGGACCTTAGGCGAGCTCGAATCCATGAGGTTGACGAGCGATTGTATCAATCGTGGCTCCGTCGCTGCCAATTTTTTACGATTTGTTGCATCCACTGCAATGTTGGAGAGTGCCGTGGTACAGTAATACTGAACATCTGTATCCGTTGAAGAGAGTAAAGCCACAAGCACTGGCATCGCACCGGCATTGACCAACTGCTGACGATTCTCATCCGAGTGTGTCATATTGAGCAGTGCACCGGTCGCATTTCGCTGAACACGCATATCTTTTGATTTCGCCAACCGCGTCAATGGTACCAGCGCACCAGATCGCGCAATACGCGCCTTGTTATCATCGTGTGTGGCGAGGTTGGTGATGCAACCCACAGCGTTACACTGGACTTCCACATTCGGCGACATCATTTGCCGAATGAGCGGTTCAAGGCCACCGAGATTGACGATACTGACCTTGTTCTCAGCTAGCTTGTTAGCATTACGACTAAATTGAGTAAAGAGCAGAACGTACTGTTGACGGCGAGATTACCAAGTGCCGCACCTGCAGCACGCTGCACTTCATAGTCTTGCGACTGTAGTAAAAACAAGATGGGTTCCAGCGCTTCCTTGTCAACCTCGCGCACATCCTTCTCAGTGATTTCAGCAAAAGCAAGGGCGGCGCTACGCTGCAAATCGACATTATCACTGTAAACGAGCGTTGTTAGTGCGCGTAAGGGTTCGTTGGCGTAGAAATCGACATCATTCCTCTGTTGAATGTGTTAGCTACGCCTGAGAGATGGTCATGAGAGAGAATGGGTTATACATTTTCAAGAAACTGGAGAAGGTCAGAGACTGCTTCACGTTCGCGGTCTTCCAGCAGCGGCTCATACAGTCCATTTTGCGCCTGTGCTGTGAAACTGTTAGCGGTCTTGTAGAAGATTGAGTGTGCGCCTGTAGATGCGTTGTGGCGGAGAGGCCAAGTCGCGTCATAGGAGTGAGGGTGGACATACCTCCGCAGCAGGAAGAGCAGATGCCCATGGATGGAGAAGAAGAGAAGGAAGGCGCGTGAGACTGGCGACTGCAGCTAGACTCGAGCCCTGTTGCGGCTAGTCAAGAGGAAGCCTGGAGAAGAGAGAAGGGGAAGGTTGTCAGGGTGTCGTCTGGACTCTGGAGTGTTCTTTTGTGTTGCTGCAGTTCGGGGGACGAGCCGCGACTAAGAGACTGGACAGTGGACAAACATCTATATTACTGCTTGCTGCTTGTTTGCTAGGGCTATGCTCTGCTTGTCTGCCTCGTTTGCCGGCGGTATCTCTGCCTGACTAGCTGTTGGCTCTCTAGTCACGGGAGGCCTACGAAGGCTACGATGGCTCTCATGTCATCATTGTTCGTTCTTCACTGCTGTCCGTGCTGGATAGTTGTTCAATATGCTTTTCATTGGAGGTCTAGATGGCCACAAGTCCTCTTTGACCGTCTGGCATACGGGAGTACTACAGTGCCATGTTCTTATCAAGGTCATGGTGGCCAGTACAGGCAAGACTGACCTTCTCGCAAGCTACAACTGTGTAGGACCACTGTAGGTGCTCTGCATTTTGCACAATGATTTCGATGCAGTCGAGACCACGAGAAGGGCGATGAGGTGATCAAGAATGCTATCTGACTGACACAGATGCTTGCGAGGTACTTCATGTTAAGGCCTTGCAAAGACGTGATGCCTTGACTGTGATGGGCACGCGCTGGAGAGAACATCATGTTCGACAACAGTAGCCGACTCTCAGCTGGCCCTAGGATCGCTCCAATGCATGCTTCATCGCTTGTCGTTCTTTTTGTGTCTTATGAATGAGCAAGGCCTTCAGGTGACGTACAATCTTCATTTGTTCAAGGACGCTGTAGCTGGATGACTTGGCATACGGGTGATGCCAGAGCTGATGTCGGTGTACTTGACAGAATTGCTGGTTGCAGGAAGTAGTGCAGGAACATGTATGTCTACATTGTCTAGGCCTGTCAAATTGACAGTGTCATATTGTCAATGCTGTCATGACAATCATGCTGCTCGCCAACGAGGGCAATTCACTTGCACCAGATCCATGTGTACAGTGCTCCCGCTGGATCTTTCCCTGCGAGGGAGATCCCGAGACAGTGGACCCGAGTTCGCCAAGATTACGGCCGAGAAGGAGAAGCGGCCAAGCTTCAGAGGCCAGACTTCAGAAGTCATGAGCGGCTGCTTGGATCTATACTGATTCTATAGTCAGCCCTAGCTTCTATCTCTTCTAGCCTAAGCATTGGCAATAGACGACTTGTATATAATTGACACCGTGACGAAAATAGACCTTTATCTCGTGTCGGGCCTCGGCCATGAGCCTGCCACAACTTACAACTTCAACTTACAAGCCCAAGTCAAGGCCTCAGGCAGCCAGGCTTAAGCGCGCAGGTTACGCCAGAAGGAGGATTGCACGCTGCCTCCTTGATGGTGCATGCAGCATTCTTCGGGCAACTGACAGACCGCGGAGAATGGCCGGGGAGGAGTGATGCCGGTGATGGATGATGCCTCCTGTCTATAGCTCATACCGAAGTCCTATTATCCAGTTATCCTACAGTGTCTAATACTGTCAGTGTCTATAGCCGGATCCCTCGAGTTTGCTGGTACGAGATTGAGCCAAGTTGACTCCGCCTCGCCTGAGTCCCTTGGTCGCGCGTGGAACTGGCCCAATGGAGTCCTCCGTAGCTCTGCCTTAGCCTGCCTTGCCTATGCCTAACATTGCCTATAGCCTCAAGAGCCAAGAGTCAAGAGTAGTCTGCATCCTCGCCCACCCACACAAACAAAAAGGCGACAGCCCCCAATCCACGCTCCCGTCCAGCACAGCGACACCCTCTCTCCTCCTCTCTAGCACACCCAGGATACATCGCGCAAGGAAGCAGAGACTGAGCACACCGTCACTAGACAACCCAAGCCGCCGTGCATTGAGCGCAAGGGTTCGTCCCAACAACACAAAGGAGAATGCGCCGCTCAGTCGCCATCTTCTTCCTTTGCCAATTCATCATCCTAGGTTCCCTCTGCTGGTCATGTCGTTGGCTCTTTGTCTTGCTGGTGGATACTGGTGCGTCAGATGCCATCCGCTCCATTGAAATCCCAGGCATGGGCTCACAGCTCATTGAGACACGCCCGCAACTCGTCCCAAAGATCATCCACCAAACATGGAAGAACGAGACAATACCCGCACACTGGGTCGAACCGCATGAGACGTGCAAAGCATTGCATCCAGATTACAAGCATATCCTCTGGACAGACGCCATGGGCAGGGAATTCATCAAGCGCGAGTACCCGTGGTTCCTTGAACAATTCGACAACTACCCGTATAATATCCAGCGCGCAGATGCGATTCGCTACTTCATCCTAAGTCACTATGGTGGGATCTACATTGACCTGGACGACGGCTGCAATCGCAAACTCGATCCACTTCTGTCATTCAGTGCATTTGTACGAAAGACAAAACCAACGGGCATCTCCAACGACATCATGGGCTCCATCCCGCAACATCCCTTCTTTAAAGATGTCATTGAGAATCTACGACCCATGGCGAGAGATTGGAAACTGCCCTACCTCACCGTCATGGCCTCCACGGGTCCGCTCTTTTTGTCACTCGTTTGGCTCTCCTACAAACGTGGCACTGTACTAGATGAAGACCGCGTACGCATCATCATGCCAGATGAGTACATGTACCGGCCGTGGTCCTTCTTTTTGCACTATGAAGGATCTTCCTGGCACGACGGCGACTCGGGTCTCATCTTTTGGATGAAGTCGCATTGGTTCCTGCTCTTTGTTGTTGGTTGGATCATTGGTTTATCTGTCATTGCAGGCATGTATGTATTTATGCAACGACTCAAACAACGCAGGGATCCAAGCAGACCTGCAAAACTTGACGCATACAGAGCACTCAAGCAAATGGAAGAAGGTCAACAAAGTCATTGCGGAACGCCACTTGGCAGTAGACGCGATAGCTTCTCCTCTCGCTCATCAGGGTCCTCACGAACACAATAGACTGCTCGTTGTAATACAGAGGGGGTTGCACGTCTCTTTCTTCTTCTTTCACTGTGGGCTTTCTTCTGACTCGGATGGGCCTTGTTTTTAACTTCCTACACAATCGTGTTGTTTTGCGAGCATACAAATCCAAAACTTTTCTGTCAATATCAAAAGGCTACACTACCATAGACTAATCAAGACTCTTTTGTCCCAAACAGGTGTACGTCTGTGCACTCTGCGTCATGCATTTCACAATGCTGAAAGAAGCGGGTTGAGCCTTGCAACTGCACTGAGACACTTGATCTGCCGTGCACTGCCGTTCAATTATCGCGACACACGAACTACCGCTGAGTGCTCAGTCACGAGTTTGTGGTCATGACAGCACATCGATTGGCAGCTTAAACTTCTTTCACGTCTCCTTCCCAAAGTCCAATGAACATATTTGCTCTGCCGACCCGCATCAGACTATTGAGTCGACTTCAACAAGCAGACACCGAAAAGTTCGCTTCTATTCAGCAGAGCATGCGATTCTTGTGTTTGCCTCGCAAATCACAGAATGCGAATTTCAGGGGTTCTCCGTGTCAGATATATAGGAGATGGCAACTTGATTCCTAGAATATGCCAGCAGGTCCCTTTTATCAAGGACACCCCTGACTCTACAAATAGCAGTCACAGCTTCAGCATTCCCCTGACCAGTCTAATATATAGGAGATGGCAACTTGATTCCTAGAATATGCCAGCAGGTCCCTTTTATCAAGGACACCCCTGACTCTACAAATAGCAGTCACAGCTTCAGCATTCCCCTGACCAGTCTAACACTCCGAAGATGAGGACAATTAATATGCTCCCGTGGCCCGGCGTCTAACAAGCTTTGTCTGTGCGAAATGATTGGGTTGCCAGTCCTGAGCATATTCAGGAGCAAAGCGAAGACTAGTATAAGTACGTGACAGCGTCGGCTGCCTTCATCATTCGACAAGCTACGATCGATGTTACCGCAGCACTGTGCCATCGCTGCAGCCTGGCTTCAACTCCTCTCATTAGGCTATGCGACTGCGCAGGGTTTGTCAATCTCGTCATCTCACCTGCTAACAAGCAACGCAGCGGTCAAGCCCAACCCAACTGAAGCGAATGTAGCGCCTAAAGTATGCTCAATCAAGGCGAACATGAATGGCATCTCCAAGGATCTTCTACAGGCTGCCCAGGCCTGCAAAAGCAATGGTCATATCATCATTGAGGCTGGTGATTCCCTCATTGACAATGTCGTGGTCATGGCCGACTTGAAGGATGTGACCATCTCTATCCAAGGGACGCTGCATCTCAAGGCAGACCCAGTCTTCTGGGCCCAAAATGCCTACAAGCATGATCTCGTGAACTTCCAAAACAGCTCTGCTGCGATTCTCTTTCGCGACTGCGAAGGTCTCAAGTTTGGTGGAGCTGAGGTTTTCAAGACTGGCTCAACCATTATTGGCTATGGTGCACCGTTCTGGTCTGCGTACCTTGCTGACAATACCATCATGCGACCGAACCTGGTCACACTTCAACGATGCACGAATTGCGAGATTAGCAACTTGCGATTCTTGGATACACCCAAATGGGCCATGTACGTGACAGACTCTGATCATGTCAATATCCACGACATGATGATTCAGTCCATCGGTGGTTCCGTCATGGCCATGAACACGGATGGCATTGACATTCGCAATTCTACAAATGTGGAGTTCCACAACAACTATATCGACAATACTGTATGCATCTTTGACAAAGGAAAACGCTAACATCAGGATGACTGCGTGGCTATCAAGGGCATGTGTTCAAACATTTACGTTCACGACATTATCTGTGGCTCCAAGACAGCGGGTGTCGCCATTGGATCTCTTGGCAATATTGTTGGTGTCAATGAATTTGTCAAAGATGTGGTGATTCAGGATGTCCTCATCTCTGGCACACCCCGTGGTGGGATTCGCATCAAAATCTGGCCGGGCAACCGTGTCAAAGCAAAAGAGCTATTGGGCGGTGGTGGTCTTGCTGATGTCCACAACATCACAGCCTCTCGCATCCACACCTCAGATAACTCCCAAGCACTGTACATCGACACCTGCTATAGTCTGGGCAGGACCAATTCCAACTGCTATGGATACCCTTCTTTGGGGACAATCACGGATGTCACTATCGATGGTATCTACGGCACAAGTCCAACTGGTTCTTTCGGCCATGTGCTGTGCTCGAATCCCAGCAAGTGTCAAAACATCAAAATCAACAATGTTATCATGGCCACTGCCGTCGACACGGCAAGTGGCATTGGCACCACCGCAGTACTCAATACTGTCGGAGTACCTCCAAGTATTTTGAGTGGCGCACCAGCTGACATTGGGCTTTTTGATTTGTCTTTGCCAAATGGATGTTACCTTGAACGCGCGGCGTACGCTACTGATAGCACCCCAGTACCTTACTTTGCACCTAAGCCACGAGACCGTCCACTCGGTTATTTGGATGGTGTTCCAAAAACTCCAGCTGATTGTCTCCAGCCAGGGTCAAAATGGTGGCTCGCACAGGGACAACCATCGGACTTTACGCTCAGCACGACGTCATACAAACCTCCAGTCTACCCCAAAGTCCACTTGTCCCAAATTCCAGCATCTCGTGTCAAAGTCTCTCCAGCATTTCCCAAGAATGGCTGATTCCCCGGACGGAGGCATTGGATCCGAAGAAGATTGGTCTCGAGCATGGGAAGATTTCAGAGCAACTCTCTAAGCAAGCAGCGCACAAACACAAGAAGTCCCATAATAAGAAGCATGCTAATGCATGATTCAAGATGGAGTACTTTCGACTTTTGACCTTCATAACGAGACCCTGGCGGTATAGCAGTTAGTCTTTCTACTTCTTCTATTGCAACTGTGCCTGAGCGCGGTCCATCTCATCGTCCGGCAACCTCCAAGCCAGCTGCAGACTATGCATCTAATTAACTGCGATCCACTCTTCCAGTGATCAGTCTGAGCAAGCTTCTTCTCCCTGATCAATTGTACTATATCCCGCTTCAATGTCCTCTGCATCCGATGGCATTGATGCCATGCTGGATCTGCTCAAAGCTACCACGCTACAAGATGACCGCAGGTGGACGCCACCCAGACCACGCGCTGGCCTAGCAACTCAACAGCGACCGCTTCGCTATCTCCTCGTCATGGACGTCGAGGCCACATGTGATGCTGGATCTGAGCTATTTGCGCATGAAATTATCGAGCTGCCAGTGATGTTGCTTGACTTGGAGCAAGCTAAAGTCTTGGCCACATTTCATCGCTTTGTCAAGCCGCGCAAAGCACTGACCCGCTTTTGTACAGCGCTGACAGGAATCTCTCAGCAAGTAGTCGACGCTGCAGACTCGTTTGACGTCGTCTTGTCTGATTTGACAGCGTGGCTAGAGCAACACACTCAAACACTGTTTGATCCACCCTTGCACGACCTCAGTTTCAGCAAACCATCCACTTGGTTCCCTCGCACCAGTGTCGGTAACGATCATCGATTGCAACGACACTTTCGCAACTGGGCATTCGCCACGGATGGAATAGCAGATGTCGAAAAGTTTATCTGGTTGCAAGCACGGCATAGCAAATTACCGATACCGAACTACTTCTACGGCCCGTATGTCGATACGCGTGGTCTATTTGCTGCATTCATGAAGCAGAAACGCTGCACCCTCGCAGAACAAGGTCAAGCTCTTGAAGTGACAATGGAAGGACAAGCACACAGTGGCCTCGATGACACCAAGAACATTGCACGTATCTGTCTCGCGCTTTACAAAAGAGGTTGCGTCTTTGGTCTGCCACTCTTCTTTTCTTGCCAGACATCGCTAATCGTAAGAACCAAATCGAGTCTTTTACAAAGGCCACAAAGCATGGATCAAACACCAGCGGTACAAAGAACGATAGTAGCTGTCTACTTTCCGAGTGCAGGCGTGGTCCACGAACTAATATCTGTGTCGTCAGCAGCGTTATACGCGCGAGTGCATCAGCAACAGATCATTTGACCCTCAATGACCTGTGCAGGCAATCCTCGCTACTCCTCAGGCTCGCAGCCACCACCAATTCAGCTCTGATCTCGTTCCGTGAGCTATCTCCCCGTCGAGAAATGCTTCACAATCGCGCATCGTTGTCTGCTTCATGCGTGACTTCAACGACTCGCTTGCCGTTGCTGGTCGGAACTCGCCCACAAAAAGCCAAAGATCAATTGCCTCTGAAGTCTCCTTGACACTGACATGTCCACAAGCAGTAATTGGACAAGAAAAGCAACAAACAATTGGGTTTGCCATTTCCTGGACTCTGCAAGGTCGGAAAGTTGCAACGAGTCTCATTGGTCCGGGTCCACGGTCTCCAGTGAGATGTATATCAGGGGCTTTTGAGGCCATGCCATAAAGAGGAGCTTCGCACCTTCCTCTCTCTTGCTCTCGCAACACTCGAGAGGACTTTCAGATCCAATCATCAGTATACAGACTGCCTTACCAATAGATTTACGCTAATAGCAGCATATTGCTCAAGATATGGTCGCCCTACCCTTTATCATGACAGCATCCTGGTTAGTTCTGCTTGGACACGCTGCAGCTGTGACTGTGACAGAGGAGACAGTGCGGCGCTCATGCGAGGCAATGGAAACAGACGAAGGCGCAAGTCTCGGTCCAGGATGTTCGCTAGATTCATGGTGCCTCTTCAATATTGGCAAAATCTCCAAGTGTCTGAAGACAAATGGCTCAACTCCAGTAGGCACGCTGCAGTGTGGGCGACCCACAGGGGCAGTGGACTGCACCTGCATTTGCCAAAAATAATGAAGATGAGCAGAGTCCTTCGAGCAGTGAGAAGCTCGGACCACTTGCAGACCAATAGGCTTTTTCATAGCAGATATCGAAGCGCACGTAGTTCATACGTGTCAATCACTGGTGGTTACGGTAGTGTGAAAGACAGGAATACTCTAGACGTCCATGTGAGCGAGAAAGCCTGCTTCATGATGTGTAGGCCTAGGATGATATCGTTCGATGGCGCTAGCTGCAGAGAGCCTTGGACTGCAATGCGTGGTCTTAGAAAACTGGAATCGACGTGAAGTCCCTTACCATGCGCAATCCATACAATTAATGCCACTAGTTCCTAGCTTTCGGACGCAGGTACGCGACCAAGATGATGGAGGGTCGATCGCCTAGCTGGTATCTGCGTCGTCAATAGCGTCTTGAGCACACGCGCAAGTGCATCGGCGTCATACACACGTACCTGACCCTCCCAACGTCCTGCACAAGAGACCGTGGCGATACCGAGTGCGCGAAGCTGTGCCAAGTCAATTTCTGGGCTCGTACCAGGCTCTAGACTGTCTCCTTGTCGAATATAGACGAGATGCGAACAAAGTGCTTGAAGACCAGACTCAGTCGTAGCGCTGTCCAAGCCATCTGTCAACCCTGCTGCTTTTGCTGCTGCAACGAGGAAGTCCCAACAAGAATATCCTGGTGTTTCTCGATCAAGCGATCCATTCAGCAGAAATATACGCGGTCTACGCTGTACTTGTAGTTGTTGAATGGCTTTGCCTATCCCAGCTGGTAGGAGTAAAGGTGCTAGGGAGGTATACAGAGAGCCAGGCGCATACACCAATGCATCCGCTTGAGCAAGGTCCTGGAGGACGTTTGGATTCGCTTGTGGATGCATTTCTTGGCCATATGGGTTAATATAGTAGATGCGTTCGATTGGGGACGGTAACGGTACCGCGACTTGTTTATCGAAAATGATGCCCGGCGCACGTAGTGAGGCGAGTGAGCCAGGTAGATTTGCATCGTCGTCTTCAGGCGATGGCAAGTTTGACTCAATGGCACTGTAGGCTGCCGGATGAGAAATTGCATTTTGACCAGCAATGACGGTACCATCTTGCAAGACTGCTGCGATGGGCGTTGTGAAGCGTGTACTGAGTATAGGCAACACCCGGGTATGTTCATTGATGTGGGTGAGTCTGCAGAATGTGAAAATTGCCGTTTCCATATGACCGAAGAAGAGAACCATGCCGGATAAGACGAGGTTGCCGAATGCTGCTGTGCTAAAGTTGAAGACTCGAGCGAGGCCTGCGGTGCGTTTGAGGATTTCGCTGTAAAAGACGCGTAGGTAGGCAGTCAGGGAGCGTTGGACATCGACATGCACGTCTCTCCATAGTGTATGTCGACCATCAAGCAAGTCAAGCCAGTCGTGACGTGCTGCATGTGTATCAACCGGCAAACGGTACGCTAGCAATGTCTTTGTGGGATTTGGACGACCGTTGCGGTCAGTGTCCGGTATGAGACGGACAAGCCTAGATCGTAGGTCTCCGACGCTGACAGAGCCAAGAACGCGAAGGATCTCAGAAGTACTGCCGCCATTGTCACTAATGGGCAAGATGTAGCTGACTGTATCTGTGATGCGAGCGAGCGGTTGAACAAGGCTATTACCGCCTGAACCCCCAGAGAGAACAGCAATGTGTGGAGGAGCTTGACTCCTAGCAGATCTCAAGCTTGCGTCTTCATCGTGACTTGCCAGCATGGGCCGTGGGCTGAGACCAGCAGCAATTATGACTAGATGTCGGTGGGAATTAGAGCGAATGGCTTTTTGTATAAATCTATGATCCAACCGACATTTTAAAGCTTCTCCTCCTTGAGAGCGTGCTTGACTAGAGAGGTTAGCAAAGACATACAACCAAGCAAGGAACATACAGAAAGAAAAGTATGGGGTGGTACCGTCCTCGCGGTAGTTGAGGAGCGCAACCATGCCGTCCGGGTTCATGGATTCACCCGTGTAGAACTCGTAGTCGTTGAAGTTGCCGAGAACCTTCTTGACAAACGTCGCGGCACCCTTCTCGAACTCGGCAACGGAGTCTGGATCGTTCTCTTGGAGGTGGGCCTTGACCTTCTTCATGTAGCCCTTGATGTAGGTCATGTAGGACTTCTTGTCGAAAGAAGTAGGGGTCAACTTGAAGGAGTAGACGATGTTGTTGACCTTCTCCTTTGTGTCGTCTGTGCCCTCATCTGCCTCTTCAGCAGAGGCGTTGGCACCGATATCGACATTCTCGCCGCCGACCTCGACCATGGCGCAGTCTGCCTCGTAGACGATACCGTCCTTGAGTTCGAGGTCGTATGCGTCGGAGATGAGTTCGTCGCCGGAGATGACGTCCTTGTAGAGAAGCATGATGGGCCTTGGTGAGTAGAGGGAGAAGAGGTAGAGCTGGTGAGTAGTCGCTGCTGCTGCTTCAAATTTCAAATTTTATTTTTTGCACGTGAAGGGAGACGAGATGGAACAGGACAATACAATACATATATGTATATATATTCATTTATATATCTGTATCTATATTGGCAAAGACATAGTCAGGCCGTCGCTGCAATGACAAACATCTATAGACACAAATTGATTCTATCTAGCCCGCTTGCTCGTCCGGATCTGCGACGGACTCTCCTGCTGCGGCAGTACCACGCCACCCACCAACGACCGCTTCTTCGGCTCTGAGGACGCAGCAACAGGTGTTGAGAACAACTCCTCATCACCACTCAGCAACGGACTCGCCAGTAAACTGCCATGTGTTCGGCTTCCGCCAGAAAACCTCGCCTCTTCCTGAAAGTCTTGCACACCTGGCGGCGACGACCCTGCTGTTGCATGTGCAAAGTCAAAGAACCCACCCGATGAACCAGCATCGAGCGCTTCCAAGAAATCACTTGCCAAGAAGGGTGCCTGCTTGACACCACACCCACCAGAGGTATGCACCTGATGTGCCCGCGCTGTTCGAAAGACCATGTGACACGCACCGCACGTCAATGGATGACGATGCCGAGCACGCTGCAATGGTGCTTGTGGCGATGTCGGCATCATATTGACGAAGAAGTCAGAGGGAGCAGGGAGACTTGTACTAAGTGGCATTTGCGTGCCTCCTCGACGACGATCATAGACTTGCTGTAGTGCCGCACGAGCATCCTCTCTCTGCGGTAGACTCTCCTCCAGTGAAGAAAATGGACTGTGCGTCTCATCCGTATTGCTCTCTGGACTATCCCAAATTGACTCTGGCGTTTGCATCAGCGACGGCCGACGCATTTGTGAGGGTGAAATGTATTTCTGATCATACCCAGCAGTCAGCGGCGTGAGTGGCATCGTCGGGCTATACTCTGCATGCTGAGAAACCGATCGCATCAGCGTCTCACTGCGTCCACCTGTAGCGAGTGTCAAGCCACCAAGCGGACGAGTGACGGATACATCACTCCCTGCAAACGACGCCATACGACGCATCGCCTCACCGCGCATCCCCGGGTCTTCCTCCATCATAGCACGGGCTTCTGTGTGCAATGCAGCTTGACCCTCAGCGCCAACAACGAGGGAAAGAGATAGCCCGCGTGCTCGAGATGCAGGTGTGAGACCAGGCCGACCTGTCATCGACGCCAACGTCGTTGTGGACCGAGCAGATTGCGAACGCGGCTGTAATATGGGCCGTGCTGCTACTACCCGGCCGTCTGACGAGGATCCAGACGATAGAATAGATCCTTCACGGTCTCTGGCACTGAACTGTTGTGTTGGGCCAGACTCGGCAGGCGATAGTAAGCGGCCATCGAGACTCGTATTGGTCCATGAGAGACCTGGTGTTGGTAAAGCAAAGATGGGCGATGACAAGGGACTGGAGGATTGCTGCATGCGATAAGGACCCGGCAACGTAATGGAACGTGGCCGACCGCCCATCTTGCTACCTCCTACAACTGCTCCCTGTACAGGCCGAGTGATTGAGGCTGTTGCTGCGTTGCTGCCCGCTTTTGATCGCTGTCGTGTTGAGCGAGTGACTGCAGGGAGTGTCTTGACTGGTATCGATGCTGTTGAGCGACCATCCAGTTGATAGGTCCAGGGTGAAGCGAATGGGTCAGACATCTGTCTCTTCAAGATGCTGGACAAAAGACCGACTGACAAGAGGCCCCTACAAACGAATGAGAGGAGGCTGCTTGATGAAAGGGAAAGACTGGGCGCTGTAGATGTAGGCCCTGGTCAAGAACTCAGACGCTTGATTGTTGCAAGTGACGCTTGAGGGGTGTGAGGGAGGAGGAGGCCGACCCGAAGATGTGGGAGCCTCTAGGAGGGCTTTTCTTGCCGCTGTGTAAAGTCGTTTGCTAGCTGAATAAGGTTAAAAAAATGGTCAGACCGGGTAGGCCGTCATGGCTTTGCTACTCCTCGGTTCTATATGGTATGAATCGATGCTTAGGTAGCCTTATGTAGTGGATATGGTCAAAGAATTGCCCGCCGAGGAGCCCGATATCGGGTTGCCTCAGCGAGGGTATGGCGATTGCTTGCTCTGTGGATATGATCAATCTCTTCCAAGGTCCATGAAGGTAATCGGTCATCAAGAAGGAGATTGTGCATTCGAGACCGTTGGTGACAGCTGCCTTCAACTTTGCTAATCAGGCAGACGCCATCAGTACCCGCAGCTTTGCAAGTGCAACTGTGCAAGTTGAAGCAGGTTACAGGCTTACGGGCTACAGCCTACAGCCTACAGCCTACAGGCCGGCCAAGCTTCCAATAAGACAAAGGAGACCGAGGCAGATGACGGCCTTGTGCGCGATCTCGGCGCGTTTGCTGCTGGACGCCGGTGGAAGTTGAGCGCGTCTTTGCTGAAATTGAGCGCGAATTTCGAGGCTGCCCTGCCCTGATTGGCCTTCCACCAGCAGTCTGCAGCAGATAGTGCAGCCGTTGCTCGATTTCATTTCACTGCTGCTCAAGTTGCTCGAGACTCTGGCGGGACTGCTGTACCTGGCTCAGCTGGCGCTCATGAGGTGCCCATGAGATGCCCATGAACAGCAGCAGCCAGCTGCAGAGACTGAGGACGCTTTCTTGGCCAGCGACACACGCTCGCATGATCCTTGCAAATTAACGTTAGAACTATGATTGCTCCCATGAAACACGCTCGTGCGCTACCACACAAGGGTGTTGTCACTCTAGAATCGAGACTGCCCAAAACCACAAGTGCTGATCATCACGCTTACACCGGCTTGAGCACCATCTTGTGCTGCTGTGCATGACCGCAATGAACGCACAAGCGATATCGCAGCGGACTCACCGGGATGACTACGAGCTAGGCGAAATAAGCCATTCATCAGCGACAGCCGCGATCTAACCTCTGGCAAAAGACTCTGGCTGCTATGTGCGCTATGACACAGCTGTCGCATGTCCAAGCTACTTTGTAAAGATGGAACCACCGCCGGCGATGTCATCCTGACGCCTCAAGTGCTTGCTTCAATGGCTATGGGGCTGCTGGAACATTCGGTCCACTTTCTCAGCTTCTGAAGACCTTATTAGATGAGGCATGTCTTTCAAGTATGCTATGATTTCATTTCGGATTAGATAGTGTTTCCAGGTGGCAAAAGCTGCAGCAACTCATGCAGTAGCTATGGATTGACGTACGCGCATACGATAGCTCCAACACCTGCAAAATAGAGAAATGTCACGTTACAGGCACTGATCATGAGGCTTGAGCTGCGTCGTGTTTCAAAGGACTCTTCTCTGACTTCCATGCCCCTTGCCTTGAAATGACACAGACGACAGCAAGCTAGCGCTATAGCTATGGGTCCAGGTCCAGCTACAGTTTGTGAATATCGTGTCTTATGCTGTATTATAAGCTCTGTAGCCAAGAAGGGCATGAACGCGACCCACGGCGACAAAATCGAGACATCCTTCGATATTGGCAAGAACCACCATGTCAAAGAATTGAGATCACGACCCACTTTCGAGCTCTTGCTGATATCAAAAAATTCCTTCGCCTTCGTCTCCGAGCACACTCTGCGTACGGCGGAGTACAATCTGTAGAGAGACATAGACTGAAAAATGGAACAAAAGCTTTGTAAGTTCCTATGAAGGTCAAAACGCCGGCATCTCTAGATTGCCTCTCGAAAGTTGTCTAAGTGTCGGTGAAGATTATCCATCTATGGCTACCAACGCACATTCATTATTCCTGTTCCTATTCCAAATGGCTCATGCCCTGGAAGCTGAGGAATCAGCAAACAGTCATTTTGCCTGTCAGAACGTCGACATAAGCGCTGGTCTGGAACACGATCATGTTCGAGATCATAGTGAAGGCATTTGCGCCTTGGTTGCAGCTCTGCAATACCTTCTGCTTCATCTTCCGCCGATCTCCGCCTTAGCCAGGTGCCTGAAAGAAGCCTGTCGTACACAGCAGAAGGCTGGCAGCCGTAGCTAGCGGGATCCGAAAACGCCGTTGGAGTAACGCGCAACTGGTAGAACTGAACCACCATAGTACACCTGCACACAAACGAAGTGAGCCCCTCCTTGCGCCTGGTGTTGCTGTTGGCCCTAGTATCAATCACTGCACCTGGAAAGAACAACAAGGTGTTGGACACGCCGGCCGAAGTGATTCCGCCTGCCCAGCTCGGCATGGATCCCATGCGTTGAGGAGCCATTTCAAATCCAGTGTCATCCTGCTCCTTCTGCTTTGACAACACACTGCTTTTCTGCAAGCAAATGCAGATATCCTCATGCAGATTACAGACGTCTGCAAACTGTCGGTTGCCGTTTGCCCCGTTGTCGTTTTGATAAACTTGAACCTCATGCAAGCAAGGGCTGCCCTACGGAAAATTTACCGGAGTGTACCAGAGCCAACCGGCGGATTACCGCGAGAAACTTTTCAAGCACAGCGGATTACCGGAGCCAACCGACTTCCAAACTTGCACACCGGAGGAAAACCAGCGGATATGGAGAGGCGGATCACTGAGCCACGCCAAAAGGCAGACAACACACAAGTCAATCACTGTTATCAAGTGATCAGAGGCCAACATCCGCTCATAATCAAATCTAGAAGCTATTTATACTGGATTCGATAGCCCTCAGCTACCCATAAAGAATGCTTCTGCTCTCGTAAGCGCCGTTCTCGCTTAAGCAGCTTGCCTGCTGCTCTTTTCTTGTCGAGCCCTGTTCTCTCAAATTGGCCAGTTCATTCAAGAAGACGGCAAACTGGCACAATGACCTGCAATATGTGTCCTTGCTTGTTGAGAGACTTTGCGCCGCATGACGATATGGTCTTCAAGACCTTGATAAGACCTTGATGATCGCAAAATGCCTGCCGTCATGTTCAAAGAGACAGAGCAATTCTCTATAGCTCAATATTGCATTGTCGTGAACCTCAGACGCTTCATACGTCTGCCCACTGAATGCGGCCTTCGTTCGTGAACGGAGGCCACTCGCAGCACACTTCACAACGAAGATCTTTGTGGTGCCTTGACGACTAGCCACTTCGCATCTTAGCCACGATCACAAATTGGCGTTTGTAGGCTCAAAATTGGAAGAGTGTAGCGCTAGCGAATCTTGAGAATCGTCGACTTTGGCGTTTTGCTTCATTCTTGTCTTATCACTTCAGGACGAGATGGGATGACCAGCACACGCATCTGCCCTGCACCGTCTTGCTGCTTGTAGGCAACACCTCACTGTCCTTGAGCTTACACATCCGAGCCTGTGGCATCTGAAGGTGCTCGATCACTTTTCTGAGTCTTCTCAAGACAGGTTATTCACTACTAGCGTGAGCAGCGCACGCTGCAAGCTCAATACCTCTGACTGACCTAGATAGGAAGAGGAGTTTTTCACAGACAGTCTGGACGACTACAACAGGCTCGCAGGATCTCTTGCGCGTATCGATATACCATCAAGATCCAAGCGCACGTCGCATGGCGTCTCTAGAACCGATAGTCCCTCTACAAAGACACTACGACTCGCAATGGGACTCTGGCCACGAACGCCATTGCGCGACGCTACCTGGAACAACATCACGGCACATGCACGGTACCTGATAGACACTCACCAGATTGTGGTCGATGCGCAAGGCAAGACGGTCACATGGCGTCACCGCAACGTTGGGAAGCTCCAGACGGTCATTCACAAGTTGGAAAAGGCTTTCCCTGTGTTGGGACGAGCTCATGGACATTGGATTGCCTTGACCATCTACCAGCACCACGCGAAGGTGGTGAATGAAGCGGTGAGAGTGTCTTTGTACCTTGCAAGCTCTTGACTGACGCGCCCACAGAAGCGCAAAGCGAAAGTCTACAGAGAGACTACTACTGCTGCTTCTTCCCAAGACGACGATAACAGCCACGAGCACGACGTTGCCCATGGAGTGTCATCTGCTCGCGTCGATAACGAGAATACCCGCTGCGAGACACCCGCTTCCATCTTCTCTGAAGACAATAGTATTGACTAGGCTGCATCGAGAGTTGTGGGTTCCTCCTTCTGCCTGATGTGCCTCACTAACATATTCAGTTGCAGCTAACTTCGTCTCAGCACAATGTGAGCCAATTATGCGGAGGAAACATTGGCTAACAAGATGTAGCGTCAAGCAAACAAGATTGCGCATGTTTCCAAGGCAAGTCCGTCCCATCTTTGATGTTATAAGACTGACCAGTGGCCAGAAGTCAAGCAAAGATCGATCCACCTCCTCGTCTCGCAAGGTATACACTTCTGCCATTCCTACCATGACATACTAACGATGCATTTCTAGTCTGGAAGAACATCAAAGCTATCACGCAGAGCACAGGACGCTGAGCAAGGCAGCGCTATTATGACCAAGGCCAAGACTGCAGCATCACAAGCAAAAACGGCGCACAAGTCTGCCAAGAAGGCCAAGAAAGCGGCAGCACGTCTGTAGTGTGTCGTAGATGGTCTAGTTGCTACACCTACTGTCGCTACAGCATCTATTGAGCTCCCCGTTGGCAGGTGGTATCCTCTGGTAATCCTCCGGTTGGCTCTGGTAAAGGCGTGCTTATTTCCGCCGGTAGTCTGCCGGTAGTCTGCCGGTAGTCTGCTGGTATTACTGCGCCTGCGAAGTTAGGGATTTTCCGCCGGTATTCCGCCGGTATTCATCTGGTAATTTCCGCCGGTAATCTGCCGGTCCAAATTTTCCGTAGGGCTGCTACAAGGTGAGCCGACATCATAGCCGACGACCTGAATGACTTTGTCCAACTTAAACGATAGCTGGCCGCAGTCAATGTCGTCCGAATCAGACGTCGAGACAACATCGCCTCTATGCATAGACCAGGCAAGCTGCATACATGATGCAAATAGAGTCAGCCATGCAACCCATGTCATGCTTTCCCTTTGACAATGATTTGACGAGTCAAAAGAAGTGGCAATGGCAGACAAGCGTAGGAGTAAGGAAGAACAAGACAACTGCTACTCGACCGGCTTTTACAGTTTGAAAATTTTGTTGAAGAGTGTCTCTGAAATGTGGCTATGTTCTTCAATACTCCTGATCATGCGGCTTACTACATAATACATGTGACTCTGCCGTCCAATGTCAATCCCACATTGAGAAATATGTGACCTCGAGCTAGCGATTGAAGTGAGCCCCCACGTAAGTATGAATCGAAAGCAACAGCGTGGGCGATATGATTTATCCGCCTGCAACTATCTATTTCAGTGGATTGGCATGCATTGGTATAGCCCCTTTCGAGTTGTTTGCCTTGGATTCATATCCGCATGAAGTGTATTGTTTGCTGAAGTAGATAAAATTCGTACATGCACCATGTGCCTGATTACGACTTTGCTAAAGGTTTGCTCTGAAACGTGGCTATTTCCTTCAATACTCCTGATCTGAAGCCTACGACCTGATACATATGACTTCGCCGTCCAATGTCGCTCCCACGTTGATGAATATTTGGCTTAAAGGAGGTAATTAAGTGGGCCACCTCGATCTGCATGGCATGACTTCCTGCAAATGAGACCATCGTTCCATGCAGACTGTTAGGAATTCAAGTGCATCCCCTGATCACTTGCTTCCGCTGTTATCTCTCTGCCACGTCAGCGCTCATGCACGTGACCTTTAGTTTAGTCTTAGCTGGCAAGAGTGCTATACTCTTGTCCCCTATTCGAATCAAGTCTTATCTGCAGCTGCCCTGCGTGCCTGTGTCTATCACCTACGACTACAGCCTCGCATATCCGCCAATCTCGATTAGGTTATGAGCCTTGTTGCTATGCAGCAAGACGCTACTGCTTCGGGTCAACGTTCCGGCCCGTCTAGCAACGCGGTGTTAAGGAACACCAAGAGGATCAGCAATGGCCTAAGTGCTTGGAAGGATGAGCTGCTGCTTGTCGCTCAGCAGGCTGGCGTTGAGACTTACATCTTTCAGGAGATACACGCACGCCGCGTCAAAGCAGCAATACGCTGCGCAGACGCCATGCAGAAGGCCGACGAAGACGCTGAGGCCCGTATCGCCGCTCTCGAAGCCCTCATGAAAGATGACAAGCTTAAGGCCCCAAAAGCCTATAGCGCCCCCTCGACTCGCTCCAAGTCCAAATCGATGGAGGAGGAATCAAGCGAGGATGAAAGCACAAAGCCTTACACTGGTCCGTGCTACATCAACTCTGAGGGGTATCTTGCACCTGCGACCTTTGAAGAATGGTCGCATCTTGAACCAACTTGGGACAAGAACAGCAAGGCGCTTTTCTTGCTGAAAGGAGGTCTCGACAGGTCTGACCTGGAAGCAATCAAAGACATCGCAGTCGCCTGCGTTGCTTTCAAGACTGTCTTGTCTCGACACAAGCAGCCTGACACTTTGCGAAAGTTGCAATTGGTCACGAAGCTCAATAAGCTCTCTTTGCCTCCTGGCAATACCACATCTTCAGCTATTGAGACCCTGATGGTGGACGTTCAAGCCACCATTGCCCAGTTGCGCAGCCTTGATCCCACCGGCAAGACGTTTGACGAAGACATGGAAATTGCCATGATCTACGCCAAACTCCCAGGCGATTTGCAGGACCTCACGCTGCACACACTCTCCTCGGATGGACCACACTCTATCCGCAGTTTTGTGCAGCAAGTGCGCTTCAAGATACAGTCGGATGACTATCTCAAGACGCACGGCAAGCACAAGTCTCTGGCAGACTCAGCCGCTGACGCTTCCCAAACCCTTTACCAATCATCAACGGAAAAAGGGATGCTCGCTCAAGAGCATAAGTCTCAATTGAAGCAGAAGTCTTCAAAGATGCCGAGGAAAAGGCATTCTCTTCACAAGCCTTCATCTGAGACGAAGCAAAGTAGCCCTCCAACTGAATCAAAATCACAGTCTGAGGGCAAGCCAAATCCCAACACGGGAAAATTTGCTCGCGAAACAACCCTAGCTGAACGTAGCTGGGTGATCGACTCCGGTGCCACGTCGCATATGACACCGTCGCAAGAGTTGATCTCTGATCTCTCTCATGATGCTTCCATTAGCATCACATCCGCCAATGGCGAAGAGATGATCTCCGCTGGTTTTGGGCATGCTGCATTTGCCGTGCCAGATCAAACCAGCTTGGTGCCCTTGTCCAAAGTTTGGCATGTGCCAAATCTCACTGAACATCTTTTATCAGTGAGCGCACTCAATGAGGACGGTTTTGACGTACTGTTCCCGGCCAAACATGGACCAGCCCTCCTCAAAGACAGTGTTGTCGTCGCTACTGGCAGGCGTGTCGGTAAAGGCTTTGTCCTAGACGGCACAATTGCTAAAGTCCAGCCTCAGGCAAGTGAGTTTGCCCTTTCCACAAAGGAAAAGGCACCGACGGATGCCCTTGAGTGGCACCGACGACTTTGCCATATGTCCATCAAGGACATGAAACGACTTTCGAAGTTTGTCGACGGATTTCCCGACGATCTGGTCTACCCGGAATACTTCGATTGCTCTGGCTGTGCAGCTGGAAAGAGCAAGCGCTCGAGCTTTCCCTCTGTGGCAAATTCTGCCACTCAGCGGCTTGACATAGTCCACATTGATGTTGCTGGACCAATGCGCACCAATTCTATCAATGATGCACGATATTTTCTCATCATTGTTGACGGGTTTTCCAAGTACGTTTGGGCGTACATGCTGAAAGATGTCACTGCAGACACCGTCTGTAACATCTACAAAGCTTGGGAAACTGTTGCCACCAATCACGTTGGCGACAAAGTCAAAATTGTTCGCTCTGATGGAGGTAACGAGTTCAAGGGGAGCTTTCGCCAGCACCTCATTACGCAAGGCACCACTCACCAAACAACTGTTCCGCATACGCCTGAGCAGAATGGTGTTGCAGAGCGCCACATTCGCACTGTTGTCGAAAAGGCTCGCTCATCGCTTCTTGATGAGACGGTTGGTCCTCTCCCGCGCAATTTATGGGCTGAGTTGACCTCCACAGCCGTCTACGCCATCAATCGTTCGCCTCATACTGGTCTCGACAAGACGCCATACGAACTGTGGTATGGCAAACGACCAGATTGCTCGCATATGAGGACTCCTGGTACCATTTGCTGGTCACACAACCCGCGAATCAAGGACAAGTGGGATGCGCGCGCCAACAAAGCTATGTTTTTGGGCTACAGTGATACTTCCAAAGCTTGGCGAGTCTTAGATCTTGCCACTGGGAAAGTTGTTCTCAACCACTTGGTCATTTTTGATCATGCTGTGGCAAAAGAACTGTCTGTCAACAAGGATGTCGATCCTCGTCAGCTCACAGACGCTCAGCTCGAAGCTATAGCTAGCGGCAATGCTGCAAGTGTCGAATTTACTGACGAGCAGCTCGAAGCTATCGCTACTAGCGGTCTTGACGTTACTACTAATGATGACGAGCTTGATGAATATGCTTTTATGCTTACTGCTCAAGATGTTCTCCCAGCTCCTGTAACTGTCAAACAAGCTTTATCCCGCTCTGACGCACCTGAATGGCGTGCCTCTATGGAACGCGAGCTCGTCTCTCTTGAAGGCAAAGGAGCTTTTGAGTACGTCGACGACATTCTGATGGTTTTCTCGGACATCGCGCACAAAGAGCATCTTCTTAAGGCTCTTACCCAACGCTACGAGCTGTCCGATCTCGGCCCTGCCAATTCCATTCTCGGCATGCGCGTCTCACACAACAACGGCGTATACACTCTCGATCAATCCACCTATATTGAATCGATCGCCACCGACCACGGCTTAGCCAACTGCCATCCAAGGCACCTGCCAGCCAGTGTCGGCACCATTCTCACCACTGACGGCACTACCCACCAGCCGACTGACGACCAGCCGGCCAACAAAACTGCTTACCAATCCATTGTTGGGGAGCTTCAGTGGATAGCCATCTCGACCAGACCCGATGTTGCCTATATTGTCGGTGTTCTAGGTCGTTTCTCTGCCAAGCCGACTACTTCTCACATGAAGTTGGCTCGTGGCGTCCTCGCGTACCTGTTCACGACTCGCAATTTGCGACTGCGATACGACGGAAACGACGAGTTTGCTGGGTACTCTGACTCTGACTACTCAGGGTGCCTGGATACAAGGAAGAGCACATCTGGCTATGTGTTCATGCTTGGGGGAGCTGCAATCACCTGGCAGTCAAAGCGCCAAAACATTGTTGCCACATCGACCATGGAAGCCGAATATATTGGCCTCTCCAACGCGTCAAAAGAGGCTCTCTGGCTGCGCGAGCTCATGCTCGGCATCAAGATCAGCAATGTGCTCAACTCCGACGGTTCCATCAATTTATTTGGGGACAATCAGGCTGCGCTGAAGTTGGCACACAATCCTGTGTTTCACGCCAAGAGTAAGCACATCGAAGTGAAGTACCATCACACTCGATCCCTGATTGAGCAAGGCAAGATCAAGCTACACTACGTCGGCACAAAACTGCAAAAAGCCGATCTCCTTACCAAGCTCCTTCCACGTCCTGCATTGGAGACGCAACGACTGCTTCTCGGCCTCGTCTAAGCACTTCGCTTTATCGAGATAGAGGGAGTGTTAGGAATTCAAGTGCATCCCCTGATCACTTGCTTCCGCTGTTATCTCTCTGCCACGTCAGCGCTCATGCACGTGTCCTTTAGTTTAGTCTTAGCTGGCAAGAGTGCTATACTCTTGTGCCCCATTCGAATCAAGTCTTATCTGCAGCTGCCCTGCGTGCCTGTGTCTATCACCTACGACTACAGCCTCGCATATCCGCCAATCTCGATTACAGACAGAAGAATCATGTGGTTTGGTACACGTCAGCTATCCTACGCGAGCGGCTTTGTTCCCAAGGCTCAAGAATCAAGGAAGCGGAGTGTTCGGTGTGATGTGCTCGTTGTGAAGTTGGACTTTGTTTCTTTCGAGCTTTGACCACTTTGCACGCCTGAAGCTCGCTCTACTCGCGATCGCTACAAACCACAGTACGCTTCATTGTCGCTGCACACGCAAGCGCTCCACTCTAGACGCGCATCTCTGCAGTCTCTCTTCCTTTGATTCTGTCTCTCAAGTGTGTCTGACCAGCAAAGTCAGATCAATGCTGTCCTGCGTAGCGCGGTAGAGTCCCACCTGCCAAGCAAATGAGCAGCCGACATCCTCAATCTTGACTCTGCAAGAGCGAAGCAAGCAGCGCGTCTACTAACTCCTGCAACAGATGACCAGCATGCTAGAGTCTTGCTCAACGCCCCTGATCCAAGCGTCTTCCCCGCGTCGTTCACGGAACCAGCTCATCAGCCTCGAGCTGGCATCGCAGCAGATACAGCCAACAACGAATCCATGGCTTGATCAGACATCGTCTCTTTCTCTTCTGATACACCGCGCTGAGTCTAACGCATTCAGAAGGACGATCTAGACCGATTTGAACGCCTTGCACACGATACACGCATGACAAAGGAACCAGCAGGACTACGACGCGTGTCAAGGGAGGTTCCAAGCGTATTGAATGCCGGCCGTCGAATCCATTCGCAAAGCGTTGCAGAGCTAGGGAAGGCAATCCGTCATTTTGAACGCGACTTCACGTCGCTTGCCAGAACGGAAGCGAACCGTATTTCCATGGCCATCTCTCAGCATGGTCCCAAGAATCTGCAAGTCGCCGTACGTGATGACGCCCAACAATCTACGCAACGGTTCCCTACTGACAACAGCAATCGAGGCACAACAAGCGCCTGGCAGAGGCAGAAGCCGGGCAGCAGGGGTCCGACGACGAGAATGACATGCAGACACGACACGCACAACGGAGCGCCCGAAACATCGCGCCACGCCATGAGTAAGACGACGACTCGCAGGCGCGACAAGTACGTTGCAACACACGAAATACCGTGCCCCACAATGAGCAAGACGACGACAGCAATACAGAAACCGCACTACCACGTCGTACGGTACACTAGTTCTTTCGCTTGTCTCGATCCATACTGACCACTACAGGGCAAACGCAACGGGCCAATGACGGCGAAAGCCCAGTTGCTTCAGAGTGCAGCGCATAACAGGAAGACCGCGCCGCCACTGCAGGCGAGGCGGAACAAGCACGGAAGCGTAGCAAGCGCGCAAGGCACCTTGCACAACAGCTGTAGGAAGTACATAGTAAGCCTTCCTTGCTCTCGAGCTATCCCTGATCCGTGCAAAGCCCTGGCTCGCTAACTGCACCTCGCTGCGAGCTAGTCACCAGCGATCGCCAGTCCTCGCCCGTAAATCACCGGATTACTACGCGTCATTCATCGCCTGTTTGTCACCAGCGCCATAATCTACCGTTTGTCGTCCGTTTATCACACGGCGTCAGTCTTCCGCTCATCATCGGTTTACCACCCGTGGAAATTACCCGTAGGGTCGAGGACTTCGTCAGAAAACTCGTCAGACTTTGATCAAGAATCGATATATTTGATTGTAGAGTCGATCGACTTTGCAAGAAGACTCGTCAGACTTTGAGCAGGAGTCGATCAACTATGTGACCAAAGTCGACAGACTTGAGTTGAGAGTCAATCGACTTTGTTACAAGGCTCGTTAGACTCGGTCTAAGACTCGTCAGACTCTAGCGAAGCTTTCGTAGACTTTGGACAGGACTTGATGGACCCTATGAATGCACACGATGAATCATGAATCCTGACTCAACAGACTCTGATTGGTGTCTCGCAGACTTAATGGTCACGAATCGCAAAACACCGCGCACACTCATGTTAGAAGTCAACCGACTGTCGATTGTAGCTGACACAGAACAAACTCCTTCTTGCAAGCCCAAAGCAACGACAGCGATGACAAACGCAAAGCCGGAGGCGCCAAGAGGAATACCAAGGTCGCCAAGACAATTGCGTCTGAGGGACAAGCAACACCCACGCTTGAGACACCAAGCCCAGAGCAACCTCAGCCGCTGTCGCAGGCCTCCTCGCCCGTAATGGAAAGCCCATCTCTCGATTCATTGCCACAGGGTCTGTCATCAGGCCAATGGTGTGATGTGGAGCAATACGCTGCTTTAACCACGATGCCGACAACAAATTCAGAAAGCACATCGGTGGCCTCGGCCGAGCCCAATTGCAAGTATCAGTTTGGATTCAAATACGCCGGCACAGTTCAGCAGGGTCTTTATCTCCACTTGGGATCACAGATCCTGGCGTACGTTTGGCATCTCCCTCATCAGCCATGAGGCTTTTGAATACCCCTAAGGCAGCTCCAAGTAGTTGCGTGATGTCGCCCGTGGAATCAAGCGCCGACCAAGCCTTCAATGATGCCAAGCTTCGTAGCTCTTCTGTCGTTCTGAAACCAACACTGATGAGCACATCAACCAGTGAGGCTTTGAATGGAGGCTCGCACTGTTTCTTTGTCTCATCATGCTTGGTCTTCTCTTCTTGCTTGGTCTTCTCTTCTTGCTTGGTCTTCTCTTGTGATTTGAGTGGATCAACATTGTACTGAATCCCTTCCGTGGTGGCTTTCTTGGCCGCTGTAAACCAATCCCTGGGCTCTGTTCCTTCACTAGGCACCGGCTCTAGCTTCTTGAATGTCTCTTCATCAAAGGTCCAAGATTCCTGTGGGTATTTGCATAACCACCGTTGCATCAGAAGGGCCAACCACCGTCCAATGAGACCTTCACTTCCTTGCTGGTGAGCGTGCTCAACCCACCAATGGTTGACCTTATAGGTTTCGCTCCATGATGATTCTGCAACGCCCGTGCGGCAACTGCTGCAAAATGCCACAGTCCTCTTGCCATTGCCATCGTTGTCTTTGCTTTTGGGTGCTTTGACACCAGTCCTTACAGGAACGTACGCCAGGATCTGTGATCCCAAGTGGAGATAAAGACCCTGCTGAACTGTGCCGGCGTATTTGAATCCAAACTGATACTTGCAATTGGGCTCGGCCGAGGCCACCAATGTGCTTTCTGAATTTGTGGTCGGCATCGTGGTTAAAGCAGCGTTTTGCTCCACATCACAGCATTGGCCTGATGACAGACCTTGTGGCAATGGATCGAGAGATGGGCTTTCCATTACGGGCGAGGAGGCCTGCGACAGCGGCTGAGGTTGCTCTGGGCTTGGTGTCTCAGGCGTGGGTGTTGCTTGTCCCTCAGACGCAATTGTCTTGGCGACCTTGGTATTCCTCTTGGCGCCTCCGGCTTTGCGTTTGTCATTGCTGTCGTTGCTTTGGGCTTGCAAGAAGGAGTTTGTTCTGTGTCAGCTACAATCGACAGTCGGTTGACTTCTAACATGAGTGTGCGCGGTGTTTTGCGATTCGTGACCATTAAGTCTGCGAGACACCAATCAGAGTCTGTTGAGTCAGGATTCATGATCCATCGTGTGCATTCATAGGGTCCATCAAGTCCTGTCCAAAGTCTACGAAAGCTTCGCTAGAGTCTGACGAGTCTTAGACCGAGTCTAACGAGCCTTGTCACAAAGTCGATCGACTCTCAACTCAAGTCTATCAAGTCGTGTCACAAAGTCGATCAATTCTTGACCAAAGTCTGACGAGTCTCCCTGCAAAGTCGGTCGAGCGAGCTTTACAGCCAAACACAGATGCAAAATGATGCAGGATGTCGACAAGAGCAAAAACATTTGCTCAGCAGCATACAGAATGTGGGAACAGATGAGCATGCTCAAGCTCAACAACGACAAGTACGAGAGCTATACTGAGCCCCGAGGCCTCCATTTGACCTCAGCTGACTTTGATCTGATTTGATGCTAGGAAGATTTGTCAATCTGGCACTAGCTTGCCGTCCGTCATTGGGCCTCCGTTATCACCTGTTTATTACTCGAAGCACCATTGCTGAATTCTCATTGACGAATCACAGATAACAAGCACCTGGACAACCATATATTGAGTGAATCGTCAGTGAAATCCCCCCCTGGGACCACATAGATGCCAAAAGTTGATAATATTCATGTATATACAAACGTAAACATTCTGTAGCTGACCATGACTATTTTAGCACCTCGAAATCATAGTGTACAGATCGAGACAGGCTACTGGCAAGTGATAATGAGCATTTGATTAATTTGGTTTAGAGCTAGAATAATTGGAGAGCTTAATCTTGGTAAGGTAAATTCTATCGAGACTCTGCAGCTTCTCAACTTGGAAACTTCCGAACTAAAGAAACGTTTTAGCTGAAGACCGTTGGAGTTGAGATTGGGAAGGCAATGCATACATTTTGCATTGCTGGTAGGCCAAAGGGGCACTGCAGGAGCGGCGGTCGGGAATTTGGATGGGATCATCGCACGGATACTCATCTACCACAAGCCAGTTGTAAGATGGATCGGGGTAGTGAGAAAAACGTGCATGCCAATTATTGATCTGGTGTCTTGCTGCTGTGTCTCTGAGTTGACAGATACGTCCAGCTCCAGGCTCTTCCAGCTGTAACTCAACAGCATGCTCGTGCTGAATACGCATTTTGAGATATTCAACTAGCATGGAACATCGGCACTGTATCGATTGGTACCACACATCTTCAGTCTGTCTGTGGGGCTGTGGCTTGGTCTTTCCTGTGCCTGAATTGCGGAAACTCTGTCCATTGGGCACTGGAGTTGATACGAGAAATGGGTGAGTCGAGCTGCCGGCCTGGGTAATCAAAGTGGCCCAAGGCGGGTTGACAAAAGTTGGCCAAGTGATGAGATTAAGCGGCAAAGATCCCACGAAACCAGTGGCTCCGACGCTGCCATAGTCGTATTGACCAGTGGGTCTTTCTTTTCCAGCTGCCGATACCTGTTTTTCATGAAGAGATTCAGGTATGTCCGTTTCCAAGCAATAGCAAACTTCATCACCAGCATGACAAATGTCTGCGCTGGAATGTGCTCGAAGACGAGAACTGTGATAGCTGACCATTTCGGTCATGCATTCCGTGGAACAAAGATCTTGTGCAAATTGGCCTTGGAGTTCTCCAGTTTTATAGATTCCTCCATGAGAGATCAGCTTCTGAAGCTTAAACGACACCTGTCCACAAGTTTGGACGGGCGGAGCTTTTGTGCCCGCATTCATAGCTTTAGCCACCGTGTATGAGCCATCGGATACACTGTCGGCATGAGATGATATATCAAAGCGTAAACTGGAACTCAATTGCTTGAACGTCAAATTTGTCGGCGACAACTGCGACGGGCCTCATCAACAAGATTGCAGGTTTCGATCTTTTCACTCCAAATTACACGTGGAAGCTCGTGATTGTTCCTCCTGAGGAGTTGTGCTTTCAATATCCGTGCACATGTAAATCAGCTGCTCCTGCATCTATATGCATGCGCGTTCTCTGTCGACTCCTAGGCGTGAAAAAGGGCAGCAGAATGACACATGCATACAGTTTTCGATTGCTATGATGAGAAATAACCAGTGTTTAAGATATTGAAATGTGGCCTGATTCGTCTGCAGCCGATGATTGGCTTACAATGGTCATAATGTATTCTTGAATCAGCAAGTGATATTTACAAATCACGTCCATGTGTGTGGTTCTGAAGACTCTTTTGACAGCTTTCAGTTGTATTTTCACGTATTGTCGTGAAATATCATATGCTCTTACAACGTTGCGTGGCCATTTTTGACATTACTTTCTGTCGATCTCTCAGTTCTGTTTGCTACCTGCGCGTGATTGCGTCGCCAATCCGGCCCTGCAGCTTCAACTGCTGATTTTCGCGGCCGAACACGACAAACAGAACTATTGCGTGATTTACGGGGATCATGTGCATGCATATGGACCGACCGAATAAGTCCCATTCTTGATTTCAGATGCCTCATCACCGGAGACTCCTGGTTGCAACTCGCAGCTATCGTTCTGTGCACAACCATAGCGATCAATCCTGGCAATCTAGATCTGTCCACCTGGTCTGTGGAATTACGCGTTCAGCATCTTCAACGGTTGCTTGCTTCCTTCTGATCCAAGCATTGTCTTCTCGCCTTATCAAGCTGAGACAACTATTCGTCGTCTAATGCCTCTGACTAGACGTCGCACATATTATTCAGGGCTTGGATCCTGTTCCTTGCCTTGCCGCTTCTACCTCTAGTCAAATGAAGGTAAAAGGACAGCCTTCTGCTGCCTTGATTTTCATTTACCAACTTTGTACCTTTGCGAAATCATCTATATCTACCTCTCCTCTCGAGTGTTTTCGACGTCAACTCGCTCTGCTCTGTTCGTCCGGCTCTCGGCTCAACCGCTACACTTTGGTGAAACTATCCCAGAGTCTACCACTTAGGACATCAACACCAGTACAAGTCATGTCATCCACTCAATCATCCTTGTGGGTATGACCCTCGAACAAGCCATTCAGGCCGTGGCCACCGATCAGAAACAGGTTCATCATTAGATCGTTGACATGTTCAACAACATGGCTTAGTTCCACCATGCTCATCAACTCGAGCTGCAGAACCTCCGACCAAAAATTCTCGTTGCTCAAGCTCTGGTTGCCCGAGGCCTTCCGGTACCATCTTCGCCCTTGCCCTCATCGCAAACTCACCTGAAGGCAAAGAACCCCGAGACCTTTGCGGAAAAGCCGGATGAGTCCAATGTTCGATACTTTGTGCCAGTCTGCCGTATCTGTCTCGCCAGCCCATCCTACTGCCAGGCATCTGAATACGACAAAGATTTTGTGGGTCTGCAGCCCGCCAGACGAGGCCGCTAGCCTTTGGCAACGATTCAAGACGGACTTCCACCAGGCACCGAATTTGGATTCAATACGGCAGGCAGACCAGATGCTTGCCGAGCTGGATTGTGCCTTCCAGTTGGGCGACGAGCAGTCTAGAGCAACACAGCAGCTGAACGTCTTCGTCAGGGCACGAGAACAGCACCGCAGCACATTGCTGGCTTCAATCTGATCATCGCTCCTTGGAAGATGACTGAGGGGTTCAAAATCTTGTCTTGCGCCATTCAATCAACAAAGAGGTCAAGGATGTCCTCGCTCAATCTTTGGAATAGACGAAGTCTGATTTCACTCTTTTACGTCGTCTTGGAGAGCGTATGAGCGCTCGGGTAGGCACTGCACTTTGACATTGAGCCGTACTGTGCTGCTTACGCCAGCACGCTCTCTTCTATTTGGCCCCGTTTCAATGCCAGCGCTCCTCCTACAACAACATTCTTACAGCCAATGCAAAATGACGCTGTGGCACCCAGCAAGCATCGTGCGGCAATCCGTCAGTAAAAGTTTGCCGACCGACTCTGTCTCTATTGTGGTGAGCCCAGTAACCAACTCAAAGACCGCCGACAGAGGCCAGTAGGCCCGAAAGTGCCGTTCGGGTCAACAGGAAATAAGCGATTCTGTTCGCCCAAGTCTTCCACCTGTCCTCTCTCTGAAGTCTATAGCTCTGTCTTCGTCTCTCTCTGCTGCTTATCATGTGCTTCCTGTCATCCTTTCTGTTGGCGATCGACTTGTCGAATCGGTTGCTTTGGTCTCGACTCCGCTTTTGTCTCGCGCACTGCAGCTGGAATTCAACAAACACCTTAGGCCCAAACAGTGCAAACACTGGCAATCAGTGCAACTCGAGACCATCGACGGTAGTCTTCTCGCCCCAGTTACGCATGCTACAGCTCCTGTGCAATTCTCTGTTGGCACACATCACGAGCATGCTTCCTTCGTGATCTAGGGAACAGTACGAGGTTCTCCTTGGCTAGCATTGGCTCCAGCTACGCAACCCTTCTATCGACTGGGCCGACAGCAAGATCTCTTCTCAGACTCTTATACGGACCACTTGTTGGCCTCTCGAGGTGAACCTGGTCGATCGTCACCTCCTTCCAGTACCACAGCTCTGAACATCTGCAGTTTGAAAGCTACTACTTCCAAAGGCTTAGCTAGCACGAACGGTGTTGATGAGCTTCATCACACAGATCTCCTGGGCAACGATCTTGGGAATGCTCACCAGAGAATGTCAGACCGCTGCTGGAGACTAAAGAACTGATTCTGGGTTCTGTTCTTGAGCAAGCTCAAGCCAAGACTGTGGCAGACGAGCTGCTTGCGCAACTTGTCACTGCTTACGATACGGACAGTGTCACAGTGAGGCCCGCGGATTTTGGATCAGCTCGACGACACGACCGACTCTTTCTAGGACTGAATGACAGGTACTCTCTGGCCAATGGCACGATCTATCGCGATGAAGCGATACGTGCGCACTTGTGGCACTTGTGTACGCGCCAAGGCGACTCGACACAAATTCTATAGTGAACTCAATCGGCTCCCGACTCACAATACACTATGGTCTGCTATCTCCCTAGAATTGATCACCAAGCTTCCTTTGTCCAACGACTATGAATCTATTCTGGTTGTTGTTGACCGTCTTACCAAGAAAGCTCAATTCATCTCTTGCGTTGAGGTTACTGGTATATATACCTTCGCCAAGACCTTCATTGATCGCATTGTCCTGGATCATGGCCTCCCAACGCCTACACTCTTTTGCCGTGACCTCATCTTCACGTCCAAGTTGTGGCAGTCACTGCTTCTCCAGTTTGATTCACGGGTCAAGTCTTGTTTGTCTACAGCCTATCACCCTCAAATTGATGGTCAGACTAAACGTGTCAACTCGATACTCGAACAGTATCTGCGATGTTACATCAACCAAGCCCAAGACAATCGGCATTCCTCAAGTCAAGTCTGCTACAACAATACTTGGCAGGTTACCATCGAGACGTCTCTATTCTTCGCTGAGCGCAGCTGACACCCTCGCTTCACTGTTCATCTTGGTCATCACACTATTCCTGCAAGTTATGATATGGCTGCTCGTTTGAAGTCTGTTTAGGAAGACCTCAAGGACTACATGAAAGATGCACAAGACAAGCACAAGGAGTATGCCGATAGCTCTCGACTACCAGTTCCCTCAGACTTTCGACTTGGCAAACAAGTTTTGCTACACACCCGCCGTTGTTGTACGTCTGATTGACCACCACGAAAGCTCAATTTCACTTGCGCCAGATCTCTTCGCAGCGTACGTTCGATCACCGACACTGCCTTCGAACTCGACCTCCCACGTGATGTTCTCATTCATGATGTCTCACCTGGTCTGCTCGATCTCTACAACAAGCCGACTGGTGCTTTCTCTCGCTCGCAGGTTGTTCCCCTCTTATAAAGATCAATGGACATGGCGAATAAGGCATCGATGCCGTCGTTGATTGCAAGCTCGACAACGATCAGTGGATGTACCTCCTGCATTGGAATGACTATAGTGATGCTCACAGTCAATGGGCACCTATTGAGTCTGTTTACGCCATTGCGACACTGCTTGTTTCTTGTTCAACAAATCCTCCACTCAACACCACTGCTCCACGGCCGCCTTTTGCTCGTCGGGATCGACGCGCCCCGAAGAGGGTCGTGTCACGGACTGAGAGCTGATACTGCTTTCAGATGTCCAACCAGCCACTTGCTCCATCTTGTGCTACTCCCTTGCGCACAACCACAACGGCCGATTCAGTCCTCTCTCGTCGGTATCATGAATTGATCGTCCAGCATCTTCAACATGTTGCTTGCTCTCTTCTGGCTCTAGCCTCTCTCACTATAGCTAATGTATACCTCAAGAGTCCTCCTTGCGTTTGGCTCGTCTGGCTAGACGTAACTCAGACTCTGTGGGGCTTGTCCTTGTTTCTTGTCTCACTGCTTTTCACTCTAGCCGAAGATAGGGAGACAGCCTTCTGCTGCCTTATTTCATATTCACCAATTTCGTACTTTGATTGGACCATCTATAACTACCTCTCCTGTTATCTAGTGTCTTCGAGGAGACTTCGCTCTGGTCTACCTAGTCATTCCTCAGCCCATTCGTTACAAATCGCATTATTGTGTGCCTTTATCATCGGCAGTCTGCTTACAGAACGCTGTCACCTGGTGTGATCACCATCACGCTTGCGATATCTGCTGACAACAATACCTACAGGCCGCTCATGCTACACATCCGAACCCAAATGCAAGATGCTGCAGGATCTCGATAAGAGCAAGAACATCTGCTCAGCAGCATAAAGTATGTGAGGACAGATGAGCATGCTGAAGCACTACATCGAACAGTACAACGACTGAAGCAAAGCTTGATGCCTCCTTTTGATCCCAGATGGACTCGACCTGACTTGGCGACAGTGATTATTGTCGGTTTGACACTTGCTTGCAATTGCCGATACCAGTAAGTCGCCATCATTCCCTGCTTATCATTTGGGGCACAATTGCTGACTTCTCATCAACTAATCACAGGTAGGAGACACCTGAACATCGATATCGCCTGTAATTTACATATGAAATGTCTTCTTGGGACCACATAGATGTCAAAAGCTGATTATCCACAGGCTTATACTGACCATGACCAACCTCAGCATACCGTCTTTGGCTTCAAGTGCACAAATTGAGACAGGAACTACCAAGTGAGATTGAGCATTTGATTAAAGGGGTTAATAGCTAGAAGAGCTTGACAGCTAAAATTTGATTGTCTTCAAAAAGAAATTGCTCTGAGATCCGGCAGTCCTGAGATTCGAAAACCTCCGAATCAAAGGAAAGCTTCAACCAAGAGCCGTGAGGGTTTTGATTGGGTTGGCAATGCCAATGGTATGCATTGCCAGGCAAACTCAGGTATGTGACAAAAGCGACGATCGGGGGTCGGATCCGTGGTATTGCATGAATAAGATTCCGCCAGTGGCCAAGTCCCTGGTCGATTATGAGAGAGCAGTTCCCAGCCATCGATTTGGTGTCTTGCTGCTATTTTGATAGGGTCGCAGATAGGTTCAGCTTGAGGGTGGCCTAGCTGTAAGTCTAAATCGTCCTGAATGTGCAATTTGAGGTATTCAACTTGCATAGAACATCGGCACTGTATCACTTGGAACGACGTCTGTACAGTTTGCTTGGGGAACTGCTGTTGCTTAGACTTGCCTTTGTTTGAGTTGCGCAAAGCTGGTGCCATTGCAATGGGCACTGCAAATGGGAAAGAAAATCGGGAAGTCGAGACACCACTCGTAGTGGTAGAAAAGGTCCGAGGCATATTGACGATCGTTGGCCATGGGAACGTATAGGGCGGCATTACTCCCATGAATGCAGCACCCCCAAGACTGCCATAGCCGTAGTTAACACCATCCGAAGCTTTTGTTCCTACAGGTATCTTTTGTTCAGGAAGAGATCCGGGGCTGAGCTTATCCAAGCAATAGCAGACATCATCACCAGCATTACAAAGGTCTGCGTTTGTATGAGCTTCAAGACGAGACTTGCGATACTTGGCCATCTCGGTCATACAAGGAATGAAACAAGCTTCTCGTGCAAACTGACCTTGGAGTTGTCCGTCTTCATAGATTCCTTCATGAGGAATCAGCTTTTGAAGCTTAAACGACATTTGTTGACAAGCCTTGCTTAGCATAGTAATTGGGCGCGGGTCTATAGCTAAACTCAATGTCCACGAGCCAATGACAATAAGAAGAGGATACACCGTCTTCTTGAGATGGTATATCATTGCGTGCACGCAAAAGCGATTGACTGATACTAAAGCGACAACTACAATGTACCTTGTTAAGAAAACTGCGGGTTTCCGCCTTTTGAATGCAGATTGCACGTGGAAGCTCGTGGTTGTTCCTCTCTGAAAGAGTGGCGCTTCTAGTACCCGTGCACATGTAAGTTAGCAGATCTTGCAACTCTATGCATGCACATTTTCTGTTGCCCCCTGAGTGCGGCTAAGGCTGGCAGTATGAAACATGCATACGACTCCCGATTGCTATGATGGGCAATGAACTATATTCGAGGTTTGAAGTTGTGGCCTGTTGCGGCTGGAACTATCGATTGACTTATAATAGACACGACGTGTGATTGATCACTTGTTGATCAAAAAACACGTTATGACCATGTAATTCTGAGACTGTCCATCAGCTCTGATTTGTAGCTTCACGTGTGATAGTGAATCATCATATGCATTCTTACAACGTTACGTGGCCATTTTTGACGTTACTTTTTGTCGATCCCTCAATTCTGCCTGCCACCTGCGTATGTTGTCGATCAGACTTTGCAGCTGCAGCTGTAGATGTTCGCCTCCGAACATGACAAACAGAACTATGGCGTGATTTACGGGTGTCATAGACTGACTGCATAAGTCCTATTCTTGATCGCAGATGCGTCATCACCTGAGACCCCTGAGCACCGCTCGCGACTGTTCTTTTGTGCACAACCACTGCGACCAATCTAAGTCTGACCCTTTGCAGATTAGTGTAACTACGCGTACAGCATCTTCAACAGTTGATCGCGTTCTTCTGGCTCAAGCCTCTTATTCTCGCCGTATCCTGCTGAGACTTTTATTCGTCGTTTGATGCCTCTGGCTAAACGTCGCTCACGATCTTTAGGGCCTTGTCCATGTCTCTTGTCTTACTGCCTTTACCTCTAGTCGAATCAAGATAGAGGACAGCCTTCTGTTGCCTTGAATCGCTTTCATCAACTTTGTAATTCGGCAACATTATTTATATCTACCTCTCCTGTCTAGTGTCTTCGACGTCAACTAGTTCTGCTTTGTTCATCCGGCTCTTGGCTCAGTCTATAAACTTTGGTAAAACTACACCAGTGTCTACCACATTAGGACATTAACACCAGTACAATTCATGTCAGTCACCCAATCATCCTTGTGGGCATGACCCTCGAAGAAGCCATTCAGACCGTTTTCACCGATCAGAACCAAATTTATCATGAGGTTGACGCCTTGGCCAACGACATGGCTCAGCTACCGCATGCTCATCAGCTCGAGCTGGGACGATGGCAGACGAGTTGCTCGCGCAACTTGGCGCTGCTTACGACTAGGCCGTGGAATTTGGAGCAGCTCAACGACACAACTAACTCTTTAGGATCTGGACAACAGGTAATCTCTGTCTCTGGTCAATGACAAGATCTACCGCAAAAATAAGGTCAACGTTCACAATAACAACCCTAAAAGATTTGGCGAGTGGACGCGCAGGAATGAGTGTTTAAGGGGATGATTACACCGCAGTGTTTTCATGGAAATGCGCGGGGACTCAAGGCGTGAAAGAGCGGGAAAGAGCCTTAAACGTGGGGATGAGCGGGAAACTGTCGTAAATCATTCACCCCTGTGAGCGTTAATGAGCGTGAATACCAGGCAGTGCGCGTAGATGAGCGTGGATACCAGGCAGTGCGCGCGGGGGTCTGTGAGCGTGTGGACCGAGTAAGGTAGTCATCACAGTGGATTCTTTCACTTTGTGATCATGCGATGAGAATCGACAGTAACTTGGCTATTTATACGGTACAAGAGTACCAGAAAGTGCCAGTAGCAAGCCGATGATACTTGCAGTGCTTGTGATGCCATGGCGGTGGTTGTGCTGCTGCAGGGTGTGAATGATGGAAGCGATGGACATCGGGCTGATTCTGAGTGGGAGACACAAGATACGACTGATCGAGCGAGCGCAAGAGCAAGAGTAGAGTCAGAGGTAGAGATTGAGATTGAGGCTGGCGTCAAGGACGAGACTGGATAGAGAGGAAAGCCATCAAGGAACAATTGACGACGCGAGAAAATGCCTCACCAATGAGGAGGAGAAGTGATTGCTGCAAGAGCCCGCATAGAAGATGAGCTGGCGATACGACTTGCGCCTGTATAAGCAGAGAAAGCTTGCACAAGTCGAGTGAAGGCATACCAACAGACATGAGAGTGTATCAGCGCAGAGAGACTGCTTGACGAAACAACGAAGCGCTTGCTTGACGTGCTGATGTGTGTGCAGAGCGTGTCAGTACAAGTAGAAAAAGCTTGCGCAAGATGAGAGATGGCGTACCAGCAGCCAGAAGAGTCAATCGTCGCCCAGAGACAGCTTGGCGAGACAAAGAAGCGCTTGCAGCAGGGACAGACTTGCTTAGAAGCTAGTTGTAGGAGTCAGTAAGGTGATGGAGCTTGCACCACGATGCCTGTAGCCAATTACAGCCTGTTGAGGACAATGATGCTGACTGTCTGGGTTGAGGTTTGGGTTGGAAGTCGAGGACCTCGAAGGTTAGGCACCACTGCCGTACCAGCATACTGCAGCTGGCAGCACTCCTTGCAGAGTACGCATCGCTTGATTATAGAGACACTAATTCGACACCTTGCTGTGCCTATTTATCGTTTGCTGTCATTGCCATATCTTCACGCTCAGTCCCGCTTATGGACTTGGCGCCATGATTTTGTTCCCGCCAAGACCACATCTCCACAGTACACAATCCCACACATCCCCTCAATTCACGCGCACTCACTCTCAAACTTATTCGTAGCTATAGGGCAAGGTACTCAAGCTCTCTCTATCGCGCCAGCACCATGACTCTATCTTGGCCGGACACTGACGTGACGGCAACTTCGAACTTCTTTCACGATAGGTACTCTCTGGTTGATGGCACGATCGATCGCAACAAAGCGAAACGTGCGCACTTGTGGCACTTGTGCACGCGCCAAGGCGACTCGACACAAGTTCTATGGTGAACTCAATCCGCTCCCGACTCACGAGACATTATGGTCTTCTGTCTCCCTCGACTTTATACCCAGCTTCCTTTGTCCAACGACTATGACGCCACTCTGGTCGTTCTTGACCTTCTTACCAAGAAAACTCGAGCCAACCCTTGCGTTGAGGTTACTGGTGCATTGACTTTCTCCAAGACTTTCACGAATCGCATTGTCTCTAAACATGGCCTCCCAAAGTCTACGCTCTCTCGCCGTGACCTCATTTTCACGTCCAAGTTGTGGCAGCCACTGCTCCTCCGATTTGATCCACAAGTCTACAGCTTATCACCCAGACTGATGGTCAAACTGAACGTGTCAACTCGATACTCGAACAGTATCTGCGATGTTACATCAACCAAGCCCAAGACAATCGACGTTCCCTTCATTCTCAAGTCAGGTCTGCTACAACAATACTTAACAGGTCACCATTCAGACTTATCCCTCCTTCGCTGAGCGCAGCTGGCACCCTCGCTTCACTGTTCATCTTGGTCCTCCACTATCCCTGCAAGTTATGACATGGCTGCTCGTTTGAAGTCTGTTTACGACGAGCTCAAGGACTACATGGAAGATGCACAAGACAAGCACAAGGAGTGTGCTAGTCGCATCTCTTTGCATTTGGCTCGTCTGGTTAGACGTTACTCACAATTCTTGGGGCTTGGACCTTGTTACTTATCTCACTGCTTTTATCTCTAATTGAATGAGAATGAGAGAACAGTCTCTTTCTGCAGCCTTGATCTTCATGCACCAATTTTGCTCGTTGGCAGGTTCATCGCTATTTATCTCTACTGTTGCCCAGTGTCTTCGATCTGGACTCGCTCTGCTCTGCCTACTTAAGCTTACCCCTCGGCCCAATCGTTACAAAACGCATTGTTGTATGTGCGCGAGCGCATTCATTATCTGGACCGTGCCAGGAAGATACAAAGGTCTACAAGACTACATTCATACAGCTATTGCACTAGCTATGAGTTGACGTGCGCGCATAAACTAGCTTCAACATCTGCGACTGAGTCAAATGTCTTGGTGACAGCTGCAGGCCCTGCTCATGTGCTCATGAACCGAGGATGCGTGGCCCTGGCCTCAAAGAGAAAGAGAGCACTGATAGAGAGCACAATAAACTAGCGCTATAGATATAGTGCACAAGTCCAGTTGCAGCAGGAGGAAGTTGTATCTCACGCTATACTATAAGCTCTCCATCCAAAAGGGGTGTGATTAAACACTTAGTATTTTCCGACCAAGAAGCACATCCCGACAAGGTTCGCGTTCAGATGTTTTGATGTTGGCGATGACTGCTCACATAGATTGTCCTGCGGAGAGATGTCCTGCCAAAGATGTATAGACAACCGTATCAAGTTGAGAGCGCAATTCATTTTCGAATTCTTGCTAAGGAATAGCTTCGCCGGCGACCCGGGCACAGTCTACATACAGGAAACTACACTCTGTAAAGAAATATAGACCAAAAAGTGGACTAAAAGCTTTGTGGCTATAGATGTGAAAACGCTTGCATCGCTGGACTGCCTCTGACAATATATGGGAAGCTCTCTAGGTGTCGATGAAGACTGCCCATCTACCAATATTGTCCTGTTCCCGGCTGTTCGTACCATGGGCGCTGTGGTATCGACTGACAGAAACGTCGCGCGTCCGGGCCGGGTTGTATACATGGGCGAGTATCAAGGACATCATCATAATAAGCGCACTTGGCACCTGGTCGTAGCCGGGAAATCTTCACATCTGGAGGCGGCTTCAGCCAGATATTTGATTGAAGCCTGATGTGTACATCAAGAGCAAAGCAGCTGTAGCGATCAAAAGCTGAGGATGAAACCAACTCCAATCCTAGATTGGGTGACGAATGGATGCGCAATTTGTGGAATCCAACTGACATAGTACACTTGCATACCCACCGGCGCCCGGTGTTGCCCGATTTGGCCGCAATCGAAGTTGATCGTGGTGCTTTCCACATGTTGGCAACATTCCCGACCATTGCACCTGGAAATAGAGGTAAGGTGTTGGACGCCTCGATCGAAGTGATCATGCCCGCCCATGGCATTTTGTCATCAAATTCTGCTGGCATCGAACCCATGCATGAAGAGGTTCCTTCAGCTTCGCCTTCGGCCTCTGCCCCCTTCGATTCTTCCCAATCGTAAGCCCCCAGGCAAATGCAAACATCGGCACCCATATTACAGACGTCTGCAAATTGTCGGTCCCCAATCAAATAGTCCCTTTTATAATGATCAACTGCATTTGAGCAAGCGTTGAGGCAAGCCGAGTCTCCATCCGATCCCTCGGCCTGCATCAGATTATGCAAGGGAAACACCAGTGGCGCACAGTCATCACCGGCAGATGTAGCCGTGGAAACATCATTGCCTATCTCCATAGACGAGGCGAGCTTCATACCTGATGCAAATAGAGTGAGCCATGCGATCCAAATCATACTGTCCTTCTGATAATGATTTGACGAGTCGAAAAGAGCGGCACTGGCAAGCAAGTGCAAGGGTTGAGGAAGGATACAACAGCTGCTCCCCTTCCGGCCTTTATACTCTCAAATCCCTTGCTGAAGATGGTATCCAAAACGCGGCTATGTTTGTCAATTCTCCTGTGCATGCGGCTTACTACTTGATAATATCATTATGTCGTCTAATATAGCCTGCACATTGATGAGCATTTGACTTCAAGCTAGCGACTGAGGTGGGCCACCACCTGAGTGAGAATCGAATGCAATGTAACGAACACGCAGCCTTAAACCTCGCATCCGACTTTCCCGCACCACATGCTCTGGCAACTCATCGCGGCTCTTCTACCTTCCGCCCTTCAACGACGCTTATCACCTCAGCATGTTGCCTATCGTCCCGCGCCTAGCTTCCTCGCTTCCGGCAACGCTCTGTCACGTTGTCCTTACTCGCTCTCTTACTCGTGGACGACGTCTACCACGTCGTCCCTTGTTCTGTCTCTTCCCTATCTTGCAGCTCGGACATCTCCACTGGGCTCATGCAATCTCGCTTCCCCTCTTCTTTCATTGTTCTCCTGCTGAGAGTCGGCTCCCGTGGGCTCCATCCACATCATCGCCATCCGCTCTCATGCTGGTACCTGGTAGACATAAGTAGGCAGCCTTCCGCTGTCTTGTTCCTTAGTTTACAACTAGCTGTGCGGGCCCCCCCCCCCCCCCCCCCCCCCCCCCCCCCCGTTGGGGAGGCGTCAAATTAATAATTTGCTTATTGATATCTACTATGAATTATGTCATTTGAATAACACTTGTGGTATTATACTATTCTGAAGAGTTATCTATCTTTCGTCGCTTTCGGGGCTTGACAGGACCGAAAGAATGGCCTGAGTCTGAGATGAAGTCATCGACGTATTCCACAGGGAGTAGTCTTGCTACTCTGCCATCTCTTCATCTTCAGATTGCGTCGCTGCTAGTTGATCGAGCAGCACTTCAGGATAGACGACGTTCTTTGTCCTGAAGTTTTGATCTGTGTCCTGCAAAGTACACAGATTTTCCACGTTTGTGACTCGCGAGAATGCAACGTAGAGTTGACCATGTCCGAAGCAAGGGAGTCTGAGGTCAACGCCAACGTGCTTTAGACTGTGCCCTTGAGATTTGTTGATAGTCATCGAGAAGGCAAGACGAATTGGGAATTGCTTTCTCGTCAGGACGAAAGAGTACTCTTCTTCGTCACTGTTGAGTTTGAAGCGGAACAGATCAACTTCTTGACCCTTTCGTGTCCCTGTCAACACACGACACTTGATTAGGTATCTGCCAAGCCTTACCACCTCGAGACGGGTGCCATTGCAGAGCCCATCCCTGGGACGTATGTTTCGTATCAGGATGACCGGGATGCCCACTTTCAGACGCAAGCAGCTCGGAGGTAGGGAAGCTGGCTCTAAGGTGCCCAGATATTCCGGATTTGCTTGTGTCGTGAAGAAGGGATCTTGCGATTCTGTCTCGACACTGTCGGCAGCATCGTAGGCCACTTCTTCCCCTTCAAATCGGTCTAAAACCTTCCGGTTGATCGTATGCACTGAACCGTTGTGTGGTGCCAATATGGCGCGTGAAGCGAAGAAGTCGTGATTGTTGCTTGTAGCTTTCAGTGCATGTTGCGGGTAGATTCGTTCGATAAAGGCGTCTTCTTCAACCAAGCGAGCTATGGTTGAAGGTACTTCAATATCACTTTGAGCGTTTGAGCTCAAGTCCGCCAGATATTGTTTCCAATCACGGTTGGCTTGTGTGTCATGCATTCGTTGGTTTTCTGTGAGGTGTAGCACCTTGACATCCGCCCAAAAGTCGGTTATTTGCAGCGTTGCATTGACGATAGTTTCTCGGTCACCATGTCGGACAACTGGCAGTGTTTGTGCCCAGTCCCCACCAAAGACAACAGGAGTACCGCCAAAGAAGAGGTCTGCGTTGTCATGAATATCTCTCAAGGTGTGATCCACCGCCAAGACGTCGTGCTTATTCTGGACAGGTGCTTCATCCCAGATGATTAGCTTGACCTGTCGCAGGAGTTCGGCTGTTTCGGAGCGTTTCCCAATGCGGCATGTCGACCCTGGCCCTGATTTCAACGGTATGCGGAACCGTGAGTGCGCTGTGGTGCCGCCCGGTAGCAGGATTCCCGCAATGCCGGAGGATGCAACGCAGAGCACGATTTCACCTTTTGACCGGTAATGACATGCAAGCGTCTCATAGAGGAAAGTCTTGCCGGTTCCAGCTGGACCGGTGACGAAGAAACTCAGGCAACTTTTGTTGTCGATGCTTTCAGTGATGCAAGTGTATGCATACTGCTGGCCTTCATTCAAGTGCTGCAGCCTGGTCGCCAATAGACGTGCTTGCTCATCACAATCGTAGTTCAGTTGCTCTGCTATCAGAGGATTGCCGGCTGACTGACTTTCCCAAGCAAACTGATAGTTTGGTAGATTGAATTTCTCCAAGGTCTCCTCGTTTTGCTGCAACTCTCTGGAGATCAAATACAATCCATAGTCAAGGTGTGGGTTCTCAAGATCTTCAGGATAGATAATGTGTCGCTGCATGTACCGCGGCAGATCGTCACATAGATCTTCCTTGAACCGTTCCCAAACAGCCAGAGGATGCGGCATCTCGTTATGTAGCAGTGCTGTGATGAATAGTGAGCGCATCTTCTTGCCAGTTGCCCACGTTTTCGCCTCCTCGAAGGCATGCATGAGTTCTTCATCAGAGTCCAGCAGGCCACGTGCCAGACAGGCCTCTCTGAAAGTGCCGTAGATGATTCCATCGTATGTACGTAAATCCACATACGCTGTTGGCCCTCTCACTTTCGTCAGCAACAAACGCAAAAAGTATGGTTCCCCGGCGCCGAACGGGATGTGCACCAAGCGCGACACCGGTTTGCCCTGTTTTCTTTTTTGCCATTTTGAAGGCTTCTGTTTATCATCCCACACGAAATGTTGGGGGAATTCATGGTACAACAGGTGTCTGGCATCCTCATGCTGAGCGTTGTAGTCAAAGAAAGCCAATAATTTCGTCCGCTTGGTTGCTATGATCCCTTCGAGTTGCTCGCGGGTGACGTTGTCTGGGAAACTGATGGGTTGTTCGTTTTCCAGATGCAGCGTGAGTTGTTCGACAGCGGGAAAGCCATAGTGTATGGGAAACTCCAATATTCGGCAGGCTGCATGCCACGGTCCAACATACCGCCCTTGCACATGAAGAGCTACCTCATCCACTCTGGAAGTGTCAGTGATCTCCAAGGTGGCTCGATCGGCGCCTTTGTAGATGTATTTGTGGATGTACTTGCATGCAAGTGCAGAGCCACACACTTCCACATTGAGGTGGCAGTTGTACGTGAGGAGCAGCCATGGGCAGTATGGCACGATCCACTGATTCGACAGCTTGTGAGAGACACCTCTCACTGTCTTCACAATGTAGCGGCCATCGTCCCGACGGCGGTAGTGCGGGTAGCCATCACCGAGTATTGCGGTGCTCTCAGAAAATGGTTTGGGGTACCCTTTGCTGCATGTCATTCTACCATGCTTGTCGCGCTGCATGCATGGAGCATGGGGGTTCAAATCACCGCACGGTCCATGAACCATGCACCGAGACACGATTTCCAGAAGTCTGTCATAATACGGCGACGATGGGTCGGGTATTTCTGCTGAGATGAACTCATCAATGGTGTATGGGTCATCAAATCGAATGTCCGGACCAAGAAACAGGAGTGTATGGCAATGCGGTAGACCCCGCTTCTGAAATTCTACCGTTTGGACCATACCTTGGTAGTTTTTCTTGCCAAAGATTTTGGTCAAGTTGTTGACCAAACTCCTCCTCTTAGACTCAAAGACCCTAGCGCCCAACATGGGGTCGTCGTCCGAGGACACACCTGGATCAAGATTCCTAGCAATGTCTTCCCCATTCGCATCGAGAGTCATCGTAATGAATAACTTGGGAGGTCCAAGCGCCCGTACCAAGGCGATAGAGTCATGATACAATTTGCTCATGTGCCGGTCGCTTCCTGTGTGAGAAGCTGGTAAGATGATGCGACGACCGACCGTGGAAAGATCACGATCGCCTACAGTCAGAGCATCCCGGATTCCAGAGTACAGTTCTGCACGCAGCATGTGTTGTCGATTCGCAACCAGTTGGAGGCGATTGTCCTCAATCGAGCAGAACGCATCCACAACGAACCGCTGGCACAGCCTACCGTAGTGCGACAGAGGTGGAAGATCGTGACCTGCTGGAGTACGCTGTCGCGAGAAGAGGAACCATCGGTAGAATTCTTGTTGGGAGACGGTTTTTTCCAATTGCCTCATGGGGTTTTCGACATCCCTTCGACGCAAATCGAAGTGCCAACCCGGCTCTCCGTATGGGAAGATCAAAGGAAAAGCCAGTGGCAGGTATGCGACATGACACGGGTCGACATGTCGTTTGCGGTCTTTCAGTCCTCCATCTTCATTGCGTTCGTGAAGGATGATGCTTTTTTGATTGAGGCGGCCGCTGTCCGGGAGAATTGCTGCGACCTCATTGACGACTGGTAAATTGTACCGTCGACGATCCCTTCCTTCTTCCATGACCAGTCTCAAATCTGGTGTGGTGAGACTGAGACGAAGTTGTTCCGTTTCATGTTCACGAAGCCACTGCTCAACGACCTCATGCGCTGTTTGGTACGCGGCGATGAATGGGTTTTGACACTCTTGAAGCGTTTTACTCAACAGTGTCAACAAATCCTTACGCAGCTTACCGTTCTTATTTGTCTGAGAATAGTCAAAACGTGCCGCAGTTGCGCCTTCAGGGTCATATAGGTACAGCTGAGCGAAAGCAGCATTTTTTGCATTGGCTGGCTTGAAGAGCGCAGCATGCAGATGAGCCAATTGACCCTTCACAACGAATGGGATCGGGCCTCCTCCATCAGCTGGGAGTCGATCATCTTTCGTGTAAACCATAGATGTAAATGCCATTGCGTTGTTATACCCCGTAATGTTGTTCTTGAAGTGCTTCGAGATCGTATCTCCTCCGTGTAGCAGGCGTTCGAGTGGTGCCGGCGGTCCTTTGACTCGTCGTGGCTGCACCTGGCCGTAGTGGCAACAGCTTAGGTAGATGCCGGTACCATTGGATGTATCCTCCTCCTCGAAGTGGAGGGCACCGCAATGAGTACATTGTCTGTCGCGCAACCCAATGGAGTGGACCTCCGGTAC